TTTCGCTCGGTTTGTACCTCGCTCAGGCAAATCTGTGACAGCCGTGTACAAGAGGATAAAACCACGCCAGTGGAACTACATTGCTGCGTCGTACGATCGACGAACAGGTCTGGCCACCCTATGGCTAGATAGTCTTCCCATCATCCAACGCAAGATTGGTAGATTCCGTCTTGGCCTTGCTACTAACTATCCCATAGTGATCGGAAGTAAACCTGGTGATCGACGCAAGTTCCGCGGAAGAGTTGCCTGCGTACAAATGTATAACTATGCTATGAGTGCTGCACAGATTCGAAGTAAAAAGAAGCAGTGTTTCCGTGTAGGTGCGTGTAAGATTTTCATTTTTTTGGTTTACTCTTGTTTGTAAAGGAAACATCTTTTTTAGATACATGCAAATTTGTTATTTAAACAATTAAATTAACTCTCAAGTCTTAGTGACACGGTGGTCACGCGGTGTTTTGTGATAATATTCCCACTTACAACGAGTTTCAGAGGAATTTATCATGTGGGGAGAAGATGTTACCGCAATACAAACCCACAATATTGATTAAATTTCGAAACTCCGATGCTAACTAACCTTATGGACTAATGTATCCAAAACTTTTAGCATATATGTCCTTTTTTTTAACTTACCAATCATTTTGGATCTGGGAAAGTTTTAAAATCGTATTGTTTACAAAAAATGAAATGTGCCTACTTAATTAAGTAAATCTATTTTCCTTTCCTTTCAGCACCCACTTCTCCAGTCATAAAACCAATTAGTACACCAAGAGGTAAGCAAAACAATTCCATATCTCTGTTAGTCTCGCACATCAAGAGTTTAATACCTATCCCGTGATCCATTGATGAGATCACAGTGTACCCTTAGGTGTGATGGTAGAATGGGCATCCAAATTAAAAGTGTGCAAGCGTTTGTCGCCACTTCGACTTACTCTCACCTACGCTTAAAGAACGAACTAATCATTGAAGTCTTAAGTTCATCTGTCAACTTCTGATATTTCTCATAATTATTCAATTATTTCGCAGTGGAACTTCCTAGAACGCTGGCTGTGTATCCGCTGGACTACATTAGGCGTGGACGAGATCTCAGTCGTAATCGAAACCCATCAGCCAGATTTTACGGTATAATATATAAACAAGGCCCAGATGGCAGACGGGATGGTTCTACACAATTTTATGGAAGATCAAATAGCTACGTGGAGATTCCTAACACAGGGAAACTAGACGCTAGATACTCCATCACTGTCTGTATTTGGGTTTATCACGAGGGACGACGGGGAATCATACTGAACTACAATCCAAACCGCAGAGGCTTCCAGCTGCGCATGATCAGTTCCAGAGTACTTCAAGTGATAATTGTACGACGAACAAGAAGAACAACAATCACAGTACAGACAAGAGGAAGAGTTATCAATTACAAGGCTTGGAGCTACATTGCTGTAACATTTGACGAGCGAAGTCAAATGTTGACCATTTGGGTGAATTCCAAACCAGTTGTTAGACGAACAATTGGTAAAGTTCAGTTGGAAACCAGGAAGGCAATCATACTCGGTGGACAGAAAGGCAGCAGGGAATACTTCCGTGGTCGACTGTTTTGTCTTCAGTTGTACAGTGTGGCACTAAATAGGAAGCAGATCGAGGAGACAAAGAAGAGATGCTTCAGGAAAGGTAATGCATCTGTATTTGATTTTTCCCCTTACTTGAGTTTTTCTTTTAAAGTTCATGCCCCCAGACATTCTTCCTGTTTTACCATCCATTTTCATTTGCTTTTTGTGAACAATCAATCGAAATAATAACCCTAGTATTGATTTACTTTCGCTCTTTTTTCTCAGTGCCCATCACAATTCCAATCCCTACGCCTACACCTACACCTGCCCCTAGAGGTAAGTAACAAATCTGTGACGTGATATGGTTTTTATATTCTGGAACTAATTACGCGATACCAGAACCTGTATTGATATTGAAAACCGGCACCAATTAAGTCGTTTCAAAAAACCTTTTCTGGAAATGATAAGCAATTCTCTCCTTTATATACCATATATGTCCTTGTGAGTAAGTTGAGAGGATACTGCGTTGTAAAAAAAAAGACCCACTTTACCGTATAAATAGTGATGCTCAACTCGCTTATTTGCTGAATGATGTAGAGATGTTGTAAATGTAAGTCCCTAGATAATTTCGTATAGTAGGGAAAAGTTAACCGTCTGATAAATTGTTCAATTCTGGAAATTTGTGAAATGAATTTGCTCTTTTTCACAGTTTGCACAGCCCGAGTTGATCTCGGTTTCCTTATCGACGCAACCAGTCGTGTGGGACGAAATATCCGGCAAATTGCTCAGTTTGTACGAGAAGCTGTTCGTCGATTTACTATCTCAAGTAGAGCTGCACGTATTGGAGTAGTAACGTATGCTTCTCGTCCAAGAATAATCATCGGCTTCGCTGCAGCATACAATCGGCAGCGAAGTTACAATGCAATTCGTGGAATTCGGGCTCTTGGAGGCAGAGCAAGACTTGGCCGAGCGTTAACCTATACCAGATTAAATCTGTTCAGAGGTAAACCTCGTTGTGGAAGACGAAGAGTTCTTATTGTTCTTACCAGTGGGCAATGGATTGACAGGGTGAAGAGACCAGCCGAGGCTCTTAAGGGAGCTGGTGTGGAGATATTCATGATTGGTATCGGCAGCATCGGGAGGACGAGTTTACTACGAGTTACAACTGACACCAAGCATGTATTTGTAGTTGGGTATACACAGCTTTTGTCCATTGTAAGAACACTGAAGGACAGGATTTGTTACTCTCCCGGTAAGTTTTCTTTTAAAAGAAATGAAATTGCACTGGTGTGAAAAAATGTAATTGACTCTTATTCCCCTTAAAAAAAAGGAAAATACCTTTTAAGTCCAAACATTTCATACAATTTTAATTACATTAACTTTCCTGGGACTCGTATACTGAAATTATTGGAAAGACGTATTCCCTAGCCTTTTAAAATGGTAGCCAAATCACTTTTTCTCGGAACAGTTGAGATACAGCGACAAAGAAAACTTTAAATGTTCCATGCAGTTATTTGTACAGAAATCTCTTTTTACCTCATTCCTTGCTTATGTGTCTAAATTTCAATTTCTAGTTATTCGCCGAGGAGCGGTTGCAGTTTATCAGCTCAACAGCGCCTCCAAGAACCGTGACATCAGTGGATACGTCAACCCACCCGCCACATTTGTAGGCGTTTACTACGCACGTGGCCCAGACAACCATCCACAAGGAGCCCTTTCCTTTAGAGGAAGAAGAAACAGTTATGTTTTGATCCCTAATAACGGCTGTCTAGACACTAGATTCTCACTGACCATTATCATGTGGGTGTATCCAGAGAGCAGTGGACCATTGTTACATTTTAATCCAAAAGGCTGGGGTGTTCACGTGTGGATCATAAGTCAGTTCAGACTTTTCGCTCGGTTTGTACCTCGCTCAGGCAAATCTGTGACAGCCGTGTACAAGAGGATAAAACCACGCCAGTGGAACTACATTGCTGCGTCGTACGATCGACGAACAGGTCTGGCCACCCTATGGCTAGATAGTCTTCCCATCATCCAACGCAAGATTGGTAGATTCCGTCTTGGCCTTGCTACTAACTATCCCATAGTGATCGGAAGTAAACCTGGTGATCGACGCAAGTTCCGCGGAAGAATTGCCTGTGTACAGATGTATAACTATGCTATGAGTGCTGCACAGATTCGAAGTAAAAAGAAGCAGTGTTTCCGTGCAGGTGCGTGTAAGATTTTCCTTTTTTTGGTTTCCTCTTGTTTCTAAAGGAAACATCTTTAGACACATGCAAATTTGTTATTTAAACGTTTAAATTAACACTCAAGTCTTATTGAAACGGTAGCCACGCGGTGTTTTCTGATGATATTCCCACTTACAATGTGTTTCAAAGGAATTTTTCTTGTGGGGAGAAGATGTTACCGCCATACAAACCCACACCATCGATTAAATTTCGAAACTCCGCTGCTAACTCGTAACCTCATCGCCCAAAATTCAGCGACATATCCGGGACTTTCATTGAGACGCTGGCGCTAAATTTAAAAGCTAATTAGAAAATGATTGTCAAACAATAAAGGAAAAGGGCTGAAAATGTCGAGGAAGGCTTACGTTCTCTTCGTCTACGGATAAACTACTTTTCAAATGCTACTTTTACCATATGGCTTTTAAAGAAGAAAGTTCAATTGAACAGTATATCATTCTCACTTTGCTCTTGCGCTTTCAGAAGAGGTCGCAAATTTGCCTTGAAAATTGACTATGTTAGCATCCTGCCTGTATGAGAAGTCGATCTCAGCGCACTTTCAGGAGTAATTTATCGTCACTCAATTGCTAGATTTCTCTTTTACCATATGGTTATTTTTATTTGACATTCTAGAAAGCGTCATAGAAATTTTCAAGGGATTCCAAACTTTGGAAGTAGTCGCAAAACGCGAATTTCGAAAACGTTTGCTCAGCATCGTAGTGTTCTATCCAAATTTGTCCTTTGGAGACCCCCACGAGAATACAAGTGACCTATTTTAAACTTCCCGCGAGAATATCAAGGTATGCTAAGCTCCGCCTCCGCAAACAATCGCGCACACGCCGCCTAATTAGTATTGAAATTGAGGTGGTAACTAGACAATGCTTAAAAAAACTGTGAAAGCTTTTGAGATATGATCGCTGAGATCGCTGCAGAAATATTCAGCAATCGTTACTATCATATGGAAACCACACTCCTATTATTGTCGCAGGATAGACTCTAGTTCTATCTCGACGATCGTCGCACTCACAAGCCGGTTGTCGGAAGCATCGCTCATATTTTTCTCTACCAATTGAAGCGATTTTAACGAAATAGAAAATAGGCAATAACATAAAACAGAACATCCGGCTATCGACCTCAATCCTTGGTTGGAGGTTCATGGAACCTACTTTTTTTGCGAGTTCGATTGTTGAACTAATCGAACTTTAAAGATACCATTATTCTCTTACATGTCCCCTATTTGGATTTTTCCTTTGGCTGGTCTTTATGTTTGACTCAGAAATGAAGGAATAGAGGATAGATGAAGGAATAAGTAAAGTAAAAGCGAGTGACCCACGCATCGCGCTCGCTCTAAAACTGTGATTAGGCCATTTTTTCGCGCTCCTTATTCTCTTTAATACGGGGGCGCGCCAAAACCACATATAAGACAAAGATTGAATGAAACTAAAATTTCACTTGATCACAGATTAGCTGGCTTTCTGAGCATCGCTTTTTATAACCTTCAATCAGGCGTTTGTTGCCAGTCCGCAACCACAAGCCTTTCGCACTCGAAAACCGCCTGATCGCAACTTACGCTTTTAAACCGCCTATTCTTCATGATACTTTTTTTCTAAATTTTTCTTTTTTTCTATTTTCTATTTTCATGATACTAATTTTTATAATTCCGATAACATTTTGACCAACGGGAGTCTGTCAGTCCATATAAGAATTCGCTGCAAACGAATTTGCTAAACGCTTTGTTAAAAGCGTGGCTATTGTTAGTTATTGCTATTGTTCACTTTATGTCACCTTGGGATTTACTTTACGCATCCAACCGTTTGATTGACAGCAGCTGAAATCTGCAGAGACTCATGTATTCCCAAAGCTTTACCTGCTGACCAATCACAACCGACTAGTTCAGGATATGCAAATTATTATGCTGCCCGCTGATTAAATGGGCACTGCAAGTACATGTCGCGAAAGACAATAGCATTCTGGGCGATGTTATGGAAGAATGTACCCGAAAACGTTTAGCAGATATGTTCTTTTTTTGACTCATTTTGGATTTGGGAAAGGTTTAAAATCTTATTGTTGGCAAAAAATGTGCCTACTTAATTAAGTAAATCTATTTTCCTTTCCTTTCAGCACCCACTTCTCCAGTCATAAAACCAATAAGTACACCAAGAGGTGAGCAAAACAATTCCATATCTCTGTTAGTCTCGCACATCAAGAGTTTAATACCTATCCCGTGATCCATTGATGAGATCACAGTGTACCCTTAGGTGTGACGGTAGAATGGGCATCCAAATTAAAAGTGTGCAAGCGTTTGTCGCCACTTAGACTTACTCTCACCTACGCTTAAAGTACGAACTAATCATTGAAGTCTTAAGTTCATCTGTCAACTTCTGATATTTCTCATAATTATTCAATTATTTCGCAGTGGAACTTCCTAGAACGCTGGCTGTGTATCCGCTGGACTACATTAGGCGCGGACGAGATCTCAGTCGTAATCGAAACCCATCAGCCAGATTTTACGGTATAACATATAAACAAGGCCCAGATGGCAGACGGGATGGTTCTACACAATTTTATGGAAGATCAAATAGCTACGTGGAGATTCCTAACACAGGGAAACTAGACGCTAGATACTCCATCACTGTCTGTATTTGGGTTTATCACGAGGGACGACGGGGAATCATACTGAACTACAATCCAAACCGCAGAGGCCTCCAGCTACGCATGATCAGTTCCAGAGTACTTCAAGTGATAATTGTACGGCGAACAAGAAGAACAACAATCACGGTACAGACAAGAGGAAGAGTTATCAATTACAAGGCTTGGAGCTACATTGCTGTAACATTTGACGAGCGAAGTCAAATGTTGACCATTTGGGTGAATTCCAAACCAGTTGTTAGACGAACAATTGGTAAAGTTCAGTTGGAAACCAGGAAGGCAATCATACTCGGTGGACAGAAAGGCAGCAGGGAATACTTCCGTGGTCGACTGTTTTGTCTTCAGTTGTACAGTGTGGCACTAAATAGGAAGCAGATCGAGGAGACAAAGAAGAGATGCTTCAGGAAAGGTAATGCATCTGTATTTGATTTTTCCCCTGACTTGAGTTTTTCTTTTAAAGTTCATGCCCCCAGACATTCTTCCTGTTTTACCATCCATTTTCATTTGCTTTTTGTGAACAATCAATCGAAATAATAACCCTAGTATTGATTTACTTTCGCTCTTTTTTCTCAGTGCCCATCACAATTCCAATCCCTACGCCTACACCTACACCTGCTCCTAGAGGTAAGTAACAAATCTGTGACGTGATATGGTTTTTATATTCTGGAACTAATTACGCGATACCAGAACCTGTATTGATATTGAAAACCGGCACCAATTAAGTCGTTTCAAAAAACCTTTTCTGGAAATGATAAGCAATTCTCTCCTTTATATACCATATATGTCCTTGTGAGTAAGTTGAGAGGATACTGCGTTGTAAAAAAAAAGACCCACTTTACCGTATAAATAGTGATGCTCAACTCGCTTATTTGCTGAATGATGTAGAGATGTTGTAAATGTAAGTCCCTAGATAATTTCGTATAGTAGGGAAAAGTTAACCGTCTGATAAATTGTTCAATTCTGGAAATTTGTGAAATGAATTTGCTCTTTTTCACAGTTTGCACAGCCCGAGTTGATCTCGGTTTCCTTATCGACGCTACCAGTCGTGTGGGACGAAATATCCGGCAAATTGCTCAGTTTGTACGAGAAGCTGTTCGTCGATTTACTATCTCAAGTAGAGCTGCACGTATTGGAGTAATAACGTATGCTTCTCGTCCAAGAATAATCATCGGCTTCGCTGCAGCATACAATCGGCAGCGAAGTTACAATGCAATTCGTGGAATTCGGGCTCTTGGAGGCAGAGCAAGACTTGGCCGAGCGTTAACCTATACCAGATTAAATCTGTTCAGAGGTAAACCTCGTTGTGGAAGACGAAGAGTTCTTATTGTTCTTACCAGTGGGCAATGGATTGACAGGGTGAAGAGACCAGCCGAGGCTCTTAAGGGAGCTGGTGTGGAGATATTCATGATTGGTATCGGCAGCATCGGGAGGACGAGTTTACTACGAGTTACAACTGACACCAAGCATGTATTTGTAGTTGGGTATACACAGCTTTTGTCCATTGTAAGAACACTGAAGGACAGGATTTGTTACTCTCCCGGTAAGTTTTCTTTTAAAAGAAATGAAATTGCACTGGTGTGAAAAAATGTAATTGACTCTTATTCCCCTTAAAAAAAAAGGAAAATACCTTTTAAGTCCAAACATTTCATACAATTTTAATTACATTAACTTTCCTGGGACTCGTATACTGAAATTATTGGAAAGACGTATTCCCTAGCCTTTTAAAATGGTAGCCAAATCACTTTTTCTCGGAACAGTTGAGATACAGCGACAAAGAAAACTTTAAATGTTCCATGCAGTTATTTGTACAGAAATCTCTTTTTACCTCATTCCTTGCTTATGTGTCTAAATTTCAATTTCTAGTTATTCGCCGAGGAGCGGTTGCAGTTTATCAGCTCAACAGCGCCTCCAAGAACCGTGACATCAGTGGATACGTCAACCCACCCGCCACATTTGTAGGCGTTTACTACGCACGTGGCCCAGACAACCATCCACAAGGAGCCCTTTCCTTTAGAGGAAGAAGAAACAGTTATGTTTTGATCCCTAATAACGGCTGTCTAGACACTAGATTCTCACTGACCATTATCATGTGGGTGTATCCAGAGAGCAGTGGACCATTGTTACATTTTAATCCAAAAGGCTGGGGTGTTCACGTGTGGATCATAAGTCAGTTCAGACTTTTCGCTCGGTTTGTACCTCGCTCAGGCAAATCTGTGACAGCCGTGTACAAGAGGATAAAACCACGCCAGTGGAACTACATTGCTGCGTCGTACGATCGACGAACAGGTCTGGCCACCCTATGGCTAGATAGTCTTCCCATCATCCAACGCAAGATTGGTAGATTCCGTCTTGGCCTTGCTACTAACTATCCCATAGTGATCGGAAGTAAACCTGGTGATCGACGCAAGTTCCGCGGAAGAATTGCCTGTGTACAGATGTATAACTATGCTATGAGTGCTGCACAGATTCGAAGTAAAAAGAAGCAGTGTTTCCGTGCAGGTGCGTGTAAGATTTTCCTTTTTTTGGTTTCCTCTTGTTTCTAAAGGAAACATCTTTAGACACATGCAAATTTGTTATTTAAACGTTTAAATTAACACTCAAGTCTTATTGAAACGGTAGCCACGCGGTGTTTTCTGATGATATTCCCACTTACAATGTGTTTCAAAGGAATTTTTCTTGTGGGGAGAAGATGTTACCGCCATACAAACCCACACCATCGATTAAATTTCGAAACTCCGCTGCTAACTCGTAACCTCATCGCCCAAAATTCAGCGACATATCCGGGACTTTCATTGAGACGCTGGCGCTAAATTTAAAAGCTAATTAGAAAATGATTGTCAAACAATAAAGGAAAAGGGCTGAAAATGTCGAGGAAGGCTTACGTTCTCTTCGTCTACGGATAAACTACTTTTCAAATGCTACTTTTACCATATGGCTTTTAAAGAAGAAAGTTCAATTGAACAGTATATCATTCTCACTTTGCTCTTGCGCTTTCAGAAGAGGTCGCAAATTTGCCTTGAAAATTGACTATGTTAGCATCCTGCCTGTATGAGAAGTCGATCTCAGCGCACTTTCAGGAGTAATTTATCGTCACTCAATTGCTAGATTTCTCTTTTACCATATGGTTATTTTTATTTGACATTCTAGAAAGCGTCATAGAAATTTTCAAGGGATTCCAAACTTTGGAAGTAGTCGCAAAACGCGAATTTCGAAAACGTTTGCTCAGCATCGTAGTGTTCTATCCAAATTTGTCCTTTGGAGACCCCCACGAGAATACAAGTGACCTATTTTAAACTTCCCGCGAGAATATCAAGGTATGCTAAGCTCCGCCTCCGCAAACAATCGCGCACACGCCGCCTAATTAGTATTGAAATTGAGGTGGTAACTAGACAATGCTTAAAAAACTGTAAAAACTTTTAAGATATGATCGCTGAGATCGCTGCAGAAATATTCAGCAATCGTTACTATCATATGGAAACCACACTCCTATTATTGTCGCAGGATAGACTCTAGTTCTATCTCGACGATCGTCGCACTCACAAGCCGGTTGTCGGAAGCATCGCTCATATTTTTCTCTACCAATTGAAGCGATTTTAACGAAATAGAAAATAGGCAATAACATAAAACAGAACATCCGGCTATCGACCTCAATCCTTGGTTGGAGGTTCATGGAACCTACTTTTTTTGCGAGTTCGATTGTTGAACTAATCGAACTTTAAAGATACCATTATTCTCTTACATGTCCCCTATTTGGATTTTTCCTTTGGCTGGTCTTTATGTTTGACTCAGAAATGAAGGAATAGAGGATAGATGAAGGAATAAGTAAAGTAAAAACGAGTGACCCACGCATCGCGCTCGCTCTAAAACTGTGATTAGGCCATTTTTTCGCGCTCCTTATTCTCTTTAATACGGGGGCGCGCCAAAACCACATATAAGACAAAGATTGAATGAAACTAAAATTTCACTTGATCACAGATTAGCTGGCTTTCTGAGCATCGCTTTTTATAACCTTCAATCAGGCGTTTGTTGCCAGTCCGCAACCACAAGCCTTTCGCACTCGAAAACCGCCTGATCGCAACTTACGCTTTTAAACCGCCTATTCTTCATGATACTTTTTTTCTAAATTTTTCTTTTTTTCTATTTTCTATTTTCATGATACTAATTTTTATAATTCCGATAACATTTTGACCAACGGGAGTCTGTCAGTCCATATAAGAATTCGCTGCAAACGAATTTGCTAAACGCTTTGTTAAAAGCGTGGCTATTGTTAATTATTGCTATTGTTCACTTTATGTCACCTTGGGATTTACTTTACGCATCCAACCGTTTGATTGACAGCAGCTGAAATCTGCAGAGACTCATGTATTCCCAAAGCTTTACCTGCTGACCAATCACAACCGACTAGTTCAGGATATGCAAATTATTATGCTGCCCGCTGATTAAATGGGCACTGCAAGTACATTTCGCAAAAGACCATAGCATTCTGGGCGATGTTATGGAAGAATGTACCCGAAAACGTTTAGCAGATATGTCCTTTTTTTAACTCATTTTGGATTTGGGAAAGGTTTAAAATCTTATTGTTGGCAAAAAATAAAATGTGCCTACTTAATTAAGTAAATCTATTTTCCTTTCCTTTCAGCACCCACTTCTCCAGTCATAAAACCAATTAGTACACCAAGAGGTAAGCAAAACAATTCCATATCTCTGTTAGTCTCGCACATCAAGAGTTTAATACCTATCCCGTGATCCATTGATGAGATCACAGTGTACCCTTAGGTGTGATGGTAGAATGGGCATCCAAATTAAAAGTGTGCAAGCGTTTGTCGCCACTTAGACTTACTCTCACCTACGCTTAAAGTACGAACTAATCATTGAAGTCTTAAGTTCATCTGTCAACTTCTGATATTTCTCATAATTATTCAATTATTTCGCAGTGGAACTTCCTAGAACGCTGGCTGTGTATCCGCTGGACTACATTAGGCGTGGACGAGATCTCAGTCGTAATCGAAACCCATCAGCCAGATTTTACGGTATAACATATAAACAAGGCCCAGATGGCAGACGGGATGGTTCTACACAATTTTATGGAAGATCAAATAGCTACGTGGAGATTCCTAACACAGGGAAACTAGACGCTAGATACTCCATCACTGTCTGTATTTGGGTTTATCACGAGGGACGACGGGGAATCATACTGAACTACAATCCAAACCGCAGAGGCCTCCAGCTACGCATGATCAGTTCCAGAGTACTTCAAGTGATAATTGTACGGCGAACAAGAAGAACAACAATCACGGTACAGACAAGTGGAAGAGTTATCAATTACAAGGCTTGGAGCTACATTGCTGTAACATTTGACGAGCGAAGTCAAATGTTGACCATTTGGGTGAATTCCAAACCAGTTGTTAGACGAACAATTGGTAAAGTTCAGTTGGAAACCAGGAAGGCAATCATACTCGGTGGACAGAAAGGCAGTAGGGAATACTTCCGTGGTCGACTGTTTTGTCTTCAGTTGTACAGTGTGGCACTAAATAGGAAGCAGATCGAGGAGACAAAGAAGAGATGCTTCAGGAAAGGTAATGCATCTGTATTTGATTTTTCCCCTGACTTGAGTTTTTCTTTTAAAGTTCATGCCCCCAGACATTCTTCCTGTTTTACCATCGATTTTCATTTGCTTTTTGTGAACAATCAATCGAAATAATAACCCTAGTATTGATTTACTTTCGCTCTTTTTTCTCAGTGCCCATCACAATTCCAATCCCTACGCCTACACCTACACCTGCTCCTAGAGGTAAGTAACAAATCTGTGACGTGATATGGTTTTTATATTCTGGAACTAATTACGCGATACCAGAACCTGTATTGATATTGAAAACCGGCACCAATTAAGTCATTTCAAACAACCTTTTCTGGAACTGATAAGCAATTCTCTCCTCTATATACCATATATGTCCTTGTGAGTAAGTTGAGAGGATACTGCGTTGTAAAAAAAAAGACCCACTTTACCGTATAAATAGTGATGCTCAACTCGCTTATTTGCTGAATGATGTAGAGATGTTGTAAATGTAAGTCACTAGATAATTTCTTATAGTAGGGAAAAGTTAACCGTCTGATAAATTGTTCAATTCTGGAAATTTGTGAAATGAATTTGCTTTTTTTCACAGTTTGCACAGCCCGAGTTGATCTCGGTTTCCTTATCGACGCTACCAGTCGCATGGGACGCAACATCCGGCAAATTGCTCAGTTTGTACGAGAAGCTGTTCGTCGATTTACTATCTCAAGTAGAGCTGCACGTATTGGAGTAGTAACGTATGCTTCTCGTCCAAGAAGAATCATCGGCTTCGCTGCAGCATACAATCGGCAGCGAAGTTACAATGCAATTCGTGGAATTCGGGCTCTTGGAGGCAGAGCAAGACTTGGCCGAGCGTTAACCTATACCAGATTAAATCTGTTCAGAGGTAAACCTCGTTGTGGAAGACGAAGAGTTCTTATTGTTCTTACCAGTGGGCAATGGATTGACAGGGTGAAGAGACCAGCCGAGGCTCTTAAGGGAGCTGGTGTGGAGATATTCATGATTGGTATCGGCAGCATCGGGAGGACGAGTTTACTACGAGTTACAACTGACACCAAGCATGTATTTGTAGTTGGGTATACACAGCTTTTGTCCATTGTAAGAACACTAAAGGACAGGATTTGTTACTCACCAGGTAAGTTTACTTTGGAAATATACGTTGTACTGCCGTAGAATGATGAAATGCTAAGAAATTCTGATTAAGAGTATTTTGGTTTTATTGACTGAGTTGATATTTTAATTTAAACCCGTTGAAGAGTTTTTGCAAGCCGACCTTTCGAGCGTCAGGTCTTCGTCAGCTCCCTACGTTTGCCTGTAAACTCTTTAGGATGGCCAATAAACATAAGCAACTCAGTTGAAGAAACCAAGTAATCTTGTAATACGCCACACTTCACCCGCTTCTGATTATGAGCGTTCGTTTGAGGGGGAAATTTTTCTTTCTTAAGCAAATTAATCCACTTCGATTGTGTCCCCTTGCCATTTTCAAAGATAAGATCAAGGTTTCACTTTGAAATTTAAAACTCAAAGGATCGCCTTTGGTTATCTTTGTGCAAAATTTGTTTGTACTTATCTTACCCCTGTTAACTCGTGAGACTTTGTTTTTCTCAGTTATTCGCCGAGGAGCAGTTGCAGTTTATCAGCTCAACAGCGCCTCCAAGAACCGTGACATCAGTGGATACGTCAACCCACCCGCCACATTTGTAGGCGTTTACTACGCACGTGGCCCAGACAACCATCCACAAGGAGCCCTTTCCTTTAGAGGAAGAAGAAACAGTTATGTTTTGATCCCTAATAACGGCTGTCTAGACACTAGGTTCTCACTGACCATTATCATGTGGGTGTATCCAGAGAGCAGTGGACCATTGTTACATTTTAATCCAAAAGGCTGGGGTGTTCATGTGTGGATCATAAGTCAGTTCAGACTTTTCGCTCGGTTTGTACCTCGCTCAGGCAAATCTGTGACAGCCGTGTACAAGAGGATAAAACCACGCCAGTGGAACTACATTGCTGCGTCGTACGATCGACGAACAGGTCTGGCCACCCTGTGGCTAGATAGTCTTCCCATCATCCAACGCAGGATTGGTAAATTCCGTCTTGGCCTTGCTACTAACTATCCCATAGTGATCGGAAGTAAACCTGGTGATCGACGCAAGTTCCGCGGAAGAATTGCCTGCGTACAGATGTATAACTATGCTATGAGTGCTGCACAGATTCGAAGTAAAAAGAAGCAGTGTTTCCGTGCAGGTGCGTGTAAGATTTTCTTTTTTTTGGTTTACTCTTGTTTCTAAAGGAAACATCTTCTTTAGACACATGCAAATTTGTTATTTAAACGTTTAAATTAACACTCAAGTCTTATTGAAACGGTAGCCACGCGGTGTTTTCTGATGATATTCCCACTTACAATGTGTTTCAAAGGAATTTTTCTTGTGGTGAGAAGATGTTACCGCCATACAAACCCACACCATCGATTAAATTTCGAAACTCCGCTGCTAACTCGTAACCTTATGGAAGAATGTACCCGAAAACGTTTAGCATATATGTCCTTTTTTTAACTCATTTTGGATTTGGGAAAGGTTTAAAATCTTATTGTTGGCAAAAAATGTGCCTACTTAATTAAGTAAATCTATTTTCCTTTCCTTTCAGCACCCACTTCTCCAATCCCAAAACCAATTAGTACACCAAGAGGTGAGCAAAACATTCCATGTCTCTGTTAGTCTCGCACATCAAGAGTTTAATACCTATCACGTGATCCATTGATGAGGTCACAGTGTACCCTTAGGTGTGACGGTAGAATGGGCATCCAAATTAAAAGTGTGCAAGCGTTTGTCGCCACTTCGACTTACTCTCACCTACGCTTAAAGTACGAACTAATCATTGAAGTCTTAAGTTCATCTGTCAACTTCTGATATTTCTCATAATTATTCAATTATTTCGCAGTGGAACTTCCTAGAACGCTGGCTGTGTATCCGCTGGACTACATTAGGCGCGGACGAGATCTCAGTCGTAATCGAAACCCATCAGCCAGATTTTACGGTATAATATATAAACAAGGCCCAGATGGCAGACGGGATGGTTCTACACAATTTTATGGAAGATCAAATAGCTACGTGGAGATTCCTAACACAGGGAAACTAGACGCTAGATACTCCATCACTGTCTGTATTTGGGTTTATCACGAGGGACGACGGGGAATCATACTGAACTACAATCCAAACCGCAGAGGCTTCCAGCTGCGCATGATCAGTCCCAGAGTACTTCAAGTGATAATTGTCCGAAGAACAAGAAGAACATCAATCACAGCACAGACAAGAGGAAGAGTTATCAATTACAAGGCTTGGAGCTACATAGCTGTAACTTTTGACGAGCGAAGTCAAATGTTGACCATTTGGGTGAATTCCAAACCAGTTGTTAGACGAACAATTGGTAAAGTTCAGTTGGAAACCAGGAAGACAATCAGACTCGGTGGACAGAAAGGCAGCAGGGAATACTTCCGTGGTCGACTGTTTTGTCTTCAGTTGTACAGTGTGGCACTAAACAGGAAGCAGATCGAGGAGACAAAGAAGAGATGCTTTAGGAAAGGTAATGCATCTTTTTTTGATTTTTATCTTTACTTGAGTTTTCCTTAACATGTTCATGCCCCCAGACAGTCTTCCTGTTTTACCATCGATTTTTATTTGCTTTTTGTTAACAATCAGTCGAAATAATAACCCTACTATTGATTTACTTTCGCCTTTTTTTATTCAGTGCCCATCACAATTCCAATCCCTACGCCTACACCTACACCTGCTCCTAGAGGTAAGTAACAAATCTGTGACGTGATATGGTTTTTATATCCTGGAACTAATTACGTGATACCAAAACCTGTATTGATATTGAAAACCGGCACCAATTAAGTCGTTTCAAAAAACCTTTTCTGGAACTGATAAGCAATTCTCTCCTCTATATACCATATATGTCCTTGTAAGTAAGTTGAGAGGATACTACGTTGTGAAAAAAGATCCATTTTACCATATAAATAAAGATGGTCAACTCGCTTATTTTCTCTATGATATAGAGATGTTGTAAGTGTAAGTCACTCGATAATTTCGTATAGTAGGGAAAATTTAACCGTCTGATAAATTGTTCAATTCTCGAAATTTGTGAAATGAATGTGCTTTTTTTTCACAGTTTGCACAGCCCGAGTTGATCTCGGTTTCCTCATCGACGCTACCAGTCGCGTGGGACGAAACATCCGGAAAATTGCTCAGTTTGTACGAGAAGCTGTTCGTCGATTTACTATCTCAAGTAGAGCTGCACGTATTGGAGTAATAACGTATGCCTCTCGTCCAAGAAGAATCATCGGCTTCGCTGCAGCATACAATCGGCAGCGAAGTTACAATGCAATTCGTGGAATTCGAGCTCTTGGAGGCAGAGCAAGGCTTGGCCGAGCGTTAACCTATACCAGATTTAATCTGTTCAGAGGTAAACCTCGTTGTGGAAGACGAAGAGTTCTTATTGTTCTTACCAGTGGGCAATGGATTGACAGGGTGAAGAGACCAGCCGAGGCTCTTAAGGGAGCTGGTGTTGAGATATTCACGATTGGTATCGGCAGCATCGGAAGGACGAGTTTATTACGAGTTACAACTGACACCAAGCATGTATTTGTAGTTGGGTATACACAGCTTTTGTCCGTCGTAAGAACACTAAAGGACAGGATTTGTTACTCACCAGGTAAGTTTACTTTAGAAATATACGTTGTACTGCCGTAACTGAAATGCTAAGAAATTCTGATTAAGAGTATTTTGGTTTTATTGACTGAGTTGATATTGTAATTTAAACCCGTTGAAGAGTTTTTTGCAAGCTGACTTTTCGAGTGTCAGGTCTTCGTCAGCTCCGTACGTTTGTCTGTAAACTCTTTAGGATGGCCAATAAACATTATCAACTCAGTTGAAGAAACCAAATAATCTTGTAATACGCCACACCTGACCCGCTTTTGATTATGAGCGTTCGTTTGAGGGGGAAATTTTTCTTTCTTAAGCAAATTAATCCACTTCGATTGTGTCCCCCTGCCATTTTCAAAGATAAGATCAAGGTTTCACTTTGAAGTTAAAAACTCAAAGGATCGCCTTTGGTTATCTTTGTGCAAAATTTGTTTGTATTTATCTTACCCCTGTTAACTCGTAAGACTTTGTTTTTCTCAGTTATTCGCCGAGGAGCAGTTGCAGTTTATCAGCTCAACAGCGCCTCCAAGAACCGTGACATCAGTGGATACGTCAACCCACCCGCCACATTTGTAGGCGTTTACTACGCACGTGGCCCTGACAGTCATCCACAAGGAGCTCTTTCCTTTAGAGGAAGAGGAAACAGTTATGTTTTGATCCCTAATAACGGCTGTCTGGACAGTAGATTCTCTCTGACTATTATCATGTGGGTGTATCCAGAGAGCAGTGGACCATTGTTACATTTTAATCCAAAAGGCTGGGGTGTTCATGTGTGGATTATAAGTCAATTCAGACTTTTCGCTCGGTTTGTACCTCGCTCAGGCAAATCTGTGACAGCCGTGTACAAGAGGATAAAACCACGCCAGTGGAACTACATTGCTGCGTCTTACGATCGACGAACAGGTCTGGCCACCCTGTGGCTAGATAGTCTTCCCATCATCCAACGCAGGATTGGTAGATTCCGTCTTGGCCTTGCTACTAACTATCCCATAGTGATCGGAAGTAAACCTGGTGATCGACGCAAGTTTCGCGGGAGAATTGCCTGCGTACAGATGTATAACTATGCTATGAGTGCTGCACAGATTCGAAGTAAAAAGAAGCGGTGTTTCCGTACAGGTAGGTGTAAAAGTTTAACTAACGTTGTCAGTTTGTAATTTTTTAAACGAGAAACATTCATACTCTAGGGAAAAATTAAGGATGTTTTAATTTTGAAAAGCAACGTTTTTTAAGTCCTTTATTATGTTGTGATTTAGGTTATGAAAATAATCAGCCTAAACAACGAAAACAGGAAAATTTCATTAATGATTTCTTGGGTTTAAAAGAACAGAGAATAAGAATATCTTTTAGTGATAGCACTATTAAATACAAACTCATTAAAAACCCTTTGATACATGGCGCATTGCAAGAGTACATTTTATCATATAAGGATGAATGTGAACACCCGAGAGCTACGAAGCATTGTTGTACGCACAAGTATGAACAAAAATGCCATGCTATGGATTATTATTCATGGGCCTAATCCATTAGGGTTAAAAATTTGTCAAGCTGAACGTTTGAAAACGTAGCCATCACTCAGTATGGAAGTCTAGAAGCGTCTAAGCAGTGGATCGTACTTGGACTCCAATCTGAATGCTTGAGGCGTGCTATGCATTATATTTCCCAAATCGTTAATGATCTCGTCATTTGGCTTTCAGTGGAACAGCACGTTTAACATCAGTTTGCTTTGTTAGACCGGTGCAAAATGACTCGAAAAATATACAGTCATTGGGTTAGATCTCAGGGGAATGTTACTCGTTCACAACTCATCTTCCAACAGGCCTTTTTGGTATATTATTATTGTCGTTAGTGTCTGGTCGCTAATGTTAATCTGTTTGTTTGTTCTTTAAAGTTGTGACCCCATCGCCGACTATTCCAATTAAAAAGCCAACACCAACAAAACCACCAGGTAAGCAATTGACCTCTCATCTCTCTGGCTTATTAACGATTAAAAGTGATCAAGATGCCCAAATCGCAAAGGGTTCTCATCATTTGGCCTTGAGTGGGACAGCACTTTTTCAAACCACTTTCTTTTCTTTCTAGTATGTCGCTTGAAAGTCGATCTTGGGTTCCTGGTGGACGGTTCTGGAAGCATAGAGAACCGAGGCAAAGGAAATTTCATACACATTCTCGATTTTATCAAGACTCTCATCAGTTTCTTCCCAATCTCTGCGGGCCAGACCCGGGTGGGTATGGTAGTGTTCTCCACTCGGCCACACCCGATATTTCGTTTTAACCGATATTACACCCTGCCTAGCGTTATCAAGGCAGTTGATCGTGTGAGATATCCATATGGAGGAACAAAGCTGGGAAGAGCCCTTGCATACGTTTCAAGGTAAGTGTGTGAAGCTGTTGAGTACAAGTAATGGATAGATCTCTGAAGGATGTTTATTCTTAACGATGCTTCTGTATGCATCGACTTATTTTTAAGATTCCTGACGATTTAGTCTAAAAGTTATCACCTTAAACTCTGCTTGCCCATTACTGGGATCACTGTGTTGTGCTCTATGGCAAGATACTCGCCTCTCACAGATCCTCATTCCTCTCAAGATAGAGTACATGATTATGCACACCTAACGAACGGGACGCGTTATTTTCGAGTACGATCGCGACTGCTCCCGAACGTCTTTATTCTTGAGATAATCGCCCAGTCCGATAAGCGGAAGACCGGAGGATTTCATAAATGAAAAAACTAAACGAATTACACTTGTGATCAAAACAAAAACATGGCGGCTCTGAAAGGAAGATACGGTTGTTAAGGAGTATGAGCGGTTACAATGCAAATTGCTGACATCCGCTCGCTTTACTTAACGGTGCCGCTATAATAGCAACCACATCCAGAACTCTTAGCCGCTTCATTATAACTGCGGGTTAAGGAGCATGAGCGGTCATAATGCAAATTGCTGACATCCGCTCGCTTTACTTAACGGTGCCGCTGTAATAGCAACCACATCCAGAACTCTTAGCCGCTTCATGCCAAAGAAACCAAGATTTAGCTTCAGATGTAGCGGGAAACTTGACAAATTAGTTTAAACCAAGTAATATACAGTAACCAGGAATTAATTTTTCCTTATAAAGGTGTACTTAATCAAACGCAGAATTCGTGAGAAAAAAGAAAATGGTCAACGAACGACAAAAGGCCTTGATCCTGTAAAGAAATTTTCCTAACCTGTATCGTTTTATTAGCGGAGCTAGCAGAGCGTAGCCCCATAATTAAACAAAAGAGTAGCAACCCATCAAGCGGAAAAAATTTGGATGTACGACCGTACCACCGTACACGGTGCCACTTTTAACATGCGTGGTCAACTGTACCGCGGGCACGCCAACGCCACGGCTTTGTTCAGTAGTCCAGTGATCAGAGCAGTGGGCTTCGAGTCGGAAGACCCGGGTTCTAGTCCTGGCCGGGGCAAGGCGTTGTGCCCTTGAGACGTGCGGGAAAAAAAATGCGAGCACCGCTTTTAGGCTTGGCTAAGTCTATATAGTAGGGAGAAAAATGTTTAGAATATGTATGTTGATAATTCTTTGGTCTTTGTCCCATCCAGGTACTTATTTCCGCGAGGAAGGTCAAAAGGCAGAAAGCCAGTTCTTGTTATCTTGACAGACGGGATTTCGCAAGATAATGTAATAGGTCCCGCCGAGAGATTGAAACGGAAAGGAGTGGAAATCTTTTCTTTGGGGATTGGTCACAAGTTTAGAAGGCTTCAGCTGCAACAAATGGCTTCCAGTCCACTGCATGTGTTTACGGCTGGGTTCAGGAGACTAAGCACTGTTCTTGGTGTAATTAAAAACAAGGCTTGCACACCATATGTGCCGCGTAAGTGATCTAATTGTATTTTACTCACTGTATGCATACAGGGGCCATAACATCCATACGAAGGCTCTAACATGCATACAGGGGCAAAACATGCCTTTAGGGGCAGTAATATGTCTACAGGGGCAATTACACGCATACAGGGGCAATAACATGCCTATAGGGCCAATGATATGTCTATAGGGGCAATTACATGCGTAAAGGGGCAAGAACATGCATCAGGGGCAATAAATGTATGAACCTTTGTAATCTTTAACGATATTTTCGAAGTGAATTCTGTTGCGCATGAAGCTACTTACCTTGACATTTTGAAGCTTTTCCTGGTGGTAAGCGATCAAGATGTTCGATATAGCTGGTTGAAAAATTGTTCTTCGATCATATCAACAAATATAGGAAGTCCAATTTTGCTTACAATACTGCCTTTGTGGATTGAGGAATGAACTAGGAAGGTAGTTTCTTCACAAATAACTCCTTCTTGTTACACCATTGTAAAGAAGGGACGATATATTTTTTGAAAGAAACATGCTTTAAAGTATAGATAAGCCATATTTTAAATTATTTTGACTTTCTTTTCTTACTTTTGCTCCTTTTTTTAGCAAAAAAGCCTACGACACCTCCAGGTAAGTCGTTAAATCGCTCATCTTTGTGGCAGAGCTGGTTGGTCATACAATATCCTGTTTTTAAAAAGCAGGAGTCGATATATTTGCCTCTACCTTGTACAACTGTGACATCTCCTGAACAATTATCGGATAGGAAATGAATGCTGTTCCACTTTACCTCGAATCTATTCCCATTTCTCGGTCGTTCATCTTTTAAAAGAAAAAAGTTTTGAACATTCTTAAATTGCAGTGAAGGTTTTCTTCATATCAACGTATTTTTACGACACTAATATCTACCACTGTAGATTGTGTTTGCGATCAATTGTTCTTACTTCAAAACTTGCGCTTTTATTTCCCCCAGCTTGCAACCTAGCAATTGATGTTGGCTTTGTCTTGGACGCCTCTGGAAGAGTTGGACATAACAACTTCAGGCGAATAAAAAAGTTCGTAGAACTCGTTTCCCGATCATTTTCGATTTCTCGGAGCCGAGCACGTGTAGGAGTCATCGTATACGGTTCGTCTGCTCGGATGCAGTTCGGACTCAACTGGTACACGAATCCACGCCGGCTGAACCGAGCTATTAGAAGGATGCGGTATACCCGAGGATCAAGACGCACAGGAAAGGCCTTACAGCTCGCAGTCGGAGCGCTTTTCAGACGCAGTCGACGGAAGAGGGTTCTGATAACGGTGATGAGTGGGCCGTCGTATGATAGTGTGAAGATACCAAGTCTACAGATACATCGAGCTGGCATTGAAGTGTTCGCTGTTGGTGTCACCACTCAAGTGAGGAACCAGGAGCTTAGGGCAATAGCCACTGATTCTCGTCATATTTACATGGTTAATTTTAATTCGCTTTATGGCATCGTCAAAAGCATAGTCAGGAAAGCGTGCAGAGGTATTTTCAAAGTTTCTCTTTTTTTCTCTCTACAGAAATATTATTATAATCAAACTTTCCTACTTTGTGAAAATATTGAAACTATACTCAGAGTATTAACAGTGTTTTATTACTTGTCCAGCTCAAATAACTACGCGGCCGACCATACGACCATCTACCCCGTCTCCATCAAGAAAACCAAGTAAGTCTACAAAGAAAATCGATGAGCGATAATAAATGAGTATTATTATTTATCACGAACGCGGAGTTCCGGCCATATGTCAGACTTCGCTTCACATCATATACAGTACCTTCCTTTCTGCTTGCTTAATGGTATTCGATAAAGAGCACTTTTCAATTAATTGTTAAAAGTACTTCGGGATAGTATTTGTTGTTCTCCACTATACGCTGTTGTCTAGGAAGTGAAATTCGCATCGTGTGTATGTAATGCCTGCACATTCTCGCTTTTTGCTGATTGGGCGTAGTGATTACATTTGTTTGATCTTCTCGATGTTCCGTAGAAAAGCCGTATCGATCAAGATCCGACTTTGCATGTCTGTTTTTTGGGTTCTGTTTACTCATTGGTTTCTTTTCATACCAGGCTTTCCTCAACCCGTTGCTGTCTACACACTGGACAGCAAAACTGGCGCACGTGATATCAGCCCAGGAAGAAACATTCCAGGCAAAAGTTACAACACTAGATACGCCCCAGGCCCTTACGGCCAACCTGGCGAGTCAACGGAATTCTTTGGTCGTCGCAACAGCTACATCCGTTTCCCCAACTCGGGAAAATTGGATGTTAAGGACTCTATAACACTTCTCGCTTGGATATATCCTATAGGTCGTGGTCCTATTTTTGAATACTTCCGTGGGATAAGGTTCTGGGTGGTCCGGTCGGACACGTTATATGTCCAGTTCAAACGGAGGAACGGGCGGCCTACGCGGGCTTTGATTAAACGGCGTCTTTACCCACGCCGCTGGAATTACGTCGGTTGTACGTATAATCAGCGAACAGGCATAGCTACGCTATGGGTGGATTCAAGACCTGTACTAACGCAGAATATCAAGCGCATTAGATTAGCGACAAAGACAACCGCGTACATGGGTGGAACATTCCGCGGGCGCATAGCTTGTATGCAAGTTTACTCTAAGGCACTGACTGGACCTCAGATTAAAAAAGTCAAGAACCTTTGCAATAAACCAGGTGAGCTTTAGTACTGAGGTCTTTGATAAAGAGCCTTTTTGTACTGTGAAGTTGAAGATATCGGCATTGTTAGTTCCAGGTACGAACCAACTATTCCTTTTGCACCTTAAAAAACCATGAAATATCTGATGGAACGATATTAAGAAACTTTTTCGTTTGCCTCTTTGAAAATGGTGTCAAAAGGCTTAACTTTAGTTCAACAAGTAATAATTGGTTTTGGCTCATATAGTTAGAATTTGATGTTTTTTTTACATCTATTTTAACATTTTTCTTACATTCTATGGCACTTACTACTTACCACTTATTTACAGGTCCTCCAACCAAACCCACAAAGCCACCTACAGGTAAATGCCTGATTTTTTTAGTACACCTCGCTTATACTTGATGATTTAATTTTCTGATGAGTGTTGCCTTCAATTCACCCACTGTCTCGTTTATATGGTAGCGAAACCTGGATCATCTCACAAAATCATTTTTGTTGTTGTTGTTTCTCTTACTTTTAGCTTTACCTCCAGCCATGGCTTTCTATCCCTTAAACGTTCGATACAACACCCGTGACGTCAGCAGAAGTAAAAACCCATCAGGGCGCATGGCAAATGTGCGCCCTGGCGTAGGACCAGACGGAAGGCCAGGTGGCTCATTTAGGTTCAAAGGTCGCTCTGACAGTTACATCGAGTTCCTGAACAAAGGCCGATTAGACGCTCGGAATTCTATCTCTATTCTGGCTTGGATAAATCCGGATGGCCCCGTAGGACCGATCTTTAATTACAAACCGGATGGGTTTGGCGTACACTTGTGGATGGTGCGTCGACGAGTGTTACTTGTTCGTTTCGTGACTCGTGCACGAAAGTTTACAGCTGCCGTGCAAACCAACCTTATCAAGCCCAAGGCCTGGAATTTCGTCACTGCTACTTATAATCAGCGGACGGGATATGCCCGATTATATATCGATTACAGAGAAGTTGCCCGGAAAAGAATCGGTAGGATTCGACTGGCTACAAACTATCCTGCTAGAATGGGTGCGCGGATTGGAGATAAGCGGTATTTCCGTGGACGAATTACATGTTTGCAGATCTATGACGTACCACTGCGACCAATACAGATCCAATTGGCTAAGAGGCTTTGTTTGAAGACAAGTAAGGATAACGAGCTCAGAGTTGTATAAATATACTAAACTAATTTGATATTGAATAAAGGCGACACTTCTACCTTGCTTCCAGCTACGTTGAGTATGGCTTTAGTACCGTATGATTTTAAAGGAAGTCCATAGAATATTTGATCGTTAAGCAGTTTCTTGCTTTGAGGTATAAACTATCGGTAGGTAAGCATTACAACATATTCATAACGTTTGATTAATTGTAAATGTATTCTTCTGTTTACAGAAGTTTTCACACCTACTCCAACACCCACACCAACACCTACCAAACCGGGCCCGCCAAGACGTAAGTACTCGAAACCTTAATCAATTCTAGTTGGTCATCTTAGGAAAATATTCCTATTCAGTTTTGCATTTTGCCATTGCCCCAGGGGTTTCAGTAGTTTCTTGTTGAAACCCCTTCATAACACTACTTCTGAATCATGCGACTGTTGTACTTATCTCTGGTAGACTAGGATGGCTTATTCTTATTATCTTAGTATTTGGTTAAACCTAGGTCATGGTAAGTTTTAATGATTATTTAGGTAATTCAGCGTTGGAGCTGAATTGATTGTTCCACTTCACCCGCAAAGAAGTAGCCACGATCTCCATTTGTGCAAGGCACAATTATTTTATGAACCATAACAAAGATTACCCTTAGTTTCAAAATTTTCAATGTAGGGCAACCAAAGTTTCATTAGTAACAAAAGTTCTTCAGTTTTGATTTCCCTTTTTTCTTTTGAAATCTGACACGTTCTCAGCAAGGTTTACGACAAAGGTGGATTGAAGATTTCAAAGCAGGAGAGGGGGAGAGCCATAGTATAAGCTTTCTTTAAGAATTAAGTTGTCCTACACGCAGCATGACAGATATACACATGATTTTTAAAATTATGTTCTTTCTTGCAGCTTGCAGAGCAAACATGGATCTAGGATTCCTGATAGATAGCTCTTACTCCTTGCGTCGATCAGGCAGAGGAATTTTCCGTCTACTTACCCGGAACATAGCGCGACTTCTCTACTCACTGCGAATTTCAACCCAAGAAACCCGCGTCGGTATAGTCACATACGCGTCAAAACCGAAGCCTTTGTTCCGATTTAACCGCTTCTTTAGGGCGTCTTCCATGCTTTCAGTTATAAGAAGGATTCGACCACAAAGAGGTCCTCTCAGGATAGGAAAAGCTCTCCACTATACCCGTAGGTACTTGTTTAGAAGAAGAAGGCAATGTGGACGGAAGCGTGTGCTCGTGGTATTTGCAAGTGCCCGCTCAGTAGACCGTGTACAGCGGGCAGGACGCGTTTTAAAACGTATTGGAATTGAAGTATTTGTTGTCGCTATTGGTAGAAGGACAAGCAAAACACAGTTATACCAGATCGCTACAAATGGACTCCATGTGTTTACAGCTTCGTTGAGGACATTATCAGCGGTGCTGAATGCTGTACGAGTCAAAGCATGTTCAGGTATTCCATAATTCTATGCGATGGAATTTGAAAATTTATATCATTGCCGTCCCAAATTTCATTCTCATATCCTCGTCACTGTTTAGTTTCATCAAACACAATTTCTGCCACTCATTCTTTCATTGAGCTTTCGCGTAAAAGTTAAATATTAAGGGACAGGAAGGCGTAAAAGATTCTGAAAAGGGGTTCTTCAGCCCGTCGGGAACCAGCTTTGCGGTCTCCAATAGTACCCTGATTGAATGAAAGACAGTAGACAGACGTGATTTTTGAGAAAGTGACCATTAGATTAAAAAGACAAGAGAAAAGGCATCCGAATTTTTTTACTACGTTTTGTCTATTGCAGTAACTGGATCGGCAGCTGCTAGAGTTATTTACCCTCTTAATGGCGTCACTCGAGGAAGGGACATAAGTATCAACCGCAACAGAGCTGCTAGACTTGTCAACGTTAAACCAGCTCCAGGACCTGACGGCCTCCCATTGGGTTCGTACTATCTTCAAGGCATCGCAAACAGCTACATCTTGTTCCCAAACAAGGGTTGCCTGGATACAAAGAACTCCCTTACCATCGTTGTGTGGGTCTACCCCGAAGGTAGCGGACCAATCTTCCACTATTTTCCTCGCGGATGGGGAGTGCATCTGTGGATGAAAAATCCTCGCACTCTCCTGGTGAAGTTCGTGCCGAGGTCCCTGCAGACCATCAGCGTTGTCACAAGCCGGAGAATCAAACCAAAGACTTGGAATTACATAGCTGCAACTTATGACTACGTCACGGGTCTGGCCACTCTATGGAATGACGCCATACCGATATCACAGAGAAACATCGGGAAGATTCAGTTGGCTACCAACTACCCGGCAATATCAGGGAAGAAGCCCCGGGACAGAAGGATCTTCCGAGGGCGGATCGCTTGTCTTCAGATTTACGATCGAGCACTGACCGGAAGACAGCTTAGGAGAATCAAAAAGAAATGTTTCAGAGGTTTGCCTTGCTAATAATTTCTGAAAGTATTGAATTTGAATTTGGTTTTTGATTTTCATCAATAACATTTTTATCTTTTTTTTTTCACTTATCTTAGCCCGACCTACACCAACTCGACCACCTCCAGGTGAGAGAAAGATATTTCAATTCCTCCTTGACTGCACCTATCACTGAGCAGGGCTTCTTAAAAGTCTGAAATTCTTAAAGAAAGTAATGGTCTTAAAAAAAAATGTCAAGGAATAAAGTCAAGGTAGCATGGGCTGTCCGCAAGGTTTAGCTATGGCTATTAGAAGTAAAATAACTTAACACCTCAACAAAATACAGGGATAACTGACGCGTTACCTTCACCATGCGGTCGTTTTGTCCCATCCCAACCCCCTCCATGTTGTTTTCAACCTCTTTGATCATTTTCTTCGCTGTCAACATTATTTGTTTTTGGATGGGGAGTTTAGACACTCCGGTTAAAAATAAGAAGTAATATCTTCTGCGGGAATTATTTCTTTAAGAGTTTTGGGCCAAATTTGTAAATTTCTTCCCGTAGAAGTAACATTGGCATCTTTTCATTTTTTTCTATAGAACTTCCTCTATTGGTGGCTGTTTATCCACTGGATAGAATCAATGGCGCTCGTGACATCAGCCCACGTAAATGCCCCACTGGAAGACGCGTTGGCGTAAGAATCGCCCCGGGCCCAGACGGAAGGAAAGACGGAGCTACTGAATTCCTTGGCAACCGTAACAGTTACATTGAAATCCCAAATAACAATGGAAAACTCGACACGGTGGCGTCTATCTCCATTTTGACGTGGATTTACCACGAAGGTGTAAAAGGTCCCATAGTCAACTACAGGGCAGGTCCCGGATGGGGCGTGCACCTGTGGATGATTGGACCACGCACGCTTTTTGCGCGGTTCGTTCGCAGAGATGGCGTATTTACTAAGGCGGTAGTCGTCACCAGCAGAAAAATACGTTACAGGGCATGGAATTACGTTGGTGCTACATACGACTTCAAGACTGGAGTTGCTAAACTCTGGGTTAATTCCAGGTTACTTGTTGTTAAGAGTATCGGACGATTCCGATTGGCAACAAACTATCCAATCAGGCTTGGAGCACGACATGGCGACAAACGCTACTTTAAGGGAAGAATCTTCTGCGTGCAGATCTATAGTCGCGCCCTGAACCGGAAACAAATTTTAGCGGCTAGTAAAACCTGCTTCAGGCCCTGTAAGTGATCCTAAAAGTAATTAATCTTTATTTGTAAAAGTCAGTTGCCTTAACCTTTCTTATCACATGTGTTGTATAAGCTAGATATGAGCACCATAAACCAATGTTTTTCAGGGTACAATATCCCATCCATTTTCTAAAATTTGGTGTCTTTCGTCTCCCTAGACTTAATGTTCGCACTCAAAGACAAGTATAAATTTCCGAAGGGGTCGTAAGAAAATTTCCCAATAGGGATTAGCACACTGGGCAATGCACCTCATTTCAATTACAGATGGATCAATTCAGACATCTTAGCACAATTTGACTGTAATAACACTCCTAAAATGTGGTCTTAGAATCAATGTGCCTGCAGAGTAACGTGGAAACAAAACATATCTGAACTCTGGTGTTTTCCTGTGCTTTCCTCTGCTTACTTGTCTTCGCTATATCTCTTTTGCCTAAGAGTTGATTATTTAGTTAACTAGTCTCATTTGTGTATGTCTTTTCCAAGTTCCCACAACCAAACCCAAGCCACCAACGCCGACACATCCAATATCAACACCAACACCAACACCAACAAAACCTAAAGGTAAGGGTTACATGTATACAATATAACATAATCATCGTTCAAAACACAGTGACATGTCCATGTCTAGGAAGCCGACACGAACCTTGAATGCCGCAAAACTCTAGAACAAAAATTTATCTTTCAAATCGGTACTCTTAATCCCCACAGTATCAACGAGCCCGTATTAATTAACTAATTTATTCTTTTTTTCTCGTCACTGTATTCCTACCAATAGCGTAGCTCCATTTTTTGCATATAAACACACACACAACCCACAATTCCTCCAATTGCTCTGACCAGGGGCCAACGCTCGAAATGTCAGCTGCGAAACTCTTTATGGTGGCCAATTCACGTTATCAACTCAGTTGATAATACTAGATTATCGAATCTCTGATCAATCTTCAAACAATTGAAAAAGGCCTGAGAATGTTCAGAGGAGCGAACCTTTTACTCTTCTTTTATAATTTGCGTCTTCCAAAGAGTTGCCTGGGATACAATAACATCAAGAAGTGCGGAGTAAATGTCGCTTTGCTTTTGCGCCTCTTGTAAGAAGTCGCTACTTTGTTCAGTCTGATACTTATTGAACCTGAGCGTTATAAATGTTTTGTTCTCATTTTTCTTTCTTCAAGGACCATTTAAAGCCTCAGCATTCTACCCTCTAACCTCGCGTACCAGAGGTCGTGACATCAGTGTGTTCGGCAACCCACCAGGAAAGCTTGGCTACGTACAATCAGCACCAGGCCCTGACAAATTACCTGGAGGTTCATACCAGTTTTTTGGACGCCGTGACAGCTACATACAGTTCCCAAACAGAGGGAAATTGGACACGAGACGATCAAGCACAATCATCGCATGGATCTACCACGAGGGACGTGCGGGCCCGATCTTCAACTACATGCCAAACGGCTGGGGAGTGCATTTGTGGATGGTGTCACCGCGAACGCTTTTTGTACGTTATACGCGTCGACAAGGAAGAAAATCCACGACTGCTCTTGCTAGTCCTCGTATTAAACCTCGCACATGGCAGTACATTGCTGCCACATACGACCACTATACGGGCTATGCAAAGTTGTATTTAGACAGTAAAGTAATAGCGCAAAGGAGATTGGGCCGAATTCGTCTAGCGACAAATTATCCTGTGAGGATGGGTGCCAGGATAGGAGATGGGCGGTATTTCCGCGGGCGCATATCTTGTGTAATGGTTTTTGATGTGGCATTGAACCCCAATCAGATTGCACGCAGGAAGAAGCGCTGCTTTAGACGTAGGTTGCTTAATTGTTGGTTTGTTTAATTTGTTTCTTTGTCTCTTTGTGTATCCTTCTGCTATTGTTTGTGCACCTACTTGTCAGTGTGTGTCGTTATGTCTGTCCGTGTTTGTATTTACTGTCTAGTTGTCCGTGTGTCTCTCCATTTGCCAGTCTATTGTTTATGCATCTATTTTTCAGTCCGTATGTCTGCCTTTATCTGCCTTACTGTCTGCCTTTGTCGGCCTTTCTGTCGGGTTGTTTGTGTGTCTGTCTGTCTGGTGGGCTGAGTTTAATGTTTGCCTTTGCTGAAGCCACCGCGAATGAATGGTTAAGGTTGATATTTGGAGTTCTAAATTTTAAAACGTCTATTCTCTTTCTCAGTTAGGTTTTTTCTAGATAGTCCAGCGTTCAACTCATTTGGTGGCTTTTTTTAAGTAGTCTTCTGGTACTCATTCACGTTTCATTGAGTTATTCTATACCTTTATTTATTTACAATGTCCCAAATTAAACAATTAAACCAAAGATGCTAAATAGAGTGACAAATCAGCATGGTTGTTTAAAAATTTTACCCCTTTCTTCCCAAAAGATAATATGATCTTGATGCAAACTCGCTACTTAGCGAGCTTTTAAGAGCTCCTTATGTGGCGTAGGTATACAAATCCATATACCATTCCATCTGACCGTACCGTCCGTCCGTCGGTCATTTTATCTATCTGTCCATCTGGTTGTTTTTCAATTTCTCTGGCTTTCTATCTGTCTGTGTTGCAGTCTTTCCCAAAGTTTTTTCCCATGCGTTTTAAAAGTGTACCTCAAATTTATTCCATACCTTTCAATGTTATAAAATCTTTATAGAAAAACTTGCATGATTCCCAAATCATGTTTATTTTTCTCCCACAGGTGGACCGCCAGGACCATCCGGAAAAGGTCAGACAATTAATATATTCTTGCTTATTGACAGCCACTGATGTTACTCTTTTATACCGTCTTGCTAGAATCCCCTTCGTGATATAAATAATGTTTAGCTCTTATCTAACATATCTGGTCAAATAGCCCGTTTCACTGATAAAATCGAAGAACTAACACCAAAGTGTACAGAAGTGAACCATTGGACTAAAGAAACTCTGTTATCATAATTTACAATTGATCGTGTAGTTTAATCGTCCGTCATCATCAGAGTCAAGAGGAGAGTTTTTTCAGTCGATTGTTATAATTCTGGTTCGTGTATTAAAACTGATTGGTCAGTTTAGCCGTGATGTTATTTTCAACGAGACTCAAATGGCGTAAGTCGGTTGTTATTGGTCAGACTGGTTAAGTTACATTGCTGACTTTTGACCAACCTTCATTTAATCTAAAGTATATTGCTCAAAGCTAATTTAAAATATTTCTTGTAATAATGTGTGTTTTTTATTCCCCTTTTTTCTCAGTTTGTAAACCCAAGATCGACCTCACCTTTGTTATAGACGCTTGTACGGAAAACGACCGCTTTACCAAAGCTAACTTCCTCCGTCTGAAGACCTTCCTGATTCGTTTGATTAGCGAGCTGCGTATCTCCGCTAAACGAGTACGAATCAGCTTGATTACGTACGCGAAGTTTCCCAAACTCTTAATCAGTTTCAGCGCCAAAAAGTCCTACGTCATCAGAGTCATCAAAAACATGAAACGTGTATGCGGAGCTCGTTATACAGGGGCTGCCTTGCAGTACTCATACAGGAACATCATAAGCCGGACCTCAAGGAGAAAGGTCCTGATTTTGACGAGCACTGGCCCGTCCAGAGATGATATCCGGGGTGCAACAGCTTTGATTCAAAGGTCAAGAGTAGAAGTATTTGCTGTGGGTATAGGAAGGCGTTACAACTTTAGGGAGCTGCAGTACATTGCTACTGATCGTCGACATGTCTATACAGCAGCGTATAGGAATATTGAGTCCTTGGTTACACTCATGAAAAAGAAGGTCTGCAAGTCAGGTTGGTAGCTCCTTGCAGTTTTTCCTAATTTTTTACCTTCCTCGTCCCATTTTTTCGTTGGTTTCAATCAGTCCAACAACGGCTTATTATTATTTCACCTTAGTTTCGGTGATGAAGAATTCTGTTCTGCGTTGTAGCGTTTAATTTTGTAGAGCTAGGATACATCTTTTTCCGTCTACTTCTGTCGATCTTGGTATCTGTTCCTGGCGTCTATTTTATTTTGTCGTTTTGATATGCGATTCCGTTCCTCGAAAAAAAAATTGTCAAACTATGAAGGATAACAGATTGCGACTTGTTTGAGTCTAGATAATATATAAATATAACTTAAACTTTGTTCGGCGTAAAACGTGTTTACATTAACTTTAGATAAATTCGTGACACCTGTCAAACCAGTTATACCCAGGCCTCCAACACGTCCACCAACTCGTCGACCTCCGAAGCCCGGTAAGTGTCTCTATAGCTTGTCTCCAAAGACTCTGTTTTACAAGTCACAATTTTTCCATGAACTTATGTTTTCAGTGCATCCTGCTGCTGTGCGATACCTCACCTATTTTGCTACCGTCAATTTTAAATTGATTGATAGGTTATAATTGAATAAACCAATAATTGAATCGATTATCATCTAAAATAGATCATCACAGTGCCAGAAGCGTAATAGCATACCACAATTTATGAGAGTCTGTTCTACAAGATTTTAAAAAACTGAAAACGTGATACGTTCACTGGCAGCATTTTTGTTTGCGGTTCCTTGCCAGATTTGCATAAAGATAATCAGGCACACATTCCTTTATAGAATTAAGTTTGAGGCTCAATAATTCTTAAAATGAATCACCATTGTTTTTAAAAATCTAAGTCAGTGAATCTAGCATATTACTACGTAGGGATGGGTTGATATTTGACTCCAATCAGCCGTTGCCTTTTTATATGTTCCTTAGGACCTGCGCGTGCTTTAGCAATTTATCCTCTTCAGTACCGAATCAAAGGAAAAGACGTTGGTCTGTTCGGAAACCCACCGGGCATTCTTGGCTTTGTGAGGCCTGCGGTCGGACCTGATGGAAAACCCGGTACATCATACCAGTTTTACGGTCGGAGAAACAGCTTGATCCGATTCCCAAATCGCGGTCGTTTAGACGCACAAAAGGCAATAACGTTACTTGCTTGGCTTTACCCAGAGGGCCCTGGACCGATCTTCAAATACGGCGTCGATTTCTCTGTCGGTAGAGCGCGTAGTTTGTTTATACGAATTTTCCCACGTGGATCACGGAACAGCAGAATTCGCCCACTGAGGGCGCGCGGAGTATTGCGATACCAAAGATGGCACTTTGTAGCCGCCTCTTATGAACAGAAAACGGGTGAAACAAGGATTTATGTGAATGGAAGACTCGTTTCTCGCACTCGGCTCAGAAGAGTTCGTCTTGGTACTAATATTCCTGCAATCATGGGAGCTGCAAGAAGCAGATACTTCCGTGGGAGAATCTCCTGTATGCAAGTTTATGGACGGGTTCTGTCCAGGTGGCAGATCATCAAGCGAAAGACAAAATGCTTTAAAGGTAAGCGACACTTTGTAACTGTCTGTTGTTTTACACTCGTAAAACACGCGCTTCGGGGAGGAATAAATGAAAAATAGCTGGCATACAACGAGTAGCACGCTCTACCTCTTTTTGAATAAATACCATAACTTTCATTTGTCTCCCCCTCCACCCCCCCCCCCCCCCAATTCTTTTCAATGTTGCCTATACTAGGAGCAGTTGGCGAGGTCTGTCTTGTGAGTCAAAAATTGATATTTTCACGTCACGGGGAGCTTTCGGAGGGAAATTGATGGGCCTCGCTCATGGAGCTAATTTAATACAACATTGTCAGAGAGGGAGAGGGGAACTTTCGAGTAACTTATCTCATTTCTGTTTTATATATTCAATGGAGGGTTGTCGACCACCTTCTAATTAGAGACTTGCCAACTCCTTTTGCCACTCATTGTTCAAACAAGAATCACAGTAACTGAAAACGCCAAAAAAAAAAAGGTCACTGTCAATGAGATCTGAAAGTATATTTGCGAAAACAACCTCAACCTTTAGGGCCTCTGTCGCAGCTGCTTTTAGTTTGAATCTCACTGGCTGAGGAGGTGATGCGTTGTCTCGAAACTAATCACATAGCAAGGTGAAGTAAAACCAATACAACCCTGGATAACTTCCGACAGTCAATTAAAAATGGCCTTTTTTGTGACCAAACTATTTTGTATATTGCATTTTAGGAGTGCATCCACTTCCCGCACGACCAACACCGGTTCGCCCTACACGTCCTCGTAAGCCCCCAGTTCGTCCAGGTAAGAAAAACAAGGATAAAAATAAAAAGTGGGGAATGTCAGAAGTAAATGTTGTCATTAGTCTTTCTACCCTTAAACACTTTAGACTAAAAGATATTACAGAGGAAAATGGCACTTCATTTAACCGGGTGGAATTACAACGAAAGCGCTCCATATGAGCTTCATATTAAATGAAAAGAATCACAGCAGTCTTGTAAAAAAATAATAACATTCTCCTAAGCGAAAGCAACTTAAGATCGATGGTTTCCATCTTAACGAATTCATATATTACAAATAAACATTATGATACGACAAAAAAAAATTGGTGTTGCTAACTCTCCAGTTATTTGCTTTGGTTTTGTAGATATATTTAAGTTTAAACTTTGTTATCATCGTAAATGCTGAAATACACTAGCTGTTTTCTGTACCGATCCAATAAGTTAAGCAATTTTTAGCATTTTTCCATAAATCAGGATTTCTGAAAGAGGCACGTGTCACCCTTTTGGTTTACGTTTTCAGTTGTCAACCCGAGAGCTCAGGCTGTATACCCGCTCAGTTTGCGTACGCGCGGTCGTGACCTCAGTTTGTATCGTAATCCCGCGGGAAGCGTTCGAAGCGTCAGGTACATAACAGGCCCGGACGGAAGACCCAACACAGCGACGCGATTCCTCGGACACCAAAACAGCTTCATCGAGTTCCCTAACCGCGGTAAACTCGACACTAAGCGGTCCATTACTTTACTGGCATGGATTTACCACGAAGGACGTGCAGGACCAATATTCAACTACATGCCGAACGGCTGGGGCGTGCACTTTTGGATGGTTTCACCGACGACGCTGTTTGTACGGTTTACGCGTCGTAAAGGAAGGCGATTTACAGCGGCGGTTACAACCAGAGTCCTAAATCGTCGATGGCAGTTTGTTGGTGCAACTTACGATGGCACAACTGGCGTTGCTAAGCTATTTGTGAACAGGCGGTTTACTGCAAGTAGGCGCATCGGAAAGATTAGACTGGCCACGAACTATCCTGTACGGATGGGAGCTCGCGCTGGTGATAGGCGTTACCTCTTCGGTCGTATTTCCTGCATGCAGGTGTATGATCAGCCCTTATCAGCATCACAAATTTTACGTCGGAAAAAGAGATGCTTCACTCGAGGTAAATTGCAGTGATTGATGTATAAATTGGAAGATTAACGTCGTTGCAGTTATTTGTTCGCGATAGAGAAAATGTATTTCGCGACTGCCATGTATGGATCTGGAGCTGTTTAGAGTGATCCAACATTTCCCTTTCTGTAGATTTTTAGCGCAATATTCAAAGTAAAACGAACTAAATGCTCTAGTAGAATTCACTGAGTGCACTGGAATTAATATGGATCGATGGCTTTTTACAAACCCTTACTTTTTTATCTTATTGCTATCGTTTCAGGTCCTATCATCGTTCCACCGGTCATTCGTCCAGCTGGACCAGGTATTTATCACGTGTTTTCTTACAATGCTTAACTGCTTTCCTCGCAAGAGCTGGTTTGAGCAAGGTCTCACCCATCGTATCCATGAGAAAGAATTTCTTCTTCGAAATTGATTTATTCCATATGGCATAAATATTTCGACATTCTGACGAACTCTACTTTCAAACACAACGAGCTTTTAAAGTCTTTTACTCAAAATAAAGCTCGTATCCGATAAGTGTTATAAGGACGATTGTGTTACCTTAGAAGAGATCCGAAAAACTTAAGCTTTCTACGATCATTATTGTTTATCATTATTATCATTTTGATAACCAACCTTGCGTAGATGTAGTGCGTTTTATGCATTCTTAATAGTCGTGATTTATTCTTGCAGGTTTTTAGTCAGTTTTTTCTCTCTTTATGAAGGGGTGAGTTTCTTAAGAAACTGTGGTGCTGCGTCGGTGGGAGAGTATAACATGGTAATTCAATGTTATCAACTGAGTTGATAATGTAAATTGGCCACCGTCAGAACGATGGACGAAGGGCTAACGCTCGAAACGTCAGCCTTTCCACACTTCACGATGGCCAATTTACATTATCAGCTGAGTTTATAATACTAAATTACCCTGTTATACTCTCCCACCGACGCACCACAACAGTGTCTTTAGAAACTAACCCCCTTTATTCACTTTTTTCTCTTTAGTTTGCGTAGCCAAGATTGATTTAGGTTTCGTCATCGACGCCTCCGGAAGCATCGAAGCCTCGGGCAGAGGGAACTTCAAACGTTGCCTTAATTTCATCAAGCGATTAGTGGCTTCATTTAAAATCTCAAGGCGTTACACTCGCGTTGGAGCTGTTGTTTATTCAAGAAGGGTTCGTAAAGTGTTTGGTTTTAACACATACAACAACAAAAGATATCTCATGAAAGCTATTGACCGTATTCCATACCTCCGAAGCATCACCAGGACGGGCTACGCTTTGTCATTTGCCCGGCGTAACCTGTTTAATAGTAGGCGCAGAAACAGCAAGCAAGTTTTAATCGTGATGACTGACGGAATATCCAATGACCGAGTGGGCGGAAGTGCACTGGCACTAAAGCGCGCAGGAATAGAAGTATTTGCCATTGGAATTGGAAAGAATTACAACATTGGACAGCTCATGCAGATAGCCTCCACAAAGAGACAAGTCTACGTAGCGGGATTTAGGAATCTGCAAAATATTGTTCGAGTGATAAAGTCTAAAGCTTGCAAAGGTATGACTATCTTTGTCTCCAAGATCGTGGAATTATTTTGTTTGAATGAATCGTTCTTACGATCGATTTCTTGGAGATTACTTCTAGGATACATTTTCCCAAATTTCTTAAAATATGCATATCAAAAAACCAGAGCCCACCCCTAGATACTAGTTGGCCCCCTCCCCCTAGATACTAGTTGAGCGCAGTTCTTAAAATACAGTTCTCCTGCGAGGATTGTTTATTTCCTTGATTTTCGTCAAATAATAAAAATTGAAAAAAATCCGCTCGTAGTGACTATGTAATGAACCATGGTGTGATAATTGCATGGTCACACATTACTTAGGTACTTGTGAGGAAAGTTATTTTATTAATCTTAATTTCGTTGCAGTGAAACCAGTGAAACCAGTGAGACCAGTGAGACCACCCATTAGACCTCCCGTAAGGCCAACGGCTCGACCGCCAGTCAGACCACCTCGTAAGTGCAGCTTACCATGATATTAAAATAAAAACATTAACTCTATAACTCCTAAGACTGACTAGCATCAAGTTTCTCCTTACAATATCATCCCCGAATCCCGAATTAAGGTCACAAGGATAGAGGAAATGATCACGAACTAAAGAAGCTCTTGTTTGTGAAACAAATTCTCTTTGTCAGCACCTTAGGAAATATACAGAGAACAGTTTGGAGAATACGCATATCGAGGTTAGGGTGTAAAGGTCAAAGACAGGAGGAGGTGTTTTTCAAATTATAGCTTTTCTTTAAAACCAGCCGCTGCTTTTCCGAGATGTTCAACTGACGTAGTCGGCTGTAAAAATTTGTCGGTCAATATATAATTTGTTTTAAACTTTTCTTGAGCGTCCGCTTCTTATCATTCAGCAATGCCACCTCACCACGGGCGCTGCTCTGAATTTGATAGCTATAGTCTGTTGATGATTAGACATAAGTCACTACTGACTTATCCATCCCAGTGTTGCTGATATTATACCTTGCACTATGCACACAAGGCGAGTTCTTGATTTAAAGCGCTTTGTTCGTGGCGTATTGGCGCATTAGTTGTTCATATTTGACCTCGCGTAAATAAGCGATGATCTAATTTCAAATGGTGGTAAGGTTGTAATTTGTCATTCCTAGTTATCAAATTCCTTAGCTGCTTCCATTGCATATGTATTTATCTCACGTGCCATTTTCCTACTTTTTTACAGGTCCCGCTCGCGCCTCTGCAGTATACCCGCTGACCTACCGAACACGGACACGAGATGTCAGTTTGTTTGGAAACCCGGCAGGATTCGCTAGGAATGTTCGATTTGCTCCAGGACCTGATAAGAAACCGTACGGCTCATATCAGTTCCTTGGTCGACCAGACAGTTACATTGAATTTCCAAATCGTGGCAAAATAGACACAAAACGTTCCATCACGCTTTTAGCGTGGATCTACCACCAAGGACAAGCAGGCCCCATTTTTAATTACAAGCCAAATGGCTGGGGTGTTCACTTTTGGATGGTTTCACCTAGAACGCTGTTTGTCCGCTTTACGCGCCGTGGACGGCTTCGCTCCACCAAATCGGTTATGAGCAGGAGGGTCTTACCCGGTCGGTGGCAGTTCGTTGGTGCAAGTTACAACCAGCGCACAGGGCAAGCGAAGTTGTTCGTTAATGGCAGGTTTACAGCGACGACGTACATCGGGAGAATCAGACTTGCAACGAATTATCCGGTCAGAATGGGTGCCCGTGTTGGCGATAGAAGATATTTCAAGGGACGAATCTCGTGTATGCAAGTGTATGATCGCGCTCTCACAGCAAAGCAAATTTTACGCCGAAAGACCAGATGCTTCAGAAAAGGTATGTGTTATCTCTCAGTTTGAAGCATAGTACTAGCACTAGCTTTATCTGGTAATCATTTATTTTTATATGCCAGGGTGTTTCATGGCCTCACTTTACAATATGTTCGGCATAATTAACCAATTAATCGAAACGTGGAATAAAAAGGCAAGAGAACTAGAAAATGCATGGAAACGAAACGATTTCAACTTTAATACGTGTGCTAGATTCCAAGGATTTCACGTAGTTTTCACCTTCACAATTATACAGATGGTTACAGGTTTTAGTTATTCTTACAAGGTATGTCAATTTCAGGTCCTGTTGTTATTCCTGGTGTTCCAGTCAGTCCAATCCGTCCAGCAGGAAAAGGTAACCGACAACGTCTTTGTTGCATTTATAGCATTTTTGCCTGTGGAACTACTATCATCCTAAGGTTTCTGGGCTGCAGTGAATTTGGTAATCGTTTATCATCTGTTGAGGTGGCGTTGCTTCATATTTTATATCAACATGCTGATGAGAGAGAGAAACCAGTCAAGAAACCGTAAAAGTATGGCTGAAGAAGAATGTATGAACTTTGAGGAAAGAAAACAAAGCAGCTTAATTTCATGCTGCGCACAGGCTCTTTTTGAATTTTTATTTCTTCCATTTTCTCGCAGTTTGCCTGGCCAAGATCGACATGACGTTCCTCATCGATGGCTCCGGCAGTATTGAGGCGTATGGCAAAGGGAATTTCAAACGCTGTCTAGATTTCGTCAAAAGAATGGTCGTATCCTTCAAAATCTCTCAAAGACTTACTCGAGTCGGCGTGGTGCTTTTCTCCCACCGTCCTCGCCTTATATTCAGCTTCAGCACTTACAGTAGAGCTCGTGATGTCTTAAAAGCTATCGACAGAATTAGATATCCACGAGGAGGCACTAAAACAGGCATGGCAATGTACTATGCCCAGCGGACTCTGTTTAGGCGCAAGCACAGACACCGTAAGCAAGTCATGATTGTGATGACGGATGGTCGTTCCCAGGACCGTGTGAGCGGAGCTGCACGTGCACTAAAAAAACAGGGCGTGGTGTTATTTGCTGTCGGTATTGGCAAGCGATACAACATTAACCAATTGATCCATATCGCGTCTTCAAGACGGCATGTCTTCACGGCGGGATTTAGGAATTTGCCGTCCATTGTCAGGATTATTAAGACAAAGGCATGCGCAGGTGAGGCTCTTTATCTTTGTTTCCGCTGTCTCAACAAATTGGATCGATCTTGCCCTACGTTTTCATCGTAAATCTTCAGACTGAGCTTCCTCCATGCTCTCCACAACAATCAAAATCCATTGAATCTTCCTGAAGTATTTATTTGTCGATCAGACAGGTTTTAGAGAAATGATCAGCGTATTATGGACTATTTGTAGTAAATAGCGAAATAACAGCAAATATTTGTGCCTTATTAAAGCGAAGTGTAACACGATGAAAAACATATGATAATCACTAACAAGCATTTCACATTTTTTTGCTTGTAAATGCTTTTAAGGTGCTGTCAAACCAAGCAAACCAGGAAAACCTTCCCGTCCAGCGCGTAAGTAACAAAACACTTAGCTGATTACATCAGTTTGTAAACTCTGGAGACCTGCTTGGTTGATTATTGCTTCCGATGATGTTAAGGTACAAAGGAACACTCGGGCTGAGAGTAATGAGAGAAAACAGTAGCACAAATAATAACTTACCAGACCATTGTTTCTTAGCTCCGCTCCTCACAAGTTAATGAGTGACGGCAATTTTCCCCATGAAGGAAAGCGTACTTTATTTCGTCTAATTGAAAGGGATCAGTAGACGCTTCGCCGCCTTAATTTTTTCGCTGTTGCAAGTAGCTTTGACGAGAACAGTGGACACTCTCCCCTATGATTTCTTATCGAAAAAAACCCCTAAGTTATTCGCGCCGCTTAGGCAATGGTCAGCAATCTATCCCTTTACTATGTTGCGTCGTATGTAGTTCAAACGGATAAGTAAAATCTTTACGAATTAAGATCACAATTTATTTGAATTTAAAGGTTATGTACGTGCCATGGCTTTATATCCACTGTCTTATCGAACAAAGGGAAGAGACATCGGCGTCTTCTCCAATCCTCCCGGAGTTCGAGGTCTTGTCAGATATGCAACCGGTCCAGACGGGCGACCTAACACCGCCACCCAGTTCTTCGGTAAGCCTAACAGCTTCATTCAGTTTCCCAACAGAGGCAAGCTTGACACGAAACGATCTATCACTCTATTGGCTTGGATCTACCATGAAGGAAGTTCGGGTCCTATTTTCAACTACATGCCGAATGGCTGGGGCGTCCATCTCTGGATGACATCTCCTACGACTCTCTTTGCACGGTTCACGCGTCGTCAAGGACGCCGCTTCACTCCTGACATTCAATACCGCGGCATCGCGCACAGAAGGTGGCAATACGTAGCTGCGAGTTATGATGGCGGGAGCGGCACGGCTAAGCTGTACCTGAATAGCAGACTGGTTGCGCGAAAGCGCATTGGAATATTTAGAATGGCAACAAATTATCCTGTCAGGATGGGTGCAAGGGTTGGTGACAGTCGCTTCTTCAAAGGGAGAATCTCTTGTATGCAGGTGTACAATGTGGCGTTGAACTCCAGACAGATTGCAGCTCGAAGCAGAAGATGTTTCTTGAAAAGTAAATATCCTAGTAGTGTGTTATTTAACTGTCTGTGAAACTATCAGTCCTCGTCACAAATATTTAATCGTTTCCCTCTTTTCACCTTGTCAGTTTTGGTATCGAAAAAAAAATTCCCCCTCCAAGTAACTCATCATTGGGAACGAAAAGTACGGGTGTAGGGGGAGTCAGAATTTCACCACTGTATGTTATATTTTGGATTTAGTGAGTCTGGGATTTTTATTTTTATAACGAAAGGAATGCAGGAAATCTTGAAAACCGGTATCTGTGGCAAAGATTTGCAAACTGTGAACCAAACGCTTTAGTAGTATAACCTCTGTCTGGCATTGTGTCGCATTTTGCGAGCCATAGTGAAGATTACGGCTTTTATCCCGCTAGCACGCTCGCGTCATTCTATCATATTTTTTTTCTTCATTTAATTTTTTCATTACTCTCCAAAGTGATAATGATAGTAACACGATCTATGCTTTTGGGCAAAAATATGTTTTAGGCCTTTCTCAGAGTTCACTGTAAATCTCGCTTAACGGCTTGGGCTAAAATGATACTGAGTCAGGCCCAAAACATATTTATGCACGCGAACATAAACTCTACTGCTTAATTGGACTTGAATAGAAAAATCTAGAATCCTCTTAACATAGTGAATCCTCTCCATTTAAAACTTGTAGGTACTGTAACACCTGGTCGCCCTGTTGTTCCAGGTGGAGTGCCCTTCCGTCCAGGCAAACCAAGTAAGTAATTTGAGTAAAAGGATTATTCCATAAGATTAAAGGGCGAGGTAAAAAATTACTACAGATTACAGATTTTTGGCATAAAAAGTCGCTTAAGAGTACAGATGTATGATTAAAGATTTTCAGCTCCTGTGTGCGTGTTCTTGAAAAGGGTGAATCAAATTTGCCTCGAAAAACAAAAGTTTGATCAAATAATTACAGTTCGTTTATTTCGTAATTTAGAAACTTAAGTAAAAGTTCTTTTTCAACTTAATTCGATACGTTTGTTTAAACAGCGACAAATAATTTGATATTGAGTTAAAGATACAAAACTTAACTTTGCGGAGAACTTTTCGTGATTTAACTACGTGAATGTTCCAATCACAGTCGCATAACATGTGCACATTCAATTTCTCCTCAGTGTGCAAAGCTAAGGTTGATCTTGGTTTCCTTGTTGATGCCTCTGGAAGTATTGAAATGTACGGCCGTGGTAATTACCAGCGCATGAAAGACTTCATCAAAGAAGTGGCGGGAAGCTTCATTGTCTCCAGGCATGGAACTCACGTTGGTTTAGTCGTGTTCGCCAGCAGACCTGAGCCAGTGTTCCAGTTTAACACCTACTACACGAGGCGAGGCGTCATGAATGCTGTCCAAAAGATCCCGTATATCAACGGAGGAACCCGGACCGGCTTAGCTATAAGAAGAGCTACTCGGTACCTGTTCAAACATCACCCCCAACCCGGACGAAAGAAAGTGTTGATTGTCATGACAGACGGTATCTCGTACGATGATGTAATTGTCCCAGCAAGAAGACTTCGTCGCACTGGTGTCTCCATATATGCACTTGGAATCGGTCTTAAGTACAGTCGACGGCAGCTTGGCAAAATTGCCGGAACTCCGAGACATGTGTTTACCTCGAAGTTCGCGACTCTCCGAAAGGCCGCTCGTAAAATCGTGAGTCGCATATGCGCGGGTGAGTAGACCAGAAACGTAAATGTAATCTTTAACAACAGAATTGCAACAGTTTTTAAAAATTTTACTTCTTTTTCACCATGCACTCATTTAACCTCTCTTCTCCATCCAATAAAATCTTCGTTGATCATTGCCTCCTCTTTCCACAATACGTGGGAATGGCAGGAGGAAGGGGTTGGATTTTATTCGTTCACCACATCTTGGGAAATATTACAAATGTTTTCTTGTTTGTTTTCTGTCTTCCTTAGAACCAGGAGCCAAACCCATAAAACCAGTTGGTCCAAAACCTGTTAGACCTCGCCAACCAGGTAAATACGACCTTTTTCTTGGCGTTTTAAGGCTTTTGCCTCAATGAATTTTACACATTTTGCTAGAAATTACGTACTTGTCTTGAGTCATTTTGCACTTTCTCATTGCGTCTTTGTTTCTCAGTACGTGCTGTGGCTATTTATCCACTGAATGGAGGAGTGAAAGGCCGCGACATTAGCTTGAGCAAAAATCCAACCGCCATCCTAAGTAACGTGAGGCCCGCACCAGGACCTGACCGGACCCGCGATGGATCGTACCAGTTCTTTGGTAAATCCAACAGCTACATCCATTTCCCTAATCGCGGAAAGTTGGATACCAGACGATCGATTACCCTGATGGCGTGGATCTACCATCAGGGACGCGCAGGACCCATCTTCAACTACATGCCGAATGGCTGGGGCGTGCACTTCTGGATGATTACACCGAGAACGCTGTTCGTGCGGTTTACACGTCGACGAGGACGCCGCTTTACTAAGGCGGTGATGAGCAGAAGAGTCGTACCCAATCGATGGCAGCTTGTTGCCACGACCTTTGATGGAAGGTCCGGACAAGCTAGACTGTTTATTCAAAGGCAGTTTGTGGCCCAAGAGTACGTTGGAAGAATACGACTGGCAACGAATTATCCCGTGAGAATGGGAGCACGTATTGGTGATTCACGGTTCTTCTTTGGACGGATCTCGTGTATGCAGGTGTATCCAATGGCGCTGACAAGAAGACAAATACTTGCGCGCAAGACAAGGTGCTTTAGAAAAGGTCAGACAGGATTTTCGTCTTGAATTTAACACACTGATTTTAGCAAATGAGTGCTGTTAGTTTTGATAAAAGCTGCCTGCTTTTTTTTTTGAGGTTGTATGTAGTTTTAACTAGTCAAAATGGTGGTAAAAAACTTTATAAACTTTATCAACTTTATAGTTGTAGTGTAGTTTTAACTAGTCAAAATGGTGGTAAAAAACTTTATAAACTTTATCAACTTTATATCACAATTTCAAGGTCATTGTAATTTTATTACTTCGTTTTCCAGTTATTCGACCTCCTCCAAGGCCAAGACCGAGACCCGGACCCAGGCCCAGGCCCCAACCTCCAATTCCTGGCCCGACGGGGAAGAGTAAGAACCTCTTTCTCTTGTCGCTTGAGTTAATTGTCTCTCTTACATTTATCACCCACTATCACTTCTACTTTTCACGTGTCTGTTAGCTTGACGTATTAAGTCTTTTCGAGCTCTTTCAAAGAGAAAGAAGTCACAAACGTGTTTCTGTTTTCGCCCTGAGTAAGATGAAAAAGAACCTTGAGATCGAAATCAGTCTTACGTAAATTTTTAGGATTTCATTGTGTTTTGGCAAATCGTGGCGATTGAAATCAAACCTTTAAACATGGCTTTACGCACTCTCGTTAACACCTTACTTTTGCCTCGAGTATATTGAAACCATTGTTGTTTCTAAGTAAATAAACATTTTCTTGCAGTATGCCGTGCCAAAATAGACTTGGTCTTCGTAGTTGATGGCTCTGGGAGCATAGAAGCATACGGCAGAGGAAACTTCAAGCGATGCCTCCGTTTCGTCAAAAATATGGTTCGTTCCTTTACCATATCAAGAAGCTACGTGAGAGTTGGAATTGTGGTTTACTCCTCGCGCTCACGATTAATACTCACCTTCAACCAAAATCGCGGAGTTAACAATGTACTCCGCACTATCGACAGAATCAGATATCCCAGAAGAGGTACCCGAACAGGTGCAGCGCTCTCATTTGCTTACTCCCGCCTCTTGGCTGGCGCAAGGAAACGAAGTTCAAAGGTTGTCATTTGTATGACTGATGGTCGTTCACAAGATGACGTAAGAGGCCCTGCCAACCTGATGCGCAGGCGTGGTGTGAAGATATTTTCGCTTGGTATTGGCAAACGCTACAACATGAGACAGTTGCTTCAGATGTCCGGAAACCGTCGTAAGGTTTTCACAGCTGACTTCAAAAATCTCGGTTCTGTGGTGCGCGCTATCAAGCAGAAGGCGTGTAGAGGTGAGGAAGAAAAATTTTCCCTTGGGTGGTTTTGGGAAGGACAGAAACATGCATAACGAACACGTTCTTCAATGTCACCAGATCCACATAGAGAAAATTTTGAAAACGATAGCTTTTCGACTTCCCACTCTGAGTGGCAATGAAATTCTGTTCGAATAAACATGTGTTTTTCTTATTTTAGTTTCCAAGCCAACGCGACCGACTAAGCCTGGAAAACCGTCTGGTATGTGGAGACAGAAAGGCAAACCTTACTCAAATGTTAAATATACATATACCTTTTTTAAGAGAAACATTTTTAATAATGGACCTTACTTTCGTTTGCTTTGTATTTTAATTGATTTAGAATTACTTATTGAACATAATGGATGGCGCACAAATCGGGATCGACAAGTCGTTGCACGAGCTCTCTATGGAATAATATTGCAACCTGCTGTTCTGTTTTGAACCCAGGAATGTAAAATAGAGATACGAAATTGTGAGGAAAACCTGATATAAAACTTGTGGTAGTTCGTATATAATGTAGTGGTTTAAGTAGAGAATAGCATTTTTGTCGTCTACCAAAATCTAATCTAAGCTTCAGTGGCATCGGAAAAAACTTAACCCTTGTGGTTACGTTTTGTTGTTCAATAGCCGTTGGCCGCGCAGGCGCTGTGTATCCACTAAGCTCGTCCACGGGTGCGAGAGATATCAGTACCAATGGCAATCCGCCAGGCCGACGCGTCTATGTCAGGTTTACCCCAGGTCCCGACGGAGTCCGGGGAACAGCGACGTCGTTTTACGGCCGTGCGAACAGCTACATCGAGTTTCCGAACCGCGGTAGACTGGACACTAGAAGATCCATCACATTGATAGCCTGGATCAGACACCTTGGACGCGCGGGTCCGATCTTCAACTACATGCCGAACGGCTGGGGCGTGCACTTCTGGATGGTTAACCCACGGACGCTATTTGCACGCTTCACGCGTCGAAGAGGCAGGCGCTTCACACCCGCAGTGTCCAGTCGCACAGTTCGTTACCGTGCATGGAACTATGTGGGCTGCACGTATGATTATCGCACTGGCATTGCTAGGCTTTTTGTTGGAAACAGATTTGTTGCGTCTCGCCCTATTGGTCGCATTAGACTTGCAACTAATTACCCAGTGAGAATGGGAGCCAGGATTGGAGACGGGAGATATTTCCGAGGTAGTATTTCCTGTATGCAGGTGTATAAGAAGGCGTTGACTGCAGGACAGATCCTTGCGAGACGAACGAGATGCTTTAAGAGAGGTGCGGTGTATTAAATTTCGAACTTTTCCGTTCAAGCTAAGTATTATTGTTTGAGTTTTTTCTCTATTCATCAAGCGAAACTCTACCCACCCAGTAGTAACAGTTAAGTTTCAGACCAACGTGACGAATTTCATAGGGTAGCAGCAATAGCTTGGCTGAAAAGCGGGATAACTTCCAGCAGTACGTAACACACGTGAGACTTATGCTATCACGTTGAAGGAATATAGATTTCCTAAGGAAATTTGACCATTTTATAATGGTTTTTGGTTAAATTAAAATTCACGTCTGTTCATCTCTCATTTTGGAAATAGAAGGGGATGTTTCCCATATAATATTCAGATGCTTAGGGAAAGAGTTAGGTAGTGCACATCCCTAGACACAAAATTCAACGAAATCAACGGGAAAATTGCCTTTAAACTTGTTTACAATAATTCTGATGTTATTTTCTGTTTCATTTCATAGTTCCACGACCGCAGCCTCCACGGCCAAGACCAAGACCTGGCCCTAGACCCAGGCCTCCCATTCGTCCTTACCCTGGTGGAAAAGGTACTACTTGGTTAAGCTACCATCTACCTGTAGCTAATTAAATTGCTTCATCGATGTTTTCTCTGGCAAATTCAACTGTAGATCATTCGCGATCCTTCACTTAACGTTTTCCGACTGCAGCCTTTCTGAGTGTGCTTTTACAGTTAATACTTGTCTTGTTTGATGCTCAATGTGAATCTACTTTTTTCTTTTCGCCTTTTAGTGTGCCGGGCCAGAATCGACCTCGCCTTTGTCATAGACGCTTCCGGTAGTGTTGGCCGCGCTAACTTCCGCCGTTGTCTAACCTTCGTCAAAAACATGGCCCGAGTGTTCACAATCTCCCGAAGCTACACCCGCTTTGCTGTGGTGCTTTATTCATCGCGTCCCTCTAAGATATTCGGTTTCAATCGCTACCTTAATCAACACTCCCTGCTTCGAGCGATTGGCCGCATACGATACACTGGCGGCGGAACTAAGACGGGTTACGCACTGACTTACACTTATCAAAGACTCCTACGCTACAGCAAACGAAAGAACAAAGTCGTGGTTGTCATGACTGATGGTCGCTCGTATGATAAAGTGCAGCCACCAGCCTTGGCTATCCGTCGTAAAGGGATAAAGATACTTACCTTAGGGGTAGGAAAGGGCTACAGCATGAAGCAACTGATACAGATGTCATCCAACAGACGGGATGTTTTCACCGCTGATTTTAAGAACTTGGGATCTGTTGTGAAGATAATCAAAAGAAGAGCTTGTAAAGGTATTGAGCTTATTACATGTATTTTCTGGTAAAATGCAGCTCACACGAAGAGAAACACGCTGCGAAGGCGTAGATAAAAAGATATCATTGTATGCATGTGATCCCTCTACCTGAAATGTAGACCCCTTGTTGAAAATGCTGCCATTCCTCGCCTAGAGAACCACATCTATATTTTTATAAAGGTGTCTTCAAGAGAACTCGTTCTATTTTTTATCGCCAATTTTTAGACTTCACTCAAATATCTGTGGCGTGAATACGAAAGTTATTTGCTTTAGTTATGTTGAAAAATTGTCAATGTTTTCTCTTTCAGCTGGTAAACCTCGACCTCCGAGACCACCACGCCCACCAAAACCAGTTGGTAAGTGCGGGTGATTAACCAGACCAGTACCTTATGACTTTAAATTTCATGTCATAAAGCGCGTTTTGATTGAGTGTCGTAAAACCCAAACAAAGTTATGGTCCAAAGCCAATCGGGAGAAAGGAAAATATCAAAAGGAGCCAATGCGACCTCGAACTAAAAACAAGCATTTTTAGTTATTTTAAGTTTTCGAGAGTGTGGAAGCCATTTTATACTAGTTCATTGCAACCGCTGTTTACCTTTGTATCATTGCAGTAATAAAACGAGCTGTGGCTGTGTACCCACTGAACCGTAACACTCAAGGCAGAGACATCAGCTTCGCAAGAAATCCCAACGGTAGACTAGGTAGGGTCAGATTTGCCAAGGGACCTGATAACTTGCCGGGCGGTTCGATTGAATTCTTTGGCCGTAGCAACAGCTACGTAGAGTTTCCTAACCGAGGAAAACTCGACACTGGTCGTTCTATAACTCTATTGGCGTGGATCTACCATACTGGTCGAGCAGGACCCATCTTTAATTACATGCCGAACGGATGGGGCGTACACTTTTGGATGGTTACACCGTCGACGCTTTTTGCACGGTTTACACGTCGTACAGGAAGGCGTTTCACGCGAGCGATTTACAGTCGAAGTGTGAAGCCGCGTAAATGGCAGTTCGTTGGTGCTACCTACAACTACAGAACTGGTGTAGCGCGTTTGTTTGTGAACTCGCGGTTTGTAGTGTCCACTCCTGTAGGACGAATAAGACTGGCGACTAACTACCCTGTCAGGATGGGAGCACGTATTGGAGACAGAAGATATTTCAAGGGAAGAGTTTCATGCATGCAAGTCTATAGCCAAGCTTTGAACAGGAATCAGATACTTGTTCGTCAAAGAAGGTGTTTCCGAGCAGGTAATAGAGCTACTTTTGGAGTCGTAAGGAAATTTTCGAGTTTTCCGGAGTACATACTTAGGAACAAGAGAATTGATCTTTCCGAGAAAAATACCTTAAAAGGATCAATTATTAACCTTGACGTTGACAAAAACGTATGGTGTTATGCGCTCTGTTAAGCCTGTCAATTAAAACACTTGTCAAAGCAAAGTTACAATAGTTATTGACTGACTAACGGAGATGTCGCTGCTCTCTATTTGTTTAATTCAAGAGTTGTTATGAAATCTTGAGAATCATTAAAGATTTTGCATAGCAGGTCGCATGAGTAACGTGTTTTCCATTTCCCTCTTATTTTTTTTCTTTTTTCTACTCTGTATTAATGGGCTTGTATCTTTTATCTCTTCTCTTTTTAGTGAGACCTCGACCCGGACCGGTGCGGCCGGTAAGACCAACTCGACCTAAAGGTTTGTGGTTTTGTTTGCTTGATATCCACAGCATCTTCCGGTTTTCCTTTTTTTTCCTTTTACTGCTTTCCTTGTTGTCAATGGTACTGTGTCTCTTGAAAAGTTAAATTTGGGTCTGACAAATGCTCAATTACTTATTTTCTCTAACTAGTTAAAACTCAAGCCGTGGCTATTTTCCCTCTCAATGGAGGAACCAAGGGCAGAGACATCAGTAACCGTGGCAATTCGCGCGGAATACTCAGTTATGTCCGCCCTGCGCCCGGACCGGATGGAACACGTGACGGCTCTTATCAGTTCTACGGAAGAAGCAACAGTTATATCCAATTCCCTAACCGAGGAGGCCTAGATACTAAGAATTCAATATCTCTCCTGGCCTGGATTTTACATCAGGGACGCGCAGGACCCATCTTCAACTACATGCCTAACGGTTGGGGTGTGCACTTCTGGATGATTACACCGAGAACGCTGTTTGTGCGGTTTACGCGCCGCAGAGGACGCCGCTTTACGAGTGCTGTTGTTAGTAGGAGCGTGATTCCAGGAAGATGGCAGTTTGTCGGCGCAACGTATAACGGAAGAACAGGGAAAGCGAAGTTGTTTGTAAACAACAAATTCACGGCAAGGAAGTACATCGGACAAATACGGCTGGCGACTAATTACCCAGTGAGAATGGGAGCTCGTATTGGCGATGGACGATATTTCCGAGGACGAATCTCCTGTATGCAAGTTTACAATGGGGCTTTGTCTCGCTGGAAAATTAATTCTAAGAAACGAAGATGCTTTAGAAGAAGTAAGCTCCGATCCGAGTATTGTCGTTATTGCTGTTCTTTTTAATCTTCATTTGCTCGTTACAATCAGTCGTTACACGTAAAATATGAATGCATTCTCTACATGGTTTTTGTGAAACAAATATATGTAAATATACATTTCTTTCCTTTAGAAGTTCGACCTGGGCCCAGACCCCGCCCACGGCCACGACCAGTACCACTTCCAAGACCTAAGCCCAGACCCAGGCCAAAACCCGGAAAAGGTGAGAAGAGCGAGTGCTTGTACTAGTCAAGGTGCCTCGGGGCAAGCAGAGACATCTTACGCCTTTTTTCTTACCTTGATTACTTTGCTACCAAGTAGCCTTGTACACAATTCCTTTGTTGATCAGTTCACTTAAGGATAACTCGCAACACTATAATCTCTTCATGCTTCAGAAACAGGGATAGGATCCGGCAGTTTCAACTTAACCCTTCATTCTCGTCTTTTGCGATAATCATCAAGTTAAAATGACGTCTCCCGCCCTGCCCCCGTAATTTTAATTTTTGGGAAACACGGTGTTACAGGGATCAGTTAGCCGATTCTTGAGTGATTTAAGGTCCGGGTTAAAGCCTTGACTGGGTCACTGTGTTGTTTGTTGGGCAGGGTACTTAAGTCTCGCATTCATACTCCGCCCTGCAATGTAAATAAATACGGCAGACTATCAGGGAGATGTGATGAATCTGTAGCGGTATCTCTGCAACGGACTGACTTCCCGTCAAGTGGAGAGAGTCAATACTCCAAGTTGTTTCCTTTGACTGAAACCTAGATAAGTTCCGATCCTCTGGTTCCTAAGCTAAATCATGCGAAAATATGGTTTTCTCTTGCCTAAATAGAATGTTTGTGTTTGCCTTGCTTTTATTTAGTTTGTATTGCGAAATTGGATCTCGCCTTCCTCATCGACGGCTCAGGTAGCGTTGGCTTTTCAAACTTCCGCCGTTGCCTGGTATTCATCCAGAACGTTATTCGAGGATTCAGGATCTCTCAGCGATACACACGCATTGCTGCTGAAGTTTACTCTTCAACTCCACGCAGAACATTCCAATTTACCCGATACAGTAATGCTTACCAAGTCCTCAGGGCCGTTGGATCCATAAAGTACCCGCGTGGTGGAACAAACACCGGGAAGGCTCTTTGGGACGTGCTTAGATACGTGTTCCGCGGTAGGACCAACCGGAAAAGGGTCCTTTGTGTATTGACCGACGGACGTTCTCAAGACCATGTGTTGAAACCCGCCCAAGCGCTGAAGCGAGCGAATGTTGAAGTTTTCTCGGTCGGTGTCGGCAGAGGATACAGTATTACTCAGCTAAACCAAATGGCAACAGACCGCAACCACGTGTTCACAGTTGATTTCAGAAACCTCAACTCAATCATTAAGGCCATTAAAAAGAAGGCTTGTAAAGGTAAATGTTCTTTTTGTTGCTAGTTGTTCTTGGGTACACTAAGATTGTAATGAATATTGCTCAGCATCTTAGGGATATAATGTATTAAAATTGTTTACTGATATATGGTTTATTACTTTTCTCACTCACTGGTTCACAGTGACTGACCTATTAATTGAAAATGGTAGACAGTTTGTTCATTTGTTTTTCTTCTTTGTTCTTTGCGTTATTTAAATATTCATACTCTTCTATTGAAGGAGGACAGAAACCACCATCGCCTCACAGACCCTCAGGTACCAGTTTTTTTCCTATTTTCCCCTTTTTTATGACTTGCTTGGTCAAATAGATATATTTCTTCGCCCCAGTGCGTCTTGCAATATATGTTTTTGCTTAGATACAAGGTAAATTTCTGATCGCTTACGAATTTTTTTTTTTCAATATTCTTAAGGAACCCTGCGGGCGGTTGCTGTATACCCATTGAACTCCCTCACCAAGTCACGCGACATCAGCTTCAACAGGAATCCGCCGGGTATCATGTCAAATGTTCGACCAGCCCCAGGTCCCGACGGACGACGTGGAACAAGCTATGAGTTCTTAGGGCGACGCAACAGCTTTATCCAGTTCCCTAACTTCGGAAAAATAGACACCAAAAAATCCATAACTATTTTAGCTTGGGTATACCACCAGGGTCGGGCAGGACCCATATTCAACTATCACCCCAGCGCGTGGGGTGTACACTTCTGGATGGTTGGACCACGCGCTCTGTTCGTTAGATTCACGAAGAGGAGGACTAAAGACTTCACAGCTGCTTTAATGAGCCGAACCGTTAAGCCAAGCCACTGGCAATACGTGGGTGCCTCCTATGATCACTCAAATGGAATGGCCAAGTTGTTCGTCGGTGGAAGACTGGTTTCAAGGAAACGAATTGGAAGAATACGATTGGCTACGAATTATCCTGCGAGAATGGGGGTGAGGATTGGCGATGGAAGGTATTTCCGTGGACGTATTTCGTGTCTCCAGGTTTACAGTGCCCCCTTAAATGCCAGACAAATAGCTGCACGCGCAAAGAGATGTTTTGTTCCAGGTAAATTGTTATTTTTCTTCTTTCATCTGCATTTTGAAACTCGGCCACTAAGCTACAATTCCTTCCAGTAGTTTTCATTACATTCGATCTAATTTGCCCATCTGGTATTTAACTTTGCCAGGACTTCCCAAACCACGACCGCCACCACGCCCAACTGGACAGCTGTTTAAACGAAGAGGTTGCTATAAAGACAGATCTCGCAGAGCCATGGGTATACTACTCGGCAACCTACGACGAAGGCGAGATGCAGTCATGCGTTGCTTCCTATTGGCGTCCAGGCGGGGATATCGAGCATTCGGTGTCCAGGATGGCGGAGAATGCTTCTCTGGCCCTCAGGCGCACCGCACGTTCAGCAAATATGGCCGATCGGGTAGATGTAAAAATGGAAGAGGAGGACCATGGGCGAATGATGTGTATATAATTATTAGAAAACGTATGTAGGTTTAAGCTTGAATATTCAATTTTTGAAGAACTTGTATAACATATTTGCAAATTTGCAAACAAAGAATTGATTGGAACTTAATCATCATGTCTTGAAATGGCAACCGTATAACCTAAGTTTCAGATTATCTTACCCTATATCTTTAATCAATCTCTTTAATGCAGAGTGAGATAGCAAATTCCATGATCCTTAATCGAAATATAGTGCTATCTTAGAATAACTTGCTATGTTGTTTGTCCCTATAGGACCTATTCCGCGACCTCTTCCTCGGCCCAGACCTCAACCGCGCCCTGCTCTACCAGGTGAGATGACACTTGATAAAATTGACGTTTCCTGAACTTGGAGCCTTTAATTTCATATATTTTATATTGTTTAAAATATCCAGTGACATACCCTTACAGCATTTTTTGGTAGTTTGTTTCCTTCGTGGAAGACTACTACAAACGATATGCTATATATTGCAAAATTTCACTCATTCCATGGTCCGTATACCAATAATATATTTATTTATCTCAACAGTTTGCAAAGCCCGTTTAGACTTGGGCTTCATTGTAGATGGTTCCGGAAGTGTTGGTCGTGCGAATTTCATTAGATGTCTGAACTTCATCAAGAATTTAGTCAGCTCGTTTGTAATCTCTCCCGGCCATTCTAGAGTGGGACTTCTAATATACTCTCACCGCGTCATTCCAGTATTCTCTTTCGGTCAACGCCCACGTTTGCGTGGGGTCCTACGGGCAATTAGTAGAATCAGGTATCCTGGAGGGGGTACTAAGACCGGTAAGGCTCTGTCTTACTCTAGGAGGTACCTGTTCGCCCGAAGTAGCCTCCGTAAGATTTTAATACTGATGACAGATGGCAAGTCGTACGATAGAGTCAAGAAACCTGCAGCAGTGCTACGTAACATGGGAGTGCAGGTGTTTGCTCTGGGTGTCGGAAAACGATACAGCATGAAACAACTTTTGCAGATTGCAAGCAATCGACGGCATGTCTTTACAGCAGACTTTAGGAACTTGGGATCGTTTGTGAGGGCCATCAAACAGAAAGCTTGTCGAGGTGCGGTCGGATATAACAAGATGTAGTATCTAAATACTCTTAGCGTTTATCAGCACATGGGAATTGCTGCCTCTAAAACAACATTTCCTTGCGGACTATCAGGCTTACAGATTTTGAGGGGGGCACCATGTTCTAACAAGGAAGCGAAAACCTTACAACAGCAAAGTTGCCAACAATAAGGGCGATTTTTGAAGCAACGATAACGTGTAATTTAAAGTACTTTTTTACTTTTTGTCGTGAACCCAAAACCGATATTGTATTAGAGGCCAATTAAATCTTTAAGCCTATGTCTATAATAGGGCGGGAAAAGCGAGTGTGAAAGACCCAGCTGATATGAGTTTTGCTTCTGATTGGTTGATGCTGATTTCTGATTTTTGTTTTGCATTTGATTGGTTTACAAGAGGCGCGTTTTTCAGGACCAATCATAAAGCATACTTTAACAGCGAACCGTTACTTGATATATTTTTTGGTGAAGTCAATTAGATTGCGACCATTGAGAAGCTGGTCGTGATCGCCAGCTCTATTTCCCTGCAATGTTTGAATCTAACTACACGTGTAGTTTCCAGTGTAACATTACTAATACTACCTTTCTGTAATTTGATTAAAGTTACTTTTCTATATTCCAGGTATTACCAAGAAACCGAAAAAACCACGTAAGTCCACTGACTTTCACCTCGCGTAAACGTTTCCTAACTTACCATCTGTGCAGTAACTCTGGCTCTTTCTCATTCGAAGTAATTTTGTAAAGCAAAGATCTGCGAAATCATTGATGATGTTAAACCCCTCTCTTGTTGGACGCGGTCCCAGACGTCGATCCAAAGTCTTCATCCAACATTACATCTTAGCTTCGAAAGAGGAAACACATACGCTCTTAAAAAAACATATTGGAGATACTGCTGACTTCTATTATCACGTAGAAAATAAGATGGCCCTTAAAATAGAGAGCTTAACTCCTGTTGAACTTACCTCGGATGCATGCGTATAGCTGATCGCACGCTTAATGAACTATGAAAATATTCAACATTACTTTTGATTTTACAAACCCGCTTAAAGCTGAAATAGAAAATTTGATCAAATGCCTTCATTTTTGCATATGAACAGACGCCATGTCCGCTGTCGCCATGTTCCCGTTCAGTAAAACATACAGAGGAAGAGAACTTCGCAACAGGAACCCACCAGGTTACCCGTCTCACGTCCTATTCACCCCCGGTCCCGATGGATTACCATACGGTTCTTATTACTTCCTTGGTCGACCAAACAGCTACGTGGAGATTCCTAACAAAGGAACACTGGATGTTCGTAACTGCATCACCATCTTGGCCTGGATTTATCACGAAGGAAACGCAGGACCGATTGTGAACTATAAGCGCAATGGATGGGGCGTCCATTTCTGGATGGTCAACCCCAGAACGCTGTTTGTGCGTTATACGCAGCGTCTTGGACGGCGCTTCACGCACGCTTTGGCGTACCGCGGTGTAAAACCGCGAACATGGCAGTTCGTTGGAACTTCGTACAATCGAAACACAGGCGTTGCTAAATTGTATATTAACGGCAAGACGGTTTCGCGCCGAAAGATCAGAAAGATTTCATTGGCTACCAATTACGAGATCAGAGTTGGAGCTCGTCAGGGTGACCGTCGCTATTTCCGAGGTCGAATTGCTTGCCTACAATTTTATAGCGCTGCGTTGACGACTAACATGATCCGTCGGCGAATGAGGGCTTGCTTTAGAAGAGGTAAGCTTAAATGGAAGTCTATTTTAAGGAGTGGATAAAAAAAAAATATGACTTATGCGTTGAATGCAGGTTGTCATAAATCATAGGATGACTAACTTCAGGAAGCCTGATATCAATCCATCTTTGACGCCTTAATGGACTTAATATAATTAAAACCCTACGTTTGGAGAGAGGAAACCGATGCCAATGTTTTTATCTGTTCCATTCGACTATTATAAGACGTTGTGAGTCTCAACAAACGAGTTACTGTGTTAGAATCGTATTTAAGTTCTCCTCTTTCTGTTTTCAGGCCCCATGCCTGTTCCGATTCCGAAACCGAGACCCGGAGGACGAGGTGAGTATCGTGCGCAATTAATTTCGCTTTTTAGGGGCTTGATTTAAGCATAGTTAGTAGAAGGGACTGGTTAAAAAAGCCCGTAAACGGTATCACGACGTTTACTCATGATTCCGTCGCTGCAGACTCAGCGGAATCGGACCACTTTTCCCCCTATGTTTTTGCCAGTATTCCGTTGAATGCAACGTTTGTTTCCGGTGCCAAATTTATTGATGACGTTTACTGAAAAGAAACCGAAACAAAGACTTTTACATTTCCGTATTGTTTCCGAATAACGGAATCATCCAATTTTGTCCCGTGTCCAAGCGTTATATTTACCATCTTCTTTCTTCTCGTTTTTCTTTTTTTTTTTTTCAGTTTGCAAAACAAAACTTGATCTTGGTTTCGTCATTGATGGCTCCGGAAGCGTAGGACCCTCGAACTTCAGACGCTGCCTCCAATTTATCCAGAACATGATTCGTACTTTTGTCATATCACGTGGCTACACGCGCGTTGGAGCGGTCCTCTACAACACAAGAGCGTACAAATTATTTGGCTTTAATCGATTCGGAAACAAAAACCAACTTCTCAGCGCTGTAAGTCGCATACGGTATCCGAGGGGAGGAACGAAGACTGGTCGGGCATTAAGCTACGCATACCACTATCTGTTTCGTCGAAGTAGGAGGCGGAAGATGTGTATTGTCATGACAGACGGACACTCTTACGACAGCGTAGTTGGTCCCGCACGGACCTTGCGTAAGGGAGGAGTGGAAATCATCTCGCTTGGCTTGGGGTTACGCTACAACATCCGGCAGTTACGACAGATGGCATCCAATCACAGACTGGTGTTTACAGCACGGTTTAGAAATCTGAATTCGGTTGTCAGAGTGATCAAGAGGAAAGCTTGTGGTGCAACAGGTCAGTCATAGTTTGGTTTATAAAACATATTCCCTTGCTGGAAAACCTAGTCATCCAGTAAAAAATTACATGAAATACACTGACGAAAGTGCATGCTCAAGGACGAGAGACTACACTCGTGATATCTAGTATAAAACTACTGCTTAACACTGACGCAAGTTCCCCTCGAAGACGGTAGACTAAATCTGAGACATACGTGTCAAAATGAGATCAAGCCACTAACTTAAGTCAAAAATCGAGGACTGTGGACTAAATTCGTGATATATATAGATTCACGCCCGAGTTCGAAGTATCTGGAACTCGTGGAAATGCGAATGAAAAAATAATTATTGTAAACATCAGAGTTAAAAAAAACCGTGACAAATTCTGCTCAAGAGGTTTGCATAGGAAATTACCTATGGGCTAAAAGTATAGCCTCTTTATTAAAGCAGGACTGGGTGTCGCTTGTAAAAATGGCAAAACGCAATTCAAGTGATAGAGAAGTTTTCCTTCTTTTTGGTTAAGACAATTTAATACCAGATTGTAGAGACACAAGTGTGTTTTCTTACTCTTGAGTTTGTACGGTCCATCAACCCTCAATGCATATCAATTGTCAACTACCTAGGTGTGAAACCAAAACCACACCCTCGCCCCAAGCCTCCCGGTCCTAATCAAGTCACGTACTTCTGGGAAGGATGTTATAATGACAGACGAAGACGAGCCATTAGATACAGACTTGGAAACTTCCACCGAGCCAAAGACCCTGTCATAGCATGTGCACAAGCAGCTGCTAAGCGTCGATTTAAGGTGTTTGCGGTGGAGAACGGTGGAGAGTGCTACTCAGGCCGTTTGGCACACAGTACGTACAATCGTTATGGACCTTCTAATCGATGTAGACGAGGCAGAGGAGGACCATGGGCAATGGATGTATACAAGTTTGGAAGACGTATGTTTTGTGTTCATTTGTTTATGAAAAAGCGTGCGAATGCAACGATTTAAAGAAGCTATGTCATGGCTTAGTTGTCATTACGAATTCAGTCTATATGAGTAATTTTTTAGCTCGTATTTACAATCCGCTTTATGCTCTTCAACCTTATCTTTTGAGGTTCGATTTACTTTCAATCTTCCCTCTTTGATGTTTTTCCACACTAACAAGCTACTGTTTCAAGGCTCATTTCGTCCCTAGAGAATTGCTTTGTATTAAAAAATGATTAACACTGTCATGACAAAGTAAGGAGCAAAATTATATCAGGAACCCCCATTACGCAACTTAGACACACAGTGTTACATCAGTAGCTCGCTATGATGCACTGGTACCTAGCGCTACAGAGGCTAGCGCTTTCCAGTGCATAGTTGGTGCTTATGACGAGTCTGAACCAGGCAAAGGTGAAAAAATCAAAGGCCCTCTGTCTAAAACTCTATTGTACCATCGTTAAAATAACCAAAGACTATAATTTCACCATATAATTTCGTTAACCTTGTGATGTCATGTTCTGATTACAGCAAAGGGTTGGACCAATGTCCATATCCGAAGTATCGGTTGCTTCAAAGACAAACCCAGACGGGCCGTGGGAAACATGGTAGCTAACCTGCAGGGCTTGAAGTTTGTCGTCAGAGACTGCGCGCGCCAGGCGCGAAAACGGGGTTACAGGTTATTTGCAGTTCAAAATGGAGGTGAATGTTGGATGGGTCCCAGGGCTAAGCTCACCTACAAGAAGTATGGTACTTCTAAGCGGTGTCGAGGAGGAAAAGGAGGCCCGTGGGCTAATAATGTTTATGTCATAATTGTCAAAGGTATGTCTCAAGCTCTCGCTTACAATACTATTACTTTAAAAAGCAACAGATTCCTACGGACTTACATTTGAGCAGCGATGTTGCTTCTTGTTTTGTTTACATGTCTAACATCTCTTGTAGGTCGACCACCTTTGCCTCGTCCCAGGCCACGCCCCAGACCACGACCCAGGCCATATCCGAGACCAAGACCCGTTCCCAGACCAACCGGTCGAGGTAAGCTAAGACATAATTTCTCTAGGCCCAATCAGGGGACCCCTTGAGCTTAACGGCATGTACACAGACTGATCAGGGAATGACGCTGCAGAAGTTTTGTCCATGATCGTTCTTGGTGCTGTCTCCATGTGCCTTAATATCAGCACCAACGTTTTCCAAGCTGTCTCATGCCATGATGTTTACCTTGATTCATCGATATTTATGTGTTTGTATCGCAAGGACTTCAAAAGGTAACACCACAAGGCTGCCCACAGCATTGAAAAAAAATTTGCAGGAATGCAGAACAGTTTAAAAGTTAAAATTAACTCTGATCATAACTCGCCGTCTTTGTCACGAAAATCCGATTTTCCATAACCATTTTCTATTCCATTTTTTCTCCTTACAGTTTGCCGAGCACGTCTTGATTTGGCTTTCTTGATTGACGGCTCCGGCAGCATTGAAAACTCCGGCAAAGGCAACTTCCGTCGCTGTCTACATTTTGTGAAGAGGATTATCGCTTCGTTCGCAGTGTCGCGATCTAACACGCGCGTGGGAGTTGCTCTCTTCTCCACTCGAACATGGCTGATTTTCGGCTTCAACCGCTACGCTAACAGGCGGCAGGTCTACCGAGCGATTGATGGTATCAGATATCCATCTGGAGGAACTAGGATAGGAAAGGCCCTGAGATTTATGTATCGCAGATTGTTCCGAACTAGTAGACGTCGAAAGGTAACATTTATAAAAAAAAAAACACTCTTGATTAACAGGGCAATTTGCGAATAAATGTCATAAACCATTGTAATCACAGGTCTCAAATAAAGGAAAAGAAAATGTCAGGAGGCGCCAATGAAAACTCAAAATAAAAGCATGTAAGCAGCCTCGAGTGTTGGAAAATGAGACCATTAAAGTCGGAAGAGGTCTTAATTTTAGATCGGATTGGGAAGAATATGGAGCAAATTTTATAAACCAATAGTACAGCGTAGTGGTGTAAATCAATACATCTCCTTATTAACTTCGACATTCACTCGAAAATTCATTTAGATGCTGGCCAAAGTTGTTTCACGAGGATAAATTTATCCAAGATTACATCTTACCATCAAGATCCAATGTATTAAATTTTTGTATCTGTTAAAAAAAAGGTTTTCGGAACATATTCATAGTAGTTGTACCTTCCTTTACAAAATTCTTTTCTTCATTTCATAAACAACCCACCACATAATCAGTCGAATGCAAAAACCAGCCCCGAACTGTTAACAAACAATTAATTTTGGCTAAGAATATTTGATGTGTGTTTCCATGGTGTTTACATCAAAATTATTGGTTTCTTATAGGCTCTTATTGTGCTGACAGACGGCCTGTCACAAGACTCTGTCAGGCAGCCTTCACTTGGTCTCCAAAGGTCTGGTGTTAGCACATTCGTTGTCGCAATTGGACGAAAAACAAGCCGAAGGCAATTGCATCAAATTGCCTCAAGTTCACGTAACATTTTCAGGAGCAGCTTCAGAAGACTTAGTAATGTTGTAAGAAGCTTAGCGAGAAGAGTGTGCTCAAACCGAGGTGAGTGTGGGGTTCAAAATGGCACTGAAATACAATGATTTGGAAAGAATTCTGTCCTGCCCTACCCATGTGTTCTGTCAGTTTTAGCTGACGAGAGGAAGGAGAGAGGAATTGCTACCTCACTTGCGCTTTGTGTCCCACTGCTACTTAACTTTTTTCACTTCCCTGTTTATTTATAGTGAGACCCAAGCCAAAACCAGTGAGACCGGTTAGACCACCCAGACCAAAAGGTTAGTTGTACCATGTTGCCTTCACCATTGTTCTTATTATTTACTCCTTGAAGACTATATTTTGGAATTGAACGGCAATCATTCTTTCAATTTTACGAATTAAAACTATTTCACCTATCAAGCTGAGATATGGTTCTGGAATTGATACGTGGACCTATTTTTCACCAGTTACAACCAGAGCCGTCGCCATATTCCCACTTAACGGAGGTAGCAGGGGTAAAGATATCAGTACCCGCCGAAATGCACGTGGAATACTCAGTTATGTTCGCCCCGCGCCTGGACCGGATGGAACTCGTGACGGTTCCTACCAGTTCTATGGAAGAAGCAACAGTTACATCCAGTTCCCTAACCGAGGAGGCCTTGATACCAAGAATTCAATCACTTTCCTTGTGTGGATTTATCACCAGGGCCGCGCAGGACCCATCTTCAATTACATGCCCAATGGTTGGGGTGTGCACTTTTGGATGATTTCACCAAGAACGCTGTTTGTGCGGTTTACGCGTCGCAGAGGACGTCGCTTCACGAAGGCGGTTCTAAGTAGGTCAGTCGTACCGAATCGTTGGCAGTTTGTTGGCGCAACGTATGATCAACGAACAGGAATAGCGAAACTATTTGTAAATAGAAGATTCACAGCACAGAAGTACATTGGGAAAATACGTTTGGCGACCAATTACCCAGTGAGAATGGGAGCTCGTATTGGTGATGGACGATATTTCCGAGGACGAATCTCCTGTATGCAGGTTTACAATGGTGCTTTGTCACACTGGAAAATCATCTCAAAGAAACGAAGGTGCTTTAGAAGAAGTAAGTAGAGCTTGATAATATGTTTTCGTTCATAAACAAAAACTATGATTGATTTAAATGGTACCGAAAGATTCGTTTTCCAATTTTGATTCCACTTCCCAAAGGCATATTTCTCTTTAAAGAGGTAAATTGCATCTTAGTTTGTGGCAGAACAAAAGACAAACAAACATTCCGGAACATTCTGACTTCATGCAATACACGATACTCTCCAGAGTCAATCAGAAACAACAGAGAAGTTTTATCTTTTTTTAAAGAGGTGTTTCATTTTTGTCTCATCAACAGCTCCAGTAAGACCAAAACCCAAGCCACCTGGCCGAGGTATGCGACTTTTCTAAAAACACAATCAAATCTCACCTATACTAACAATACAAAAATATCATGTTAGTCGTTGGTGATTATCCGCCGCATGTCACGTATTTGAGACACACGTTAACCACGCGTGGTAGCGTGTTGGAGTCTGCGTTGAGAGATGTAGGTTTGATCCGTAGCCGAGTCACTATGTTGTGTTCCTGGGCGATGGAGCAGCATGCTATTCGGGAAGAGAAACGATATTCTTAATGCTTCTGAAATGAAAACCGGGACTAGCTCGACTGGTAATGTGCTAATAGAATCGATAGAAGTAATCTTTGCCCTCCGTTTATGCTCCAATGATAGGATACGGTACAGCGGTGCGTTGTGCCACTGCAAGTTTCGTTTCCGATCGTATTGTGCGTTCTAGAACGACTTCAAGATCAGGGTTCATAATCTACATTTATTTCATCATACATGTAGAGCCTCGTCAAAAAAATTATTCTTTGGTATCTTCTCTTTCATAGGGTGCAACAAACGCCTCGACTTAGCGTTCTTGATTGACGGATCTGGAAGTATTAATTCTGCCGGACGCGGGAACTTTAGGCGATGCATTGAATTTGTCAAGAGTGTGGTGTCTTCATTTAATGTGTCGCCTCGCCACACCCGTGTGGGAGCGGTCTTATTCTCTTCCCGCGCATGGCTAATATTGGACTTCTACCGTAGCAGAAGCAAAGCTGGTGTGTTGAGCACCATTAGTCGAATCAGATATCCGCGCGGAGGAACCAGGATTGGAAAAGCTTTGAACTTCGTGCTATATCGATTGTTTAGAAGAAGTCGAAGGGCACTCAAGGTTAGAGCCACTTGAATAACTTCAGATAGTTTTTCTTTCTTATTAAGTTTTTATGTAATGTGAAGTGAAAAAGTCCTTGCAATAGAGTGATCCTGACAATCTTCTTGTGAAACCAAACACTGATGAGTCGTACATATCACGAAGTACCTTCATGTTTAAATGATAGAAGGTGTATAATCTACTGTTAGACAATTCCCTACACATCAATAATATTTTTTTGAATTGGTGTGTTTTTCGCGCAGTTCGGCGAATTTCCCCTCACCCTTATGATCACCTAGGTATGAACATTTGCGTTATTTTCCTTGCGACTTGACTTTAGGATTTCGGTTCATCTCTCGAATAATTCACCGCAGTGTGAAATCCCTATTATGTTCCTTGTTAGCACAGTGATCCATAAATGTATCTGCTTTGTTAGGCCCTGGTAGTAATGACCGATGGCATCTCTCAAGACTCTGTTCGGAGGCCGTCACTGGCTCTGAGAAGCCAGGGTGTATGGGTTTACGCCCTGGGAATCGGTCGGCGGTATCGAAGACGAGAGCTTCAACAGATAGCTACAAACAGTCGATATGTGTTCAGTGCTAACTTCAGAAGCCTCAGTCGGGTCGCTCGTCGCATCTCAGCAAAATTATGCCGGGGTAAGTGCAAACTTTTACTTCTTAGCAAAGCATATAGTCGTCATAATTATCAAAATTATGAGCAATATTATTGTAATCATTATCGTTATCATTATTATCTTTGTCATTGTAAAAGTCATCATCTTTGTCGTCGCCATGTTCATAATCATCAGCACCATTATCATTATCGTTATCATTCTCATCATCGTCATCATTATCATCATACCAAAGTCCTTCACTACCTATGTATTGCTGAAACTCCAAACCTTTATCACAGGTCGTCCACTCCGTCCCAGGCCACACCTTCCAGGTCCCCAAATAAGACCAAGCGGCAAAGGTATCCGATTTATTAAGTGATGAGGTTATTTCTAGGTTACACAGGGTTCTTCTTGTTTAATCTATCTATTGGTAATCTTTTTTAAATTGTTACTACAGCTTCGGTCGCTGAATAATCCCCTGACATTTCATGTTATCTTCCTTTTTTAGTGTGTCGTAAACGTCTTGATCTCGTCTTCCTCATCGATGGCTCTGGTAGCATTGAAGCTAACGGTCGAGGAAACTTCCAGCGATGTCTCAACTTCATTAAACGGTTGGTGGCTTCGTTTGCCATCTCACCAAGGCAAACTCGTGTTGGTATCGTGCTGTTCTCTTCCCGTCCATGGCTGATTGCAAACTTTAGGAGCTACAGGACAAAACAAAGTGTGTTACACGCCGTTAGTCGTATAAGATATCCGAGAGGTGGCACGAGAATTGGTCGAGCCCTGAGATTTGTCAAAAATCGGCTATTTGGAGGGAGAACATACGGGCGGAAGGTAAGTATTGTTTCTTCTAGACAAGTTTATTTATTTGTTTATTTATTTATTTCCTTTAATGTTTATCTTTATGTTGGGGGAGGGGGGCGTTTTTCAGTTTCCGTGTGATCAGATTTAAGGTAGTTCAAAAATGTTTATATTTTCCCTGCATTATCCACCTCTATGCCATAGTATCCATTATACCTTAACCATAGTCAAGTTTTCTAACGTTATGCAGGTTTTGGTTACAATGACCGACGGTATTTCACAAGATTCCGTCGTGAGTCCAGCACGGGACCTCCGAAATGCGGGAGTGAGAATCCTTGCGCTAGGAATTGGCCGGAAATTCAGAAGATCACAGCTAAACCAGATGACAATGAACTCACGATATGTGTTCAACAGTGGCTTCCGAAGTCTGCACCGTGTAGTATCCTCTATAAAGAGAGCAGTGTGCAAAGGTAAATAATATTTACGGGCCACTTAGCAGAGCACTGTTGCCACCGCACCATTATTCAGTTGATTCATGCCAACATGAAGACTGTTTTAATTTGTGTCTTTGCTTCTTGTCATGATTAGGGCGTCCAGTACGTCCCAGACCAGTACGGCCAAGACCCCCCGTGCGCCCTAGCGGTCAAGGTAAGACTGGAACCTAACAAGCTTAATATTGTGTTAAATACAGTGCATGGCAACCAGACCAAAGTTAGTTTTGGGAAGGATAAAGTCACACGTCAAAGTTGAAATTGTAAAAACATAAAAGAATAAATGCAAAGACAAAAAAAATTACTTCTAATGCTACTCCGCTGCACGTAAATGATTTATTACGGTAAATTACCAAAAACCACTCCCTTGTAATCACTTGGATTTTCTTACTCAAATCGAAATGCTCTCTAAAGCCATCATTGCAGCAATTTAATAACACATGTATTTTTGTTATCACAGTTTGTCGCAGACGTCTTGACCTTGCCTTCCTTATTGACGGCTCTGGTAGCATTGAGGCTTACGGTCGAGGTAACTTTCAGCGATGTCTCAACTTCGTCAAACAAGTAGTGGCCTCATTCGGCATCTCTCCGTCCCAAACTCGTGTTGGTATCGTACTGTTCTCCAGCCGTGCATGGCTCATCGCAAACTTTAGAAGCTACAGAAGCAAACAGAGTGTGTTACACGCCGTAAGTCGTATAAGATACCCGAGAGGTGGCACGAGAATTGGACGAGCGCTGAGATTTGCCAAATATCAGTTGTTTAGAAAGAGGACGAGTCGGCGTAAGGTGAGTGCTGGATTGTTTCCTATATTCTGTTCTTGGAGTTTTGGTCTTCATGTAGCGTAGGTCAATACTGAATAGTTTCAGTTAATGTAAATGAGACAAATTTCTTTCCTTTCAAAATGAAAAAAGGTTAAAAAAATAGCTCTGCCTTTTAGGTCCTTATTTGTATGACGGATGGCATTTCACATGACTCGGTGGTGAGACCGTCACGTGACCTTCGAAATGCCGGCGTGCGTATTTTGGCGCTTGGTATTGGTCGAAAGTTCAGGAGATCACAACTTTACCAAATGGCAGGGAACTCACGATACGTGTTCAAAGCCGGATTCAGAAGCCTTAGTGGTGTAGTGAGATCCATTAAAAGAGCTGCTTGTGGAGGTAATTGGTTTTTGACAGGGAAAATTCGACTTCTAAGTTACCTGAATTATCAGGACGATTTTTCTCAGTTTGTTAGGTCAATTTCAGGAAATAATAAGTACTTATGAAATTTCCAAACGAAACTGGAAAATTCTTGAAAGGATTGCATTCGCGATGGTAGGGAAACATCGGCCATTCGTTTCACTCAATGAGAAATGTCCTTCTTGCAGTGGCTGTGCTTTCGAAAATATGTGATCATTTAAACTCTGGCGATTTTGGATTAAGGGTTCAATGCTCACGAAAACAGAAATGATTTTGCAGAGCTTCATAACTTAGTCTCTTCAGGCTTTATTATCACTACTGCTTAAATAGTTTTCATAGCTGCGATGATCGCTCTCGCCTTTATTTGGTCTCTTTTTGCCCAAGATAAGGTGGGTGGGTGGAGGGGGGGGGGTTGCTCTTTAAATATTTTGATTATGTTTAGTCATGTAAGTAAATGAAAAAGCCATAATTATTTTTTTATACTGGTATATCACAGGCGTTCTAATAATACCAGACTCTACCCAATGCTTGCTAACTCGAGGTCGCCTTTTTATAGGATCCACAACACGACCCAGACCTGTGCGGCCAAGACCACCCGTACACCCAAGTGGTCAAGGTAAGACTGGAACCGAAACTGTTAAGTGAGATCCAAATTCACCAATACGTGCTTCGATAAGGTTATCACAACCAAAATGACAAGTTTTAAACCAATTCTGTCCTTCTTTTTACCTATAATGTGTTTCGAAATAGTAAGGATTATAATTCAATAAACGTTATTACCATGACCTATGATAAAGTATTTTTTCCTCCTTAAAATATTTTTCCTCAAATTTTATTTCCTGTCTCTTTGCTGCATGTCAAATATATTTAGAAATTGCTTCTGGAAAACTTGTCGGCAAACTGCTGCGTCCAGTCGGCTATCAAATGTTAGGAGGTATTACATTGGTTTTGCTTTGTGATTGGTCCAGAAAATTGGCGCACCCTTTCAGCCAATTAGATGGAAACTTAAACAAACCACTACTAAGTCACTTACATTTCTCCGCGCATTAGGCTGTCTTCCTATTCATAACTGGGTTCTCCAGGCCAAATTTAATGTTTTCCTTTATTCTTTGTGGTCTATAAGTCACTTACCTACCAGCCACCATTACGACTACTTGACAACGCGTGTTGTTTTCTTTTTTTCCTTTACAGTTTGTCGCAGGCGTCTTGACCTTGCCTTCTTGATTGACGGCTCCGGTAGTATCGAGGCTTATGGTCGAGGAAACTTCAGGCGATGTCTCAACTTCGTCAAAAGAGTCGTGGCCTCGTTCGGCATCTCTCCATCCCAAACTCGTGTTGGTATCGTACTGTTTTCTAGTCGTGCGAGGCTGATCGCAAACTTTAGAAGCTACAGAAACAAACAGAGCGTGTTGCACGCCATTGGTCGTATAAGATACCCGAGAGGTGGCACGAGAATTGGACGAGCGCTGAGATTTGCCAAATATCAATTGTTTAGAAAGAGGACTAGTCGGCGCAAGGTGAGTGTCAAAATAATTTTTTTTTTTAATTTCTTTAACCGATTGTAGCCACACAAATAGGACTTTTTTTCTTCCAACGTAAGGGGTAAGTATTTTTCTTAGTCTTTATTGTTTTCTGCTTTTAGGGTGCTTTTTCAAATTTTTTTTTTTTGATAACCGCTATTAGGATTATAACTCTTCGGTATCATTGCGTAATCAGATTGCTCTGCTTTAAATAAACAAGATTATCCTATATACTTTTTCTCAGACAATCAGACCCATACTTTCCATTTCAAATCTAACCTGGCATTTTTAGAGATGGAATTAACGTCTTGCCAGCCAGATTAGTTAAATGTCGACGTTAGGGCTGTCCTTTACATGTAGTATTTCAATCACATGACCATCATCAAATGAAGGGCTTTTTCCGATTTAAAGTTTTCGGGTGTGAACAAATTTACTTTGAAAACGCAACTGAGTAAACTTTTGTCAACAGAATATGTTTAAGAAAGGATTTGAATCAGAAAGATGAACAGCTTCTATACTAATCCTTCTCTAAATGACCTTTAGGTCCTCATTTGTATGACTGATGGCATTTCACATGACTCGGTGGTGAGACCGTCACGTGACCTTCGAAATGCCGGCGTGCGTATTTTGGCGCTTGGTATTGGTCGAAAGTTCAGGAGATCACAACTTTACCAAATGGCAGGGAACTCACGATACGTGTTCAAAGCCGGATTCAGAAGCCTTAGTGGTGTAGTGAGATCCATTAAAAGAGCTGCTTGTGGAGGTAATTAGACTGTGGGCAGGAGAAAAGCTCAAAATAATATAATGGAGATAAGTGTCGAAAAGAAGAGGAAATAGGGAGGCTTGAAAACATCTAAAATCAGATTATTAAGAAGGCATTCATACAAGAGAGTGTAGTTTTGATTTTGGATAAATCATCGTTGCTTATTGATTGATCATGATTGTGACAATGAGCTTTTTGTTCTACCTTTTCCAAAAGTTCAGGCAAAGTCAGGGAATTTTGAAAACCTTTGGTAGTGGCAACCATTTCCAAGTTCAAAGCGTCCAAAAATCTCCGAGCCAGTTCATGTAATGAGAACACCTCAATCGTTCCATATGAGGCTTACAATCCTTTCTACCCTAGACGTGTAACAACTTGATGCTTTTTTTCTCTCAGTTGACTTTGATGTAATTTAACGTTTCATATTCGTTACGGCAGTGAAAAGAGGAAAGAAGAAAAGAAACTTAATAATTGTCAGACCTGATGAGGACAAGAGAAATAGCCAAGCAATAAGGGAACAAGAGCAAGTGAGAGGAACACAACGAAGTGAAATTTCTAGAGTCAAGAATCAAGGTAAGCACTGAAAGAAAGCGAGTCAGATAAGTGGGACGATAATATTAATAATAATATTATAATAAGTGGGACGATAATATTATTTTACGAAGATTACAAGAGCTAAACGTTCTCACATCGTCGAATTTTCGAATAAGTTGGAAACGTCTTAGTTATCATTCTAAATAGAATCACGAACCAGTGGAGTTGGCTAATGATTCGAGGTATTCAGGGTAAAATTTCGCCTCAAATGCGTTGCTTTTTTATACTTCCCGCACCGGTCAGAAGCGCAGTCCAACGTTTAGTTTGCCAAGCGAATTCCAAAGTTCATCTATCAATACTTTTTTGTAACAGATAATCAAACAGATCTGACCCCCAGCTGCTTGTGGCACTTTGTGTCACCCTTAAACAACTCAGAAGCATTGGATAAAATCCACAATCGTGTTATCCACCTCGACGGCGGAGCCTTCATGAAAAACACAACTGACGCGGGCTTAGTCGCTGACACTAATGGTGGATGGTTGTCTCTTAAAGAAACCAATGGTGAGACTCTTGAAAACCTTCTATCCTTTTGAATTCGTCTTTAAGATTTTGTTGTCTTAGTCGTTAGGTTCTTTAAAATTTCTTTAATAGCATGATGTAAGTATAATTTGATTTCATGTGAAACAAAAAAATTAAAATTAATTATGGGGGACACTTTCCTTAACACTTACCCCTCAATTGTACTGCAAATATATGAATTGCAATATTCACTTCTACTGTGCTGAACACTCCCTTGGAAACTAGTTTAAAGAGTTTGTGAACACATAATCTCCGAACTTTTAAGTTTGTCTCTTCCCATAGCTTGTGTCATTTATTGTTATTTTATGGAAAGGTTTCATGAAGGGGATAGAAAGATTCGCAACACAAGCTTGTTCTGTATTTTAGTGAGTGACGCGTTCATCACGAGTATATTTTATTTTTCTTTAGCTACCTGCTTCAGTGATCCTGGACATTGCTCTGATAAAGGAATGACGGTGATGGCCTGGATCAAACTCAACAAGACTTCACTGAGTAACACGACCAGTTCCTACATCATGTCTAGTGGTGGCCAGTCCACCAAGTCGCGCGGTTTTGCAGTGTTATATCTTGCCAACAAATATATTGTTATTCTCAGCACGAAAAACAAGCAGTGGAAACTCGACACACCTGTTCTGCCGAGCGGATGGTTCAACCTCGCTTTCACTTGGCGGGAGGCGGGTCAACTCAAGCTGTATGTCAATGGTACCCACGTGACCAGTGGAAACCCTGCTCTAGTTTCCAGACCTCTAGACTCGTTCACAACCTTTGATATTGGTCGACCAAACAACTCGGAAAAACCAATTTACAGATTCCCATTAAGAATCAGCAACTTGGCACTTTGGGAGAGAGAACTGTCACTAGAAGACTTGAAATCAGGTTAGTTACTTGATTTTCATGTTTCTCTTAACTTCTCATTATTTGCTCATTATTTTAAAGATGATTCCTTTTGAAATATTTCAAAATTTGACTGGCCAAATTATGTTTTGTATGATTGGTGGGTATCTACCTTCACAGAGTATGTACTATAGAATTTGGTTTTTTGTCGTTGTGATCTCATGAATCTTATTGGTCCTGAAATGTCACCTGGTTGAAATGTAACTATGACAGTTTTAATAAGGAATGTTTTTGTATTGGGAAAATAGACAAAAATCACGATTATTGCAGGGTTACATTTATGATTAATTTGGTGCCAAAGAAACTTTATTGTCGTTTAATCCTCAACTCTGTACCATCAGTAAACATGTTCTCCATGCTTTTTCTTTGCCATTTCTCATATGATTTTGATTAAAAAGCAAGAAATTCTTGAGTTGCTTTTAATGTCATTTATTCTCGTTGCCGTAATGTTTCATTAAGGGTGATCATTTTGGGGAAAATTTCATGCAAACACTGTTAAGATATATAGGGTTAAGTGGAAGGTATTTTCATTTTCTCTTTTCAGCAATGAGTGCGCCAAAAAGCCAAAACAGTCGACCACAAAACAAGAAGACCTAGGTAAATACCATTCAATAAAAGTGTCAGATAACCTTTAAGATTTGATAGAGTAAATGCTGTTTATTGGATCTATGAAAACCCTAAAAGTAGTTTTCAAGTGCCATTAAGGGTCAAGAGAAAGGAGAGAGAACTTGGCGTACGCAGGTGACGTAGTATGAACGGAAAAATCAAGTAATCCGCAATGCGAGGCCAACCCAGAAAGAACAACTTCAAGCTCAGTCTGAAACACACAATGACTTTTAGATCTATTTTTAATTGAATGTGGAAAGTAAACCGGAATTTTATTAGTAGTGCTTGCGACTTAGTCTCTCGCGTTTTCCTGCGTTTCAGGCAGTTCGCCTGCTGTAACCTTGAGTTTTCATTGGCCGTTGTGATTACATTGGTGTTCGTTTTACGGCACTCAATTGAAGTGCGCATTTTTCACTTCTCGGTCAATCATAAACGGAATGAAACTTGCCAAGTACTTAAACTATTTCTCGTCATTTTTTTTTCTTTTTTTCAGATAGAAATTCATCGTAGCATTTATTTTAGAAGGATCACAACGTCTCCGTAGCGGAAGCTCATTTCCTAGATTCAATGATATTTGTTGAATTTCCATGTTTTTATTTGATGTTTCTCGTCTGCTATATGCTAATAAATATAATTATAAACCTTATATTGATTCTCGTCTCTTTCTCCCCACAAAGGAGCTCCCACTTTAGCCATTTGTAGACAGCTAATCTTGTTCATGAAAATCCTCTTTTCTCCAGCACATGAACATTGAATTAATAGCAATTCATTAATGATCTTTGGAGCATTTATTCATGCGAAAAACGGCCAATTTTGTTCTTTAACAAAATTCTATTGTTTGAATATTCAGGAGAGATTTTTTCGGCTCCTGAGCGAGCTGTGTTTTTGACACTTAAAAACAATAGACATTTAATCATACTCTTTCTATCGCGCTATTATTTACACAGAAAATCCTCTCTCTGATCTAGGTATAAGACAATGAATATTGAAACAATATAAATTAGTTAATGAGCTTTTGGGGAACTCGAGCTAAACCTAGTTCTAAGGGTCCACTTTGCTAATATTGAATATTTAGAGCAGATATCCTAGGCCTTCGTTCGAGCTGTTACTTTGACACAATAGACGGCTAATTCCAATTTTAAACCCGCAATGAATTGTGCCGAAAGTCCTCTTTCTGACTGGCACATGGATGAGGAAACAATAGAAATTGGTTAACGAATTCTTGAGTCCTTCGCGCTAATTCTAGTTTAAGAGGTCCATTTTGATGATTAACAAAATTCGTTTGTTCCAATATTCAGAGGAGATTTTCTAGCCCCACAAATTAACAATGTCTTTGACGTTTGCCCACAATACAAAGCTTATATTGTTCTTTCCGACGGGCTATGAATTGCCCCAAAATTCCCCTCCTTGACCGAGATATGAGCCCATGAATATTGGAACAATAGAAAATGGTTAATGAGCTTCCGGGGAACTCGAGCTAACCCATGTTCTAGAGATTCGCTTTGCTCATTAACAAAATTCTTTTGTTTGAATATTCACAAAAGATTTTCTCGTCCTACGAGCGAGATCTAACTTTGACACTTCAATGAAATTGAAAGCTAATTATAGTCTTCCCGACGAGCTATGAATTGCCCCGAAATTCCCCTTTTTGACCGAGATATAAGCCCATGAATATTGTAACAATAGAAATTGGTTAATGAGCTTCAGGGGAACACGAGCTAACCCAAGTTCTTGAGATTCGCTTTGCTCATTAACAAAACTCTTTTGTTTTAATATTTACAAAAGATTTTCTCGTCCTACGAGCGAGATCTAGCTTTGACACTTAAACACGATAGAAAGCTAATACTGGTCTTTCCGACAAACTATGTCTCGCCCCGAAATTCCCCTCTTTGATCGAGATATAAGCCCATTAATATTGAAACAATAGTAAATGGTTAATGAACTTTTGGGGAACTCGAGCTAACCCATGTTCTAGAGATTCCCTTTGCTCATTAACAAAATTCTTTTGTTTGAATATTCACAAAAGATTTTCTCGTCCTAAGAGCGAGATCTAACTTTGACACTCAAATGAAACTGAAAGCTGACCATAGTCTTCCCGACGAGCTATGAATTGCCCCGAAATTCCACCATTTTACCGAGATATAAGCCCATGAATATTGAAACAATAGAAAATGGTTAATGAGCTTTTGGGGAACTCGAGCTAACCCAAGTTCTAGAGACTCACTTTGCTCATTACCAAAACTCTTTTGTTTGAATATTCACAAAAGATTTTGTCGGCCTACTAGCGAGATCTGATTTTGGCACTTAAATGAAATTGAAAGCTGATCACAGTCTTTCCGACGAGCTACGAGTTGCCCCGAAATTCCCTTCCTTGATCGAGATATAAGTCATGAATATTCAAACTATAGAAATTAGTTAATGAGCTTCTGTGGAGCACGAACCAACCAATGTTCTAGAGATTGTCTTCGCTCATTAACAAAATTCTTTTGTTTGAATATTCAAAAGAAATATTCTCGGCCCACGAACGAGCTGAATTTTTGACACTTAAGCACAATAGAAAACAAATCACGCTCTTTCCAACGTGGTGGGTATTGTTCCTGAAATCTTCTTTTTGACCCAAATATAAGCCCATGAATATTGAAACAATAGAAATTGGTTAATGAGCTTATGGGTAACTTTCCTCATTAACAAAATTATTTTGTTTCAATATTCAGAGGAGATTTCCCTGGCCCACAGAGGAACAGGAACTTTGACACTTGGACACAACAGACAGCTCAACTTGATCTATCTAACGAGCTATAAATTGTCCCAGAATTCCCCTCTTTGACGGATATTTGAGCCCATGAATACTGAAACAATAGAAATTTGTTAATAAGTTAATGAGTCTCTTGGGTCAATAGGGAAGGGTCAATTAACAGTTTTCCATTGTTCTCGGCCCACAAAAGAGCTTGCTTTTGAGCTTTTACATTCAATACGCTCTTTCTAATGAGTTGCAATTTGTCCTGGAAATCCACCTTTCTAGAGAGATAGGCACATGAATATCGGGAACAATACAAATTCGTAGATGAGGCTATGCCTAATCTTTGAATAAAATGGTCAGTTTTTCTTAATAAATATGCAATCGATCTTTATAGTAATGAACACCGCTTATTCAGTGGTTAAAATAAGGCCTGAAAAAATTCAGGCCTGTACGGGATTTGAACTTATGACCTTTGCGTTACTGGTGTAGTGCTCCACCAACTGAGCTAATAAACCAACTGGGAGCTTTTCGTTGTGTTGGTTCGTAATAAATCCGTGTAGTGATAAATCAATGACTGTAAATATATGAAAATCATATGTGTGAACTGCAGTTTCAGAGACGAAAATGAAAGCGATCTTCGGAGTATTGAACACTACTTAATTACTTTTCTTAGCCCTAAAGAACGTGCAATTATTTGTCTGATCAGTAAAGCATACAAATACATACCAAAAAAAATGCAATACTTTATTCAAAAGTTGCAAAGAAATGACTAAGACAGTACAGCTATGTCATAAGTTGTTTAGCTAAACAGATTATTATGTCTATAAGGCTATTAAAACATTTTATGGTTGAAGAAAAGTGTAGATCACAACGTGAAAGAGAATCCCTGAATGAAACGATAGGCCGAGTCAAATAAAGATTGAAATGTGTCTGAGATTCAAGCTTGGAAGTATTCTTCTTCAGGCGATTTGCTTACGTGATGCTTTTTGATTGTATCTGTTAAAAAAAAACAAACAAACAAACAAACAAATGGGAAACAAGTTTCCATAAACCAAACCAATATAAATCACCAAACTTATATTACATTCAAAGGTCGAAACAGTGTAATAAGTTCTACTTACTCTTAACGAATATAACTTATTTAAAATCTCCTTTTAAAATTACCTTATGGACTTTCTTTTCGATTTTAATCTTTGAGACCTCAGAGGAGATAGTACTGAAGATTTCTTGCTACCCTCTGCTTCTATGACGAGCCTGAAAAATAACGATCAATGGTCATGATGAACTAAAAGTTAGTTAGCGGTTATTTATTTAGTCATTTATAAAGCCACTACTACCCACATTATAACAATCGCGAACGATAATCCCTTGTTCTTACATTTCAGTATTATTCTTTGAACCTTTGCCATCGCCTTTAAGCCAGAAGAACTTAGCAGGCCCATGCTTTGAGACAAATGATATTTCAGAGCCCATACCGCTGACCAAACCATGATGTAACGAATCGTCATTTAAGTGAACCACCGGAGTTTCAGTCTTTTTTTTAGAATTAGCAGCATCGTCATCGTTATCAACTGTCTTTGTTTTCTTGATTGCATCGTCTTCTTCTTCATCATCCTCAACGTGAATTTTCTTACGCAATTTACGTTTCCTATGTTTGTGGTTCTCATTTTCGCCATCGTCATCATCGTCGTCATTATTTTCATTGCTATCACCATCACTATCGTTGTCTGAATTCGAGACGTCTTCAACATCAGGATCGTTTCCTCCAGCTTCCTCAGTACTATCTGTCTCGTCGTGTTCCTCGTCGCCTTCTTTATCGTCATCGTCTTGGTCCTCTTGAGAGGGAAGAAAAAGATTGTAAAAGTTATTTTACCACCAATAAGAACAAGGAACCGGGGAGAATTCTGGGAAAAAACGAAGTGATCCGGTGGCGATTGGTCTTAGCTTTGTGGCTATTTGTTTGAAAGGGATATCAGGTGTTTTTCGTTTACCAAATGGACAGCGTAAAGAGGTAGAATGAAAAAAAATCTTTGACTTCACTCGGCTTCAAATTGAAAATGTCACTATTGTATTATAATATATATTCTCTTCTGATAATCCAGCGACTTAAAGAGTCAACCGTCTATCACCCGAAAAATCATTCAAATGATTTGTTTACCTACGCATTCGTCCAGTATTCTCTCAGTCGTGGTAATGAAGGTTGGTTTACAATGTGCGTCAGTCACACAGCGAGCTGTGAGATCAACTTTACATGCCTTTTCAAAGCAAGGATTGAAGCCGCATGCATCCATCGCTGGCACCGTCAATATGCCTGATGTATGAAAAAATGAATGGCGAAAGAGTGAATTAATGAATGAAAGATATATGAATGAATGAAAAATGGGCGAATTAGTTGATAAATGAATGAATAATAAATGACTGAAGGAATGAGTGAGTGCCTTTATTAAGGTGTCTGTTTTTAATAATAATAAGTAAAAGTACCAGTAGATGGACACACTTTAAAATGTTTTGAAACATAATAAGCGCAAAAATTGGTTTGAAAAAACCTACAATTTACGCCCGATAGAATAAAAGACGTTTAAGTTGACGTGATAAAATAAATTTACGTTAAGAACGAAACAATACAGAACAATACTCTTCATGCTTTTCCATTCAGCTATATAAGGCTTGTTTTGAAGAAAAGGACAAAAACACCGCGTACCCCAACCACGCAGTAATGAGAAGAAAAAGAAAAAAAGAAGCGTTTTCGAAAATAGATGGACATTCAACTCTTACTAATATTTCCTTTGAAATGTCTTTAAACCTAGTCCCAATTGGGTTTTTATCACTTTCCATAAATATCCTAAATTGTTAAAACTTCACTCTTACATACAGACCTTTAAGCCGAAAACAGACTCATGAATAGCCTCATGAAGTCCATCAAGAGAAGTACTGGCTTGGTGATAACACACTTTACCTCTGCAGTTAAGTCGCTGACCATTGACTCCAAAGAAGATAGGTTTGCATCCGTAAGACACAACGCAGCGTTCAGCTTGGTAGGTGTAACAAGCAGACTTTTCACAAGGGTTAAATCGGCAAACTCGTTCTGGAGGAATCGATAGTACTACGGCGTCTCCTACATGGCAAAAAAGCATACGGAGTTATTAGACATGCAACAAACTTAGGTTTGTGATGAACTGAAAGTGAGTTCTGAAATACCATAAGCTCGAGCGGCATTGTGATTCAAACACCTGGTCACATTTGTAAAGTCCCGAGAATAAAGGAAATGATTCACTATAAGAAGTTTTTGATTGTTAAACAAACTCTCCTTCTCGCCACTATAGGAAATGTACAGAGAACAAAGTGTAGGTTATGCACCCTGATGCCAGGGCGTAAAGAGTTAATGCTATTACCTGTTAAACGGAAATTTAAGTTTTCCCGAGAGTTTTACCTCTTTTTTTGTACGGTTCTTAGTTTATTACCGTATTATCAATGAAGTGTTTTTACATATTTCTTTTCGTTTTGTCTCCATACCTTTACAAGAGCTGATTATATTTCCATCCCTGTCGAAGAAGATCGGTTTACATTTTGAGTTGCTGACGCACATTGCCGTAGGTTCTGTTACACATTTGGACACCTTACAGGGGTGGTAACCACACAGCTCAAGAGGATCGGCTCGAACCAGGTAATTAGAATCTGAAAATTAATTCTAAATCAATTAAGACAATAATCTAATACAGTTGAGCTAATAATAAAGAGTTTCAAATCCGGTTGGTCTTAAACTACTTAATTTTGTGTGATGCAACTTTAAGGCCTTTGCGATTATCCTGTGCCATTCTGAATGCTACTTAATTGAGAGAGCCAATCGTGAAGTCAATTTAAGAGTCAAGGAATATTACACAGAAAATAATGCTCACAATTGGATATCAAATTCTCGCCCAATCCAACTCATTATCGTAAAGGAAAAATACTTCTTAAGCATATGTGTTGATACATCTACTTTGATCAACTGACCGAAATTGGGAAAATCATTACAGATTCACTTTATGAGTCGAATTAGAGGTGACGCTGAATCTCCAAATGATTGACTTACTTGGACATCTGTGTTCGTTGCAGCGTCTTCTCTGTATCTTGGGACCATGGCAGCCCTTAGAGGGTCTTTTACATCTTCTTTTCCTCTTCTTGATTCCACCTTCACATGTACGGGAGCATCTCCCGAACGAAGACCATTGACTAAATCCTAAAGTAGCTGGCAGAGAGAGAAACAGGCCCTTGAACTGTTCGCTATTTGCATCATAAGCAAAGAGAAGCAGTTTGCGATTCAAAATTAAGCGTTGCTTTTGGAAAAACAAACTTCAACTGATTGTTGAATTATTTCATGACTGCATCATGTTTCCATAAACCCACTTTATCATGATTGGTCTAAAAAGCTCACAGTACCCTTTCAACTAGTCAAATATAAAACTAAAATCAATTCCGACTTGGTCACTCATTTTTTTTGCCACGTTTCTCTCAGTTACATATGTTAATTTCACTTCAGTTCCACTGGTTCTTACTCTCAGTAACAACGGCGACATCATGTTGTGATTACTTCAGTTTCGCTTTTAACTCTTTTGAAAAAAGAATATTTATATTAGAACTCGACTCACATTTACAGTACTTTACTTGACATCTTCTAATTTGTACCAATGGCTCAACGCAGGATTTCCCGCCATTAGCAGGAGGTGGGTTTGAACATTTGCGCCTTCTCTTTCGTACCTCTCTTCCACAGCGCCGGCCGCGGCACTCAGACCACACGGACCACGCTGACACGCCTCCGTCAACTGTTCGTAGAAATAAAACGGTCTCAGACCAATCTTGCTCCTTTGCAAGTTTCTTACTTTTGTTTTGTCCTATTGTCTTGCTTCTTAGGAGACTAGTTAGGTTTGTTTTGCCTTTTTTGTTTATTTTCTTTGTTTCTTTGTTCACTTGTTGTTTATTTGCCTATTCGTTCTTTTCCATGGCCAACACATTTATTTTTGCTTGTGGTTTTCTGCTTCTTTCGCTTACCCGTGTCTATATGCAATACAGATAACTTGCAGAACATTCCGCGAAACGCGCAACGAGAGAAGAACTAAGAGAAACTCGCTTAAAAGAGCTCGGCATAAGATACTCTCAAGAAACTAAACACAAATACATTGATCATCGATTTTCGTTGACCCTGATCAAAATCAGCTCAGGGCTAGGTACATTTTAAAGTATTAGGCAGGGCATCATCTAGGACCTGTCAGTCGAGACAAGTGACCTGACTTTTCTTTTTTAACTTTCCTACCTCCACTTGGGATTTTACCTGGACACTTCGATGATGCACATGCTCTGGCTTGCATCCTCTGACCAACACAGTCTTTACCTCTACCCTGTGGGGGAGGGTTAGTGCAGTACCGCTCCCGGACGCTAACAGTGTTTGTATCACAAGTCTTCGTACAAGCAGACCATGCTGTCCAGCCAGTTAGACCTCCGTTCACTTAAACAATAGAAAGTAACAGAGAGAAATGATCACGGACACCGACTGACTTGTACAAGTTTTACAGAGGAAAAAGCCGCAACCAGTTTCAGTTAGGAGCTAGTTTCAAAGTTAAATAACAAGTCATGTGTATGTCCTTTTTTTCAGATTTAAAATTCCCAATGATTGTCTCACCAGAGCAAGGCTTCCTTCCACAGCTCTTAAACTGTACCCATTCTCCCACACAGTCCCGTCCACCTGTCCCTGGTTTGGGATTGTTGCATCTACGCTCTCGACGGCTAACTGCACGGGTGCCACAGGTCACGGTGCAATGCGACCATTGAGACCAAGGAGAAAAACTGCCATCAACAGAAATTCAAATCGCCATTGGAAGTCAACAAGGGCGTAAACTTCCTTCGATTGTAAACCGCGTCTCGAATTGTTCGCAAAAAAAAGAGGTGGGGAGGGGGTTAAGAGGCCAGTGAATTCAATGGTGCACCACGAAGGAAAGCTGCATGATTATGCCATGGAAAATAACAGAGACCAACGCAACGCATACGACGCACGCGCAGACTTCATTTTGATTACCTTTCAACTTCAAAACTCTTTTAACTGTTTATTTAAAAAATCTATGGTGAAAATAATTAAGCCGCTTAACAAAATTCAGCGGGAATAAAATTGCAACTTGCGAGGAAAGGTTAGATGTAAAAACATTCGAAATGCAACGGCTTTCATGCATTCTGAATGGTTGTATTTTACTGACCGGTATTTTCTACATATTGCATACCTGGGCATTTAGTAAACGGGCAAGGCTTTTTCTGAGTATAAGGACCCTGACAACTCTTTCCACCAATCAGCTTGCAGGTACGTCGTCGAACCATCACAGCTTTTCGACCACAACTTGGGGAGCAATCAGACCAAAGTGACCACGTGGTGTAATTTGACTCTAGATTGTTTACTCCTGGCAAAATGAATGGCTTATTCACCGCTGCCGAAGCTGCCACCGCTTGTAAATCAGATGGGATGACATTGGACCCAGAGGTGTGGTTCGGAGACTTGGATGGAGCGGTTGATTGAACTACTGCGACATGCGCGCTTGAAACTTTACGAGGAAGATTTACGGCTGTGCGATGATCAAAATACAGTGTCAAGGCTGAGGGGGGCGTGGCGATGGGGTTCAAAGGAAAGTTGTCTTTAACCCTTTACATCCCGATATCATTACCCGTATATTCCATACTGTTCTTGAAATATTTCCATAGCAATCATTTTCTTTGTGCTCATGACCCTGACCTTGAGTACAAAAACCTAGGTTCCAGGAATTTTTGTTGGAAACTTGGATGTGAATTATCAAGGATCAATCACATAAGAGCTTAAAAGAACACGAAGTACGATCCCAGCGTCTGTTATCAAATTTGAATTTCTTCCTCTAAAGTTTTTACAAGATAGAAATCACCGACAGAAAATTAGCCTCTTAAAGGCCAATCTTGTACGACATTATTCCGTTTTCTAAATATTTAGTGACAAGGGTTATTGCCATTTCTCCTGCAGTTCAGCAAGAAAATGTTTTGGGTTCTTATCAATTAAAAAGGATTGTCTTGGATCCGAAGAACACGGCACAATAACTGGCCTAGCCTCGAGGCGTCATCGCTACCATCATGCCAACTCTACATTCACCACAAATATGTATCTAAAATCATTAGGCTGATACCTACTTGTGTTAACAGTACTTTTTTGTCGAAAGATAGCATTAGGCCTTGCTGCTTCCATTTTGGGGCACACGGGTACATTGCAGAGGACCTTCTGAATTTCTGACCCGATGCATGTCTTCCTGGCGATGGAAAGAGAACAAGTTCTCTCGCGGGTGCGGTATGAGCCAAAACCGCAAGTTCTCGTGCAGGCAGACCAAGGACTCCAGTCAAACTCATTTTTAACAGAAACTGTCTCGAAAATAAGAAACGTTAATTTTTAATTATGGTATCCCTTGTCTAAATTAAACGAATGCTTTATTTCACCTAACTGCTGAGAAGACAAGGTGTCGGGGCGGAAAGAGGTAGCGCAAAGTGATAAAAGGAGGGAGGCCTGGGACGGGTGAAACGACTCATTGAAAACCTCATTCGTTCCAGCAAACAGAAATGGTGTCATTTGTTGCGATTTTACGGCGACGTTGAAAAAGACAAACCAGTGCTGGGAAGGAGCGAGAATTGAACCATGCGCGAGAAAAGAAGCGCAAAATAAAAAAATGGCAGTCATAACAATAACGCGGGAGCCAGGCTTCTTATAATGATAGGGAGTTTAAGATGTCACTACAGCGACTCGCCGTAATGACGTGTGACGTGATGTGACGTATGGTAAATGTTTCCGAAAAAAAACGTGATTAATTCCCTCTTGGCTTTCACCAATAACTAGGTGCGTTCAACATTTCTGAAGGTAGCACGTCTTCACCTCAGCAAAACATGTGAATGCAGTGTTGAATTCAGGGTTAAAACGCGACAAAATCACAGTAGAGGTTTCCTTGCTAAGAGGACATAAAAGTTGGCGATTTCATGTTTTAGTCTGTATGGGATTCCCAAGAAATGTTGAGTTTTAAAACGCTCGTGTTTCGCCGCAGTTTTGGTCATTAGTTTTTTTTTGTTCGTATTCTCGTTACCGTCGCCGTCGGGGTTTTCTTAAAGTCCCTAATATAAGTGGTCATACGCGGTCTTATTGAATTCTTTCTTAGTTTAAACTTTCTAGCCTTGACTTTAGCTAAGGCTATTTTTCATCTCTATCAATAAGCAACAACACCAAAAACACGCATAGTAAATATATGTACAAAGTGTCATCTTTTAAAGACTTCCTTGCTATGGTGATGTGAAATAGGCTCAGAAAATGAATAATGTTAGGGTGAGATTTGAATGCACAAATGATGCGTTATGAACGTGCCATTCAGATGAAAAAGTGAGACATCTTTTTTTAATTGTAAAAAATTTGAATAACAAAAACAACCTTGTGGTTATTTTGTTTCTTGTAAATTTAAAAGAACGACGCGCTTTCAATCAAAGAGATCAAATGTTGCTTTCGAAGTGTAGAGGTTGCAGAGATAGAAAAACAACATAAAACAAAAAAAACTAGGAAAAGCTTTCGCTCAAGTAAAGGAATAAAAACATAACCTAGAGGCAAGTTGACGAACAGAGGTATTGACTCACTCAGATGATCAAAAAGTGACACTCGTTCTGAAGTTCTAAGTCAAACTAAGTTCATGAAATGTACTCACTGTTATGTGAAACAGTCCCAGAGAGCCCAGCTTCAGTTCTAAAACCAGGAATGGTGTCTCCCGGACATGATGGCAACATGCAGGGCTTCACTTCTGAAGTGGAACCAGCGCAGCTCTGAATGTTCTGTTTGAAACACGATCGTTTACGCACGCGCAATAAATTAGAACCGCAGGTCCTTGAACATTGAGACCACGGGCCCCATTCAGTGAAACCATCAGTAAAATTTGAAGAAACTGAACAAAAAGAGATAGAGAAGTGGTAAAATTATGCGTATTCTTTGTGAATGGCAAAATATTCACTCAGTAGTTTTCCTTTTTGCCTTTTTTTCCTTTTACTTGGCGTCATTTACGTCGTCCGTGTTAAGCCACATACCGAAGCAGACTTCAAAATTTAACCAACCATCGCTCGACATTAACAGACCAGACCGATCGATCTATCAATCTATATTAAGAAGGTAAGAAATTTATTAAGCAGTGGAAATGAAGTGGCTCATCTCATCCAATGCTTTCCGTTCGAATTTTAATTTAGGGTGCTAGGTCTTCTGGAAGAATAGAATGGAGAATCCTGAGAAATCTCTCCGAAGCAAGGACGAAAAATAAAAACTAACTTACCCTAAGCTCAGGATGCGAGATCGCAGGGATGGGAGAAGAGGTCTCTCACCTCTGTGCTGTTCCACCCCCTCCCAAATTTTAAAAATGAACAAGCCCTTCCTCGAGCTCCTCACCAAGGAATTGGGAATTCCATCATAACAGAGGATCTGGCCAGTCAGAGTTCTGACCCATGGTAATTACAGCAAGCTCTCTCAGGAAGCAGGAACGAAGAGTTGCCGATCTTGTTTGTGGACGAGGCAGGGGAGAAGTTCTAAGGCCTATTTTCCAGAGTTTCCCCACCCCCTTGCCCTCTTTAAAGGTAGAAATTGAAACTCAGATATCAGGAGACGCTGGTATGCCACGCCCCTACTATAAACACCTGCCTACTCCCCATGTGAACATTATCTCACCATTATGAAACTTAACACTTTGTATAAACACTTTGCTTGCGTTATAATCTCCTAGAAGCAAGCAAGACGGCTTCAAGCAATGACGTCTTTCCACAGTCCTGCCCACACAATCCTCCCCACCGAAGCTGGGAGGGGGGTCAGTGCATGTCCTTTCACGTGTCTGGTATGAGTCAGATCCACAAGTCTTGGAACACTCGGACCAGTCACTCCACGGCGAGAAACGGCCGTCAACTTGAAGTCAATGAGGGGAAAAAACTATGAATTAACGAAGTATGTCCTGTTTATCTGGTTGACTAAATGTCTTATTAAAGTGTTTCCAGTTTGTTAACAGAAAGCGTTATAATCGCGTGTGAAGGTTGTCTATATCATTTAATCTATATGCATTCCTGGCATCTTTCCAAATCTAAGTCACTCTCCAAGCTATCGTATTCCCGGATTTCAGTTATCTGAGTAAGATATTCTTTGCTTTTCAAAGATTACCTTAATCAAAACTTGAAATTATTATAATATGAGTACTTTTCAAGTTAACGTCGTAAAACCAGACATCAAAGTCAAATATAACAGTTCGTAAACGTTGTCCTCAATAGGCCTTGAATAAGGAGTACTGTTTGGAGAGGCCTGGAAAAATTCAAGTTTCAACGAAATTTGAACCCGTGACTCCAGATCCTGGCTGAGTGCAACCACCAACTGAAGTCACGTATTTAGAGGAATGCAAACTTTGGTGGGCTCTTCGTTCAACGAGGACAAATTTAGTCTGACCCGAGTCTGCCTAACAGCCAAATAGAATAAGGAGAGGTCTAAAGAAGCCAATAATAACTCAGGGGAAATAAATGTCCAAAGCTTGAGGCGATGGCAAACGGAAAAGGCTGAGTCTTATTGCAAGTGCAAATACAAACGCAAATGCATAGTCAGGCACGTCTAATGTGATGCTGGATTGCATTCGATACGCAATTTAAAAATTTCTCAACTAAATGTTTGCAATGTAAATGAGGTAAATTACCTGGACATTTGTGGTCACGGCAACGTTTCGTTTGTACTTTGGGTCCCATACACGAACTGTCAACACCAACTAAGTCAAAAGTACCAATGCAAGAACGTGAGCGCGTTCGAATACCGTGTCCGCACGAGGCGCTGCAAATTGTCCACTCGCTCCATGGTGTGAACCCGACGTTTTCGTTATTTCCTTGAACGTGAATAGCCTTACCACCGTTTTCGTAGGTCTCATGCTGTTGCTGTGGCATTAAATGTGATCCTGGCTTCAGAAAATGCATAGAGGACATGAATTTCGAGGAAGGAAAATTTGCCAGTGAAGTTGTGAACTGTTTCATGTTTGGCATTTGTTGAAAGCCAAACACATTCCGCTCGCTGGGAATTTGTCTAATAATGCCTTGTTGTTGCTGAGGCACATGAAGAAGTGACTGTACTGAGGGTATGTGAGGTAATTCTTGATCAATATTAGCTAATCCGCTGTATCGTGCAATCCTTTTTGCGATGTTGTTATTATCGATGTCTGTACTGGGAAGACGTTTCGACAATTCTTCTATCACAGGTGTTGAAGATAACGTCCTAAATATTATTTCCTTGTTGTTTTTCGAAGTCTCCATCTCGTCTAGGTCTGGGCCGCCTAAACGCGAGTTGAAAATGAAAGGGTCAAACAGCTTAACCATTATTTCGTAATAATCTCCCAATAAACGGTGAAAAGTCAAAAGCTCGACTAATTACAATGGCTTTGTGGCTTTAGAATGAATGTTCCGAAACTTCATTGAAATCAAGTTCACCCATGACAATCAGAGGGTAAAAGCAACTTCTTTTACAAAAGGTCGTCTTGAATCACAGCCGTCGTTTAAACGCTTCTTTTAAAATTAGACTTTTAACGCAAAAAAGCAAAGTATCAAGATCTCTGTATGATGGAAAAGAATGACTTTGTTCTCAGTAACCAGAAACTACGATTTAATTTCGTAATTTGTGTTACCTTCGATCATTTCTGGCTACAGCTTCTATCTATCTGCTGATGAATGAATAATCAAAAGAGAGTTCCTATACTTTACTCTCTTGGTTGTAGTTACCAGGTCTCTGGGGGCATTCTTTCCCTTTGCAATATTCAACATGGAATCTCCAGCCATTGCAGTCGTTTCCTCCAAAAGCAGGTGGGGGATTGGTGCAAAGTCGCATGCGCATTCTTACAGCCCACGGACCGCAGGTCTTTGAACACGCGGACCACTCCGTCCATTGAGTGAATCCGCCATTTACTAAAACAAGGAATGTTTGAAGTTGATATAAACGACCTGTGGAACTCATTATACTTCAAAATAGCTGTTTTCCATAGAGAAAACGTTTGAAGATGTCTCACCGAGCATTCACCATTGAACATTTGAGTTTTTGGATGAACATTTTTAACCAGTAACTTGCTTTGACATGTAGTCCTATCTGCTTTAATTTGAAAAGCGACCAAAACTTTAAGGATAAATTTGAATCCCTTTCGTCCAACGTTGTAGACAATTTGAAAAAAGATACTCATTGGAATTCCTCGTTGAAGAACTACTCGCCTCAATCGTAAAGTTAGCGCTGCGTTCCACAAATCTTTACTTTCGTATGTTATATCAAGTCAATGATTACAACAGATGAGAAGTGTTTCAGTGTTTGTTTAATTTTTTTTTTTTCCATCAACCCACATGGAGTACTGATCCGTCGAGGCTCAATTTCCACAAACTATTGCGAACCACCTTAATAGCCTTTCGGAGATATTATCTAGCTCAGTTTAGACTCTTCTATATCGTTTAGAAAACCAAAATGATTGCCAAACACTATACAATACAACGTGAATCAAATTTCATTTTTTGCCGAACCTCGTACATATTCTTGATGTGGCTTCTAACCTGGACAGTTTTTTGGAACATCACAGGGCACTGTCTGGTGGTTCCATCCGGGACATTTGATAATATTGTCAAATGGAGAACTTTTGTTACAGTACAAAGACCTCGTCTTCATGCTTCCATCACCACAGGACTTGGAACACTTAGACCATGCACTCCACCCTGCGTCTCCTAAGTTTCAAGAGGTATGAAAGCGGAGAATGAACGTATCCCTTTGGTGTTAGAGGGGCAATTTCCCCATTGGTCCATCTGTTCTCGGTAGGAGGCAAAAGTTTAACGTAGGCACATAACAGAGTAATTGCACTCAAAGTGAGATTACTAACACATTTAAGTACAATCAAAGAACAGACAAAAGCGAATCGTCACTGAAACTACTCAGGAATGAGGAAAACTTTCAGATATGTTTTCATGAACAGATCTTGGCTTATTTTGAGCGCCTGTTCTGTGATCCAATTTTTTTCTTGATGCTCATAACATTTTGGGTGTTTTAACTTAATCAAAGTAGATGAAAGCATGCAGAATAAGGGGAAAAATTTGTTAATATTTATCCAAAGTTCTGCTTCTGCCACCAATTTTTGAGAAGTCTTTAAACCTGATACAAAAAAATATTCTACTCCTTGCTTCCACCAAGTCATAATGAAATTTGAATACTTCTCTTGCAAACCTGAGGGAGGAGGGATTCAAGCATTAATATCAATTGTATACGGTTCCTTTTACCCTGGTTATTGTTTTGTTGATGAGTAAGATCGTTTACTTTTTACAGTTGGTTGAATTTACCTTCATCACTGCTTACGAAATTATTTATTTCCTTTCCTTCGGATCCAGGATCGAAAATGTCCGCAATGGTCTCGACGGTCCCTTCTTTATTTCCAGCCAATTTATCAAGGATTGACCTCTTGAAAGCTTCAGCAGATGGCTTAAAAAGACTTTCTACGTCTTTTTCATCAACTTTGTCAATTTTTTCCAGCTCTTTCAAATCTCTCTGATCATCGCTGTTGGCAAATTGTAGCACTGATGCGAGCTGCGCTTGAGCATCAGATCCAAAGGTACCCAAATCTTTATAATCACCACTTAATACTTTTCCTTCTGGTGTCAAATCACGAAAAACACTCCCCCGAATTTCGGAATTTGTCCATTCCCTCTTTCCACCGAGTTCATGTTCCTCATGAGCCAAGCCCTTCCCAGTGCGATTTGAATTTTGTAAAAACGCTTTCAACTTCTTTTGGGTGTTCATTAGATAGTCCCAATGACTGTTATTAGTTGATTCTCTGATATTTTCCTCTTGAAAAGCGTTCTCCGCATTTCCCCTTCTTGGATTACTTTTAGGGTCAACGTGATCCGCCCCCTTTCTCAGCCCTGACTTATCCAGGCTCTCCAACCTATTCACGTAGTTCAAGTCGTGTTCACTCTCTTGCTTCAGAGCGCGGGATAACTGTCTCTCAAAGTCAGGGCTTCGAAAAGTGCCATCGTTGAATTCAGTCGCCCAATCAGTAGCATCCCTTCTCGCCGCATGCTTCCTTGACTTAGATCGTCTCTTATTAGGCTGGAGGAGTTTTGCAATTTTGTTCACCTTCAAATGGCCTTGTTTGGCTACTTTAAATGTCCTCTTTGAATCTCTCTTCATGCCAATTTCATCTCCTGCACTTTGGAACATGCTTTTGATTCTGTCAATATCGTGTTTCGATATTGTGTTTGCATGCTTCAGAACTCCTTCGCTTTCTTTACCGAGAGTCTCACGTAACAAACCTTGGGTAAACTCGTTTTTCACGTCATCAAGGGGAATCACATCACCGTTGAAGATTTTATTTCCTCTTATTACAAGCGGTGTGTTTATTTCAGTTTCCTTGTGTAGATCTTTTACACCGTGTTTTACTTCTGCAGAGTTTCGTTCCACCACGTCCCCACTGTACAGTTGTCGTCGATCCTGACTATTCCTCCCAAAATGCTTAGAAATTTTCACCCTCCTAAGGTCCCTTCTCCCCGGAGCTTTTAATGAACGTTCAAAAGAATAACCAGGATCGTGCTCATCAAATGGAAATGCCTCTATATCTTTGATATTTCTCTGATGTCCATCGTAATCTTTCAGAATGACTTTAGAGATGTCCTCTTGGGCTTTAGGATTTAAACCTCGTATTTGATCTAAGTCACTGTTCAGCACGTCAGTGGAGGACTCCCATGACTCCAGATCTCTCTTTTTATTCCTATTATTGTAAAATGTCTTGTGTAACCTTTTGGAATAATGAGTGGCGTGTTTTATTGTATGTGCCTTCTTTTTATATGACAGACTGTGTTTTACCTCTTTCCTTGTTAAATTTTGCTGTTTCAATGATTTTTGGACAGGATTTTTCATGGAATCCATTGTTTTTTCTTGTTCTTCATCTGTTACAGTGTTGTAGTAACCTTTAGTTGTGGGTGACGCCCCTTGCACACCGCTATTCTCCTCAGGACCACCTACAACACGTGGTGTGTGAGCTAAATGAGTTTCAAGTTCTTTCATTTCTTTCGCTGTCAGTCCAAATATGACAGAGGAAGGACTTATCTCAGAATCTCGAGTCCCCGGCTGATTACGAGATTTCGTCGGTTTTATCCCATTAGAAGCGTGTTTGTATGATGTTTTCACATGCATAGGGGAAGAAGTAGTCGACGAGGTTGTAGACGATGATGCATTAACATTTGCTTTCCTGATGAACTTCTTTCTATGTTTTCTTTTGCTCAGGTGTATTAGGTGTTTCTTTTGTGGTCTCGCCAGTGATGCTGGAAATGGGTTTACTCCAAATTGGGATATACCGTCTCTTCCGATGTCCAGTTTTTGGCCATTTTCAATATTCTCGGATTGGTAGTTTAATGTTTTTGGTTTGATTAAGTTGAATGCTCCTTGAAGCCCAACAAGACTACCGAAAGGAGCAAGATCTACCGAAGAAACATCTGAAGCTGTTTTCGGACTTAAGAATATTTGACCAACACCAGCTTGTGTCCCTGTTCCATCTTGATGGCCAGGAACCTTATAGAGACTAGGAGGTACCAAATACGACTTTTGTGTTGCATCTGGGTAGAATTTTTGCTGTTTATCTTGGCTCTGTGGTTGACTGAAGGCTGGATCAGACGAAAATTTTTGGTCCTCATTAACAACGGAAGCCATGATCTGTTCATTTTTTCTATTTTCAGCATTAAGGAAATGGTTATCTCTCGTGTAGAACTCTTCACTATTAGCTTTGGCTAACGGATTGCCAAAAAACTGACCAGTATTCTGTTTTGGTGCAGTTGAGTTCAGGCTAGGGAAAATCTCTTGAACCAAATGACCGGCATCGTTGATTTGATGCTCAAGAAAACTTGCCTCTTTAGTATCTTCGTCTTGTAGTTGCTCTTGACTTGAAAATGGGCTATTGACATCAGTAAAGCTTTCCTTTGCGACTGGATCACTCATAAGATTTAGTTGAACATATCTGGTTTCATCGGGATCCAAACTTGTGAATTTGCTATATAGGAAAGGTGCATCTATAGCTCGATTAGAATTTGCCGATGAGACCATTGCATTTGTTGACTTTGGCAAATCTTCTTTCTGATCTCCTTGTGCTCCAGGCAACTGTGTAGGTTGATTTGCTGTATTAGAAACGAGTCCATTGGAGGACAATGGGACAACCGGCCTATAAGAAATCGATGGTTCGTCCTTATCACTTCCACCAAACCATGTTGGGATTTCTTTGTTGGAAATGAATCCAGATATCAAGGGCGTTAGAACTGGTTTTCTGTTATAAGTTTCCTGTTCACTAGTCTTAGTGTTTTGTCCCGCTGCAATTCTCCCAGCAGTCTTGGGAAGAAAATCATAGTGATTTTTCTCTTGGACTTTGGAGTTAATTTTGGGAGCAGCTTGTGTCATGGGCTTCTTTAATGGTCCCTGGTGAACTCCTTGAGTACGATTATTTTTTTCATGATCTTGTCCTGCTTGAGATGATTCAATCATGTGAGAAGTAGGTGTTGAGTTATTTTCTCCTACTGCATGTGCTGTTTCTTTCATTTTATGTAACGGTGCAGAATTATCAGCATTTCCGATGGTCAGGTCGGACAGGGAATGACCTTTAACTTTCTCTTTTATTGTCTGGGCCGGTTCTTTCATTTGGACCGTCGTGAGTGGACTGCTCGCACTTTGGTTACCTTCTTTCGGCCTCTGACTCTCATGAGCGCTAACTTTAGACAAATCAGTTGATAAATCAGCAATTCTACTGGAGTCCGAAGTAATTCCTACTTTCTTCCCAGAATCAAGTTGAGAAATTTTATTGCTTTCCATAAGAAGAGCCCGTGCAATGGAGCTTGCCCAAATGTCTTTCATCATCGGATGTTTTGCTAATTCCAGCGAAACATACATAGTTCCTTGGTTTCCCAGACGCTCCACTACGCTTTTGACAAGTTCTGGTAGCTGGATGTTTAAATTGTCTGATGAGATGTTCGAATTCTGCGCAGATGGAGCTGACTGATTGAAAACCTCATGACCCATGTCATGATCAATATTTGGCTTAGGCTTATCAATAGTTTCATTCCAAGAACGGTTCATGCCATTTGAATTCTGCGATTTAACGAAATCACTCTTTGAAAAAGCACCCAAGTCATGAGAGGCTTCGCTATTCGAGACCATACTGCTTGTGTTTACCTCCTTTACATCAATGTTGCTTGAGTCGTTCTTACCTTGAACTACATTTGCATTATTTTCGATGTTTCTCTGGCCATTACTAGTTGTGTCATCACTAGATGGTAACGAGTGATAGAGATCTTCACCTTTATGGTTTAATATATACGATACTTTCGCAAGAGGATCTTTTGATGATTGGTTCTCTAGACGAGAGCTTTTTAATCTTTCTGATCCTTTAAAAGTCGTCAGTTTTTCGTTTTCGACGGAACTTGCATTCTGAGAGTTCTTCTGATACACCATATCAGGAATCGCCCGCGACATGGGACCGATGAGAACTTCTCCTCCAGAGGGATCCTTCTCAAGTTGAAATCCTGACAATTTAGCGTCATCGCTTTCCAACTGACTGTAAAGTCTTTCTGCAAGTCTCGAGGGTGATATGACATCATCATTAAGTGCCACGCCCCCATTATTTTTATCATAAACATCGTTTGAAGCAAAACTTGATTCACTGTTCACTTTGTAGTTTGAACTGGCATCTTCGTATTCTCCAACTGAGGACGTTTCATTTACAATATTTTCGTTTGTGGCCACGTTGATTTGCTTACCGTGATTCTTCTGATCACTTTTGTATGTTTCCTTGTCGCCAACCAAGGTTATCAAAGGCTTTCCTACAGTCAATCCTAAAAACGGAATAAAATGACAACGTTCGAAGCTCGATTTAGAACAGTGAAAATTGAGTAAATTGCTTTTGTTGTCTGTGGTAAAACGGCGATTTTTGCATTTTACGCCAAAAAAACGTTGTTTCGCGAAAATCGTTATAAGGATCAAATACACCTCTGAATGGCAACTACTACATAACGTATATGCTACTATGCTGTCTTAGGCGGACCACTGAGATAAAGGCCAGACTTAAGTACAAGGCAAGAACCCTTTAAAATTAATAAGGGTCGAGGTAAACCTGTAACTTACAGTGGACTAAACAATTTAGCTAAACAACTATTTTGAAAAGGATAGCCTTTGACCAACATCACTGGTCTACGATAGAAAAGAGTTAAGTCTAATCCTATCTGTAATCATACACGTGAGAACCAACATGCCCATCAGTTGAACTTATTCACAAATAGAAACATAGCAGTAGAATTTTTCCTCCACAAGGAAATCAAACTATGCTCTATGGAGCACAGCACGGAAATGACGCGTACTACCCAATTACCAGCATGACGCACACACTGCTCCATTAAAGCTCAAATCGAACTGCTAATAACCAATCACGTTCGCATATCTCCCATGAATCGGATATAAAAAGAGACAAAGAGAAATAAGAGAATAAAAAGAGTCTTAGACAGTGAAATTGTAACCAACCTACCGATATGATCTCGTCTGACAGTGAAAACGCAAGGAGCTTGTACCCAGGCCAGAATCAAACCAAGGGTCAGGAAGTCTGTCCAGTCCATTGTTATTTAAGTACAGGCTTCATTTTAAACTGAAAATCAACACACCTTTATCTGAACCAAAATATTAACTCTCATGCAGCCCGTCAAATCATTTCAAGAATACGTTTTCTTTCGGAACAGTTATTGCAAGTTTGCTCTCTAAAATTTCTTTTGTCATAACAAGCCACCAGCTCCGTTGTAACAGCAAAGGAAAATGATGGCGCAGAAATAATCAAAAGTTTTGTAGTCTTTCTGGTTGAGTGCTTATACAGAAAGGAATTGGGAGAATCAAAAACTGAATCAATCTACAATCAGAGGCAGGGAACCCTTAACGGATGTGGTAATGATCCTCTTAATTAGGAACTCATAGCTAGTTTTAAATTGCTTTCGGGAGGTTTTTGTTTCTTCGTATATTTTCAACATCCATGCAATTTCCTCAAATGTGATAGGTGAATTAGCTGCTTTATTTTTCACTGATCGTTCTGTAGAGTTGCAATCGGACAATGCATCGGACAGTTGGCTGCGACTGGACAGTTGTAGCAACCAAACATACTAAGTTCACTCAGCTAAATCCACCAATCAAAGAATTGATCAAAATACCCGTACCTATAACCACATATCCTGAAAAAAACTGGGGAATTTCCAAAATGGAGGAATTGTCAATGTAATTGTCTTTTCTTTCTCGGAAATTGTAATGGTTATGATTAATTGGTAACAGGACTTCGTGTTTGTAATAATACTCGTGATCGACAAATTGGAGTCTCGCTTTGCGGTCGTCCGATTTTGTTAATCACTCGTATGATTACAGACCGAACTGGACTCCACTCGCTCCTATTACCATTACGTGTATTGCTTTGGACTAAGAGCCTGAGTTAGGTATCCGAGTAGTGCGATTTCATACGGATGTAAATAAAAGGCAAGGAACCTTCGGGTTTCGCATTTCCAGCGATCTAAGATGATTCTTGTGATTTCAGACAAAATTTCACTCCACTCAGTAAATCACTACTTTGATCATTAAAGGAAACATTTCATAAATACCCCAATTCAGCACTTCGCAGAAATGCATCGTAAGGGTCAACAGAAATCTTCAGCAAACACTACCATAATACAGTGTCATTACCACCCGCCGGGTTACATCAGACAGAAGTGAAGAAACAGGGCTGTCTTAGTTAGCTTGACCCAACAATTTTTCCAAGCCCCATTTTTAACGAATAATATTTACAATATTTTGAAGAAAAACGAATGAGAAAGTGTTAAGTGATTCAATTTCACACCAGTCCAAAGATACAATGTGGAGTCTGCAGTGGCTAAAACTTTCGCGACCCTTTGAATGTTGACAATCGAAAGCAAGATTGTTGGAATTTCTTGTTCCCTTCAGGAGCTCTTAGTTTTTGTTTTAATTTTTTACTCTCGTTCGTTCAGCGTACATGGTCATGGTGTAAAATGAACTGAGTTACATTTTTATGTTCAAGATTTTTGATACTACGAAGTCAATGATGCATGAAGGCGATGTAACGTACCCATTTACATTAATTCATGATTTGAATTACAAATAGCTTTTCTGTGATAATCAACCATCCTACTACTTAAACGATCTTCCAGCTGATTTATATCTTCAAGGAACGAATGAGAACCAGAAGAAGTAAATTTTCACGGTGATGTTTCAAATCGTTTAAAAAACAAACCCATTTCCACCTTAAACACAAACATCCCTCGCACAGTTCAACCCTATCTACACATTTCGACCTTGCTTTTCCCCTCAATGTAAAGAAAATCTCCGAACAATAAAAATATTTCAACCTTTTTACATAAGTGAATAGGAAGGCAGGTTTCCTAATGTTATAACCCGTTTTTAAGTCAACAAACTGGTCTGTTCATTGATGAATCCATCTATCCATTTTCTTTGAAATCTATTGACGAATTTGTTTAAATGTTTTTGGCAAAACTATCAGGGATTCAACTCTAAAATTCCAAACAAAAAATGTCATATTTACCTAATAATTCAGGATCCAGGTAAATGTCAAAAATAAATTTCGATTTACAAATAATTACCTGAAACTCGAAGCTTGTTCACAAGACGTCAAAACATCGCCGAATTAGTTACTTGAATAACTTAACCGTCAAAACATTCCAACCTTTACCTGTTAAGGAAAGGACGTGTGATTTTTGGGAACGTTTTTCTATCTCTTTCCGGGAACAAGGTCGTAACTTTTACAGCCACTGCTAATGATTTAAAGGAAGCTCTTCTTTACAAGTGTTGCGGATTACACCACTGACGATTTAGCCAATCAAAACAGAGGGTCGATGGCAGACGTCTTGTAAAGTCATTCATGATTAAGCGGTTCATTGTAGTGAGTCATCGCTACCTGCATTTCCCGATCCACAAGGTTTTCTAGCTTTTAATCAAATTTTAAAGTTGATTTATTGGTCGCACTTGAATTTTCAATCTAGCGATCCCGACCCACAATAGCACCGTGTCATTTAAGAGATCAATAAATAAGGTCAATAAATATATCCAGAAAGTTATAGTAATCATTTTTTTCCTGAAGCAAAAGAGACGTTCATCCATTGAATTGAATTGAAAAGATAAAAGTCTTCTATCAGACTAAAAACTGTTTAAATAACATAGCCGACAAACACTGTGAAAGAACTTCAGAAAAACTGACCTACAATATACAGCCATACCTAAGTATGATTCAGGATCGATCTGAAACTAAAATTACCACGATATAAACCCGCACACATGGGTCAGGCGCTAGAGCGCTATGACTCACGGAAGCTACAGCACAAAGTGTTGATTGATTGCCAAAATCGTGGAACCAGCACCTAAGCCGAAGTAAATACGAAACAAATAAAAAGAAACTTGTTCCTCTTAGCACAAGGGAGACACTTTGAATACATAAGAAAGTAAAGAATGCCGGACTAGTTTCTAAGCAATCTCAACTTGGGAGAAGGAATTGGGGACGAAACAGCTGGATATTAACGAGGCACAGTGGCGGATTTTAACTCTGAAGTACAAAATTCATCTTAGGACATCCACATTTCACATCCAGAGTCAAAGGACTCTCTAGAAGGTCTCAGTGGGGTTAACTGTTACTCGTAAAACGGCGAAAACGATCAGCCGTTAGGCGGAACAACTGACAAATTTTAACCGTTAGTCGTAAAAAAAGTTAACTGTTACAAAGGGAGATTAGCCGTAAAATGGCCAAATCTTAACCGTTGAAGTCCTCACCCCAGTGCTGTAAACTCAGTTGCAACATTTGAATTCTATTTACCCATAACTTTGGAAGTCTGTCAAGAGTGATAAATATTGAGATCAAGATGGGATGAGGGTGGAAGAAATTTTTTTCATCTTTTATTTTCCGACTCTTCAATGTATCATCCTAAACATTGGAACCCTTAATAGTAGCCCTTTGTAAATACCGTATAACCTTAAATATACGAGAACCGTAACAATTTGAGCGTACATCGTATTTTAATACAAGAAAACACAACATAAGCTCCAGAATATCGTGTAAGATTTTACCCGGTATAATATGTACTGAGTATGTTTACAAGCGAACGACGCGTCGAGATTAAATCCTCCTTGCGTTTTCATCAAGCATCTTTCTGCAAAGATAAAGACGTTAAAGGAAATGAGCTTTAATACTAAGGCACCGTTTTCAAGGTTAGTTATGTCAGGGAAGTACTCCTAGTAACTAAATTTATCGCGCGTTTATGTCAGATCGAAGAAAAAAAACATCATTGGATATTTATTTAGAGACTCTAACAAAACCTTTTAAAATCTTTTGAAATAAACAAATATACATTCATACCTCTTTATTGAAAATTGTTCTAAAAGGAAAACCGTTTTTAGGTTACAAATTACAGTTGATATTCTCCCATTAATAGAATCCAGAATCGTGTCTGCCCAAAGGTCTTCAAAATTTATTGTTTCGAGAATTTAAAAGGTTTGTGTTTTGAAACGAGGATAAGTGCGAAGTCTTAAATGCGAATAATTTTTGCGGTATTCTCATCCAAATAAAGCTCATTTTCACGAAAAAGTTAAGCAATCGGTCTCTCTTTAAATGTAAGGGTTTTCGTAAATTGCAACTGGAAGCTCTGGCGTTAAGGCCCCGGTTGTGAGGTCAACCTTCACTCTGATTGGCTGTTGCGATTACTTTGGTTTTGATTATGGAATACCAACCGAGTTGGGCCATACTCCGAGCTAGTACCATAATCAATATATCGTTTGATATCGAATTGATTTTGATATTTTTTGATACCTTTGTGCATCGGTATTCTTGCATCTTTGGATCGAGGTTAACAGTCTCTAATACGCATTGGTAGTCAAGTCCAGCTGCTGTACAATATTCCACCGAACAATCGGAATCCGTCTGGCAAACTTCATTATGTATCTCTGAGCAAATAACTTCGCGTTTCCTCTCTTCTTCAAGCTAAAGAGACGACAGAGATAAAAATACAAGTAAGGCCCACCCCAAAGGAGGTGGGGGGAGATGACACTCCCTTATTTGGCTTTCACAGGTATGCACTGGCGAACAGGCTGTGGCTTTCGCGTCTAATTCTTTAGGAAGGCTTAAACATTTGTCTTTTTAGCCTATTCATTAGAGTGTCATGCAAAGGCAGTAACCTCATATTGAGTGGTACATGTACACGTATAGATGGGTGGTATAATAATTTTTTTTTTATTATTATTTGTCAAATGGTTCTTCTGAACTACCTTCCTTCCTAACATACAATTGGTACATTGATTGGGTCAATACACCTTGGCATTTTTCTGTCTCAGAGGAAGCCTCCACTAATGAAGCAAGTCGTCATTTAACTGATAAAATTTGCTTTTTACGAAGATTTCTTACATGAAATGGGAAAGTAATATCTATAGAGTTATCTATATCACCGAAAGAAAAGATAAGCAATATACTGATGTTTGAATTATATATCCGCAAGCGCCATTTTAGATCAACTTATATCTAAAGAAAGTGTTCAAGTCAATTTCCAGCGTCAAGGTTGAAGGCTGTGGACACGATTGGTTCATATTGTGAAATCACGCGCGCGGGATGCGCCCTTACTTCCATGCACGATGCGCGGATACAACAGAGATATACGGGGGGGGGGGGGGGGGGGGGGGGGTTGGGGGAGAGGAAGAGAAAAATAGTAGTTTTGAAAATAAAAACGTAAGAAATTTTTTACATTAATTTCCTGGAACTTAACTTACCCTTTTAACGAATCTGAAAGGATTTCGTTTATTAGCACGGTGAGAAGGTGAATAGACATTTGTCATAGCTGTCGCAAGAAGGCAAAAGGCGAAGATAACTGCCCAAGTGTATCGGTAAGCCATGTCTTGATTACTACATAAGAAAGTGGAAACCAAAAAAAAAAAAATCATTAGTTGGCCATGCAACCCTTAAAGCTTTAATTGTTCACTACCCATTCACCTTTCACATACAGTTAAGTATTCACCACCGGCGGCTATTGAGTGATGGAAGTCGAAAGTGACCAACTCGTGATTGGTCAGACCAGTTTAAAATCTGATTGGTATAGAATAGGGGGCGGTTGTTTAGACCAATCAAAGAGCGAAGAAAAGAAAAACAACAATTGCCAGTTTGTTATCGGAAGTTAAGTCTTTTTATCAATTGTAGTCGCCACGAACACTAGATCCAAAACAATTAAAACGGGAGATGTTAAAAAAAATAAAAAAAATACAGAAAATGTATCTCCAATGCACGTCATTAACGAACTGAAAGTTTGAGAAAGAACTACAGAAAGTTACTCCAATTTTTTTTAGACAAAAAAAGAGGAAATTCAGAGAAAATTCTGCTTTTGAACTTAACTTGGTCGTGCTCATTCTCTCGACGAAATAATTCAGTCTGCTGCTTGTTCTTTGAAATCTCATGCGAAAGTGTTATTAGCAGATTGCCCCTTTCTTCTTTCTCTCTTTGATCATTTCCATCTTCCGACGTCTCTTTTATTTCAATTTCTCCTGTTATCTTTGAAAAAGTCACTTTTTGTCACAACTTGACGTTAGATATTTCTTTTTCGACTGATATTTTTGCAAGAAGACTACAACTACCGTTAACTGAATATTTCGATTTCATTTGAATTAAAACGACCATTTGTTTGCCGTTTAAAAGTAGTTTGTTTTTGTCACCTTTCAGTTTTTGAAACAGTCAAGGCAAATATAAACTTCCGAAAATTTGTGTAACATCTTGAACTAAGAGGTTGTCAATCTATGATATGAAATAATTATTCTAAAAATTACTGCGATTTTGCTATACATACATATGTGCACGCACGATTTGTGCAGTATAGTTAATAGAGCCATTAATTATACTAGCTTTACGAGCAACCTTTTTTCTCAAGCCGATATAAGTCGTTCGCTCTTGCGATACTAAACGCCAAAATTTCCCAAATGAGGCTCTCTCGTTGTCTAATTAATATAGCGGCCGTGAATAAATCTTCGATCGACTTTAAATGATAATGTCTTCGAAAAATCTTTAAATTCAACGCCCTTGGTTCTGAAAGGTCGACTAGTGATACAGACAGAGATTTAAACAAAGTCAGTTCCGCGACACAGGTTTCTCGGCAATGCACTGACCCTAACTGAGACGCTAAAGTCTCCTTCTAAGCTGAAGAACAGAGGGTCACATCACACAGCGTTGCTAGTTTTCAAACGGGCTGGTGGTTGCAGCGACTGAATGTCCCCCTCTTCCAAATTCAACCCAGATTTAACTATCATAACGCAACATTTACAACAGAAAAATTATGACAACAAATCATTACACGTCGCAAAAAAACCTGTAACAATTCTTAACTCACAACTGTTATCCCTTTCTGTTAAGAATACTGATGTAGAATAAAGTAAAAGAGTGAAGACCTTCACATCTCGGTCTCAAGACGTTTTGTTGTACTCCGCTATATCTTGGAGTATATCAATTTCTTAGATCTCGTAAATCTTAGCCTGAGGCAGTCTCCGACCGCAGTCAAAAATACCTCCGGCGTCTAAATGGCCACGAGATTGTCTTACCAGCGTAACGATTATCCTTTTGTTGCTGAAGTAACGGCGGAGTACTTTTCTGCGTTCTTTCGCAGGTTTGAACTACTGACTTCTTTTGCGCTGGTCAACAAATGAAACTTTCCTTATATCCTTTTTCACGATAGCTCCTGCCTTTAGGCATTTAGGGGAGCGGAAACAAACGCATATTAAACCTGCATAATTTATTATTATTTCCGTTTGTGAGAGTTTTCTTGCATAAGTAAATAACTCGAGACACAGCAACGTCCTTTTATTGGACACAGTGTTGTCTTTCTTTCTGAATCTTGCCAAAAAATTAATGTACATACTATACCTTTAATTTGCAGAAGATCAAAACTGTCCATTAAGGAAACACGAAGTTTGCTCAAAAATTTTTTTTTTCCGAAAATCATTCAAGGGAAATTTCGTTAGACTCGTCTCGTTTATTCAATTTTATTTGTAAATGGCATGTTTGGGTCAATAAAGGAAATACATTTTTATTTTTTTTCGATGTGATAACAGTACTCAATATGCTCCAGCTGTTGAATTCTCCACGATCCAAATTAATTTCAAACTTTTATTTCAAAAACACTGATTTTCAAATGTAACGTTTATTCATAAGAAATATTGGACCTTTATGTTTATCATAAATCTTTTCGAGGGCGCAAATTGAGTCGTTCGCGAGTAAAAAAAAAAGGGCGTACTTTTTTTAGCTACAGGCCATTATCACGTACTCATTTTTCCTAAACCAACATCAATTAAATTCTACCAGATGTAGAAAGAAAAAAAAAGAGAAAAGGACTTCACAATATCATTGCACTTTAGGTTGTTCCCTAATGCGATGAACCCAACTTTTTTTATGCGAAATGCAGAAAAAAATTTAACATACCATCTATTATCTGCTGTCACTGAGATAGCAAATTGCAACAATATTGCGGTCTCCACGAAAACATCACTCTGCCAATCTTTCGCTACATACGTACCTTACTTTGATAAAACAATAAAATAAAGATTGTTATCAGAACGCGACAAAGTGCCGACTTCTTCAAACAAAGAAAGTAATACCATTCAGTTCGAAGTTAGTTTACAGAAGCGGTAAAATCAAATGGGTTAAACATCTTCAAGCTTACAAAAGAAACAAACAAAGGAACTAAAATTATTGATTTTTCATGAATTGCTGATGATAGAGAAAGTGCCACCAAAAACTTTGTTGTTGCGACACCCCGATTTTAAAACTGAATAACATCGACCTAATCAGTAGTAACACAAATCAGATCAAAACTCGAATATTGGAACCTTTTTTTCAGAAGAGTACTTACATCTAGACCTTAACGTTAAAACAATGTCTTAAACGCACTAGAGACGCCTCGGAGCTTTATCCCCTATCGAAAAAAGTTTTTCAAATTACATTATTGTATTAGTTTTTACATACAGTTAATATTACAGTAAGGAATTAAACCGAAGTCAAACCGGTGATCAGAGTTTTATCTTGATCTTTTTTCATCGAGTTTGCCAGCTGACAACAGAAAATTAAAGTAAAAAACGCAATTACATTTTCCCGATTCGGAAAAATCCTACAAAAATAGCGTGGGCAGAGAACCTCAAGACATGTGAAAGTTTTATGAAATTTCTCAAGGTCTTTTTTGTTTTACCTCCGCAAATAAATACTTCCAAACGATTCTTAATAATTTCAGAGCAGAATGGGCCACATTGGACGTGTTGAATGATTTGAGGAATTAATTAATGTTTATCAACATTTGACTTCTTTTTTTAGCTGTTCTCTCAAAACCTTGACAAATAAAAAAGCATTTGCTGTTGTATCAACTGACGGCATTGATTCCTCTAGGGAGAAAATGAACCCTCGTAACTTTGCCTCACTCCTAACATGTGGGTGAGTAGCTCAATCGGTAGTAGGGCCCAAAATCCGTCGTAGCCTGAATTTTTTCCAGGTTTCTTTTTTGCAATTGCTTAAATTGCTTTGCTTGACGACTTTTAAAAATAAAATTCCATAAAGTTCTATTTGTTTCGATAAACTTTTAGTCCTCACTGACATAACCACAAGGATGATTGATTCAAGTTTAAAATCGGCACGTGTGCGAAGAGGTTTTGGTTTCACTGCTTCCGATTCGACTCGGAATTTGTGGCGTTGGAAAATCAGAGATGGGAACTTGGAGAAAGAACCTTAGATCAAGGACTTTAAGAACTGCAAATGAATCCTCCTTGTCTCTCTCCATTTTTAGTTCGAATAAACTATGATTGAATTACGGTGAATTAAGTCTATTGATTAAAAATCATCATCATCACAAAACGCCTCCTTCCCAAACTTATCAGAGCTCCATACTCGACTAGTGTAAGACAGTTTTCATTATTTTCTGTAGATTCACTAAGAATACCAGCTGACAGTCCGTGCCCCTGTAATCACCAAAGTACTGTCATGAGTTTTGCGAGATTTTACTTGAGTATGAAAAACGAAAAAATTGAAAATAAAAAAAGGAAAATAGAACCAAGAAATTCCAAAAAGGAATTAAATGGTTTTCTACAGCCATTTACCGAGTCTAAAACAAAGGAAAACGTTCTAAGAAATTGTGAAATAAAAGAAGAAGAAAAAACGCCTCGATCACCAGCAATAGTTGTCAGAAACTTTTAGTTTATTTCAATACAGATTAGACAGATTTTAAATTGAAAAAGCGCTCTAAAATTGTATTGTCATTACATATAAACTTCTGGCGTTCATTCTACGTTATGATGTCAATATATTACGCCGGATATATGCAAAAATCTGACAAAAGAATTAACGGAAACGGCAAAAATAAAAGGAACTGCTTTATATTTGGGGTCCGGTTACGTTATTATACAAGGAATGACAGTGAAATACGAGGGAAATCATGAATTTAAGAACAATTTGTGCTCACCACACAAGTGAATAGTGCTTTTCGAGCGAGCTGATTGGCTACTTAAGAAGAGAATAATAAGCACTATTTACCTCCGAACAGCCGTTGAGACAAAATTGCGCGTCGAGAGTTTAATTTCAAACCATTTTTCGGTATATTGAAAGAAATAAATGAATTTAATGGCATCTGTGTGGTATATATTGAAACAATTATTCTGATGTGTGGGAAAAGAATATTTAACTCCAGCTCAAACAAAGAAATAGCATATGAAAACTTTCAAGGTTTGAATATGTGCTACAAGCATTTTATGCCTCCCCATTTCTCGATAAGTTAGCTCCAATAATTGGGTCTGAGATCAAA